TAATAACCGAGAATTCTGATAGACTGATAATATGTATATCTCGACCAACTAGCTCGAGAGAGTCTCACATTATACCAACCCACAAATCCTTTCTCCAACCGTACATCTCGAACAAGTATTTAATATCATCAGAAGGTACGGTGAATTAGCCGTCCACATATATAATACCCCCATTGACAAAACCACAAAAATGGCTGGAATCTATTCTCTTCCCCCCAAAATCTCTCCATTGTTACGTTGAGGCTACAAGGCAGAGAGTTACAGGATATGAATATTGAAGAAGAGACATGAGAAATACAGGCTGTTGGTTGGTTTCCCTGCCTTGTGTCCCTGCGAATATACAGCCCTCCCAACCATCCATCTAAATTAGTATAAATTTGCCCCTAAAAATCATTCAGCTGGTTGGGTTAGTTATGTTACCAACACGATGCCAAGCAATGTCCACTAGCCATGATATACCAAACATGGGAAATGTTTAATGCCCTAGATAGTCTAGATCTATTGAATTTAGGGGAGAAAATTAGATTTTGAAAAGGAGGGAAATGAACCGAATTGTAATCATGGTCGCCATGTGGTGCATATCAATAAGAGATTCATAGCCCCAATTTTTTAGAATAAGAGACCATAACAATAATTAAAAAAAATTTGGTTACAAATAAATATAGATATGCTAAGAAATAGATGTATCAGAGTTAAAAACAAGTGAGTTATGATCCGATTTAAAAATAATGGTGATCAGAAGAAACATATGTGAGTAATCGGAGTCTCGTCTCTCTTTTTCGAAATATGTGTCATCAAAGAATAAAGATAGAGAGAGTTATACAAAACTTATCATACTGTCCTTCTTGATTCCTGTATTTGGCTGTGGGTTGTTCCCGATCATGTCAAATGGGCAACTTGAGATATTGAGTCTTTAGAGTTGATGAGGTAAGATAGCATAACTACTCCTAAAAGGGTTGAAAAATTGACACCCCTATTAATTATAGGCTTTTAAGGTAATTAATTTGTGTTGCATTTAATAATTTATCTAGATTAAAACTCATATTAATTACTTTCCTTTTTAGTGCAATAGTAGTTTTATTAGTGTACAAGTGTGATGGTAGTTGTATAAGTGCAATGGTAGTTCAAAAAAAGAATGTAAAATTTCCAGAAATTATAAAATGCAACACGAATTTAATACAAAAATAACTGTAACTAATAGTGGGTGTTATTTTTCCAACCACTTATGAGTTGTCAAACTAACCGACCCCGAGTTTCTCGGTTTCATATCAAATTTGCTCTCATAAAATAATAGTAAATACCGGTGGGGTCAAGAATTAATTCCATCTATGAGTAGATTCAATTTCTATCACTTTTGATATTATTTGTAATTCAAAAAATTCAGCCAAATAGAATTAATTTCTCTACCATTTTACGAATTTATCATGCACACCTAAAATATAGTCATGAAATTCCAATTGTGGATATTTTTTTCAATCCCAAAGCACTAATGTTATATTATCCACCCATGAGGTAGTGGTGACACCGGATATTATGCTACTCCATAGTATTAGACTATTAGTAGTTCATATCGGATTTATAGACCTATATCTACAACAAAAATATCGAACTCAAAAACAATAACTACAATTATGATTGTGCCTAAAATTATATATAGTCATACAACTACAAAAATATACAACAACTACAACTGAAAATTGTTGGAAATGAATATATGAATAGCTTTGAAAGCTATAGAGTCTCAAGTGGAAATACTACCACATTGGTAATTTTACTTGGTGAAAATGTGTATAAAGATAGGAGCCTCTCTCCTAAGGGCATGCCCATTGGGGTGACCCACTTTTGTGGGAGAGGGAGGACCTAACGGATCACCACACACACGCGCGCGGCGTCCGGTCGGTTGGTTGGTTCACTTGAGACTATATATATATTTTTCGGAGAAATTCCGAACGAAATTAATTATCTAATAATTAATTATTAATCGGTTATTCTGAGGAATATTCTAAGGATAATCGATTAAAAAGGAATATTCGAAGGATAATCCCGCAGGATTTATCTTAACCGACGATTTTAATTAAGGAAGTAATTAGCTCCTATAAATAGCCGCCTCCCCAGCCCCTCTAAACACATCACAACGAGCATAAACACAATAGAAAGAGTGTTCAGAAAGCTCTGGTTTTGGTACAAAACCGCGAGTATTGAGAGGAGCTGTTTTATTCTGGAGACGACCGGTTGATAGTCTGTCGTGCGTATCGAAGGCAGTGCCGAGAACGTCTTAAAGAGAGCGAACTAGTCCGCGACTCAGCTCCAGATTCAGTAACCTAGTTCTTGTTGTTGTTCCGTTCCTAACTATTTTAAGACGTTCGGCTGCTGCTATGTCGACTGAACAGAACAACATGGCCGGATCTAGTGCTGTCGATATCAATCGTCCCTTTCGCTTCGTTGGGGTCAACTTCCATCGCTGGAGACAAAAGATGGAGTTCTACCTGACGACCAAAAAGTTGGCACACTGCCTCACCAGCATGCCCGTCGAGCTGCCGGAAGAAGCGACCGATGAGGAGAGGGCTGCTTCTGCTAAGGAAAGGGAGCATGACTTCCTATGCAAGAACTACATCCTCAATGGCCTGGCAGACGATCTCTACGACTACTATGCGGACAGCAAGAACACCGCGATGATGATCTGGGATGCGCTCCAAAAGAAGTACGACACGGAGGAAGCTGGGCTAAGAAGTATGCTGTCAGCCGCTACCTGCGCTACCAGATGGTGGATGAAAAGTCTGTCGAAGTTCAGTCCCATGAAATTCATAAAATAGCTCATGAGGTCGTCTCTGAAGGTATGCCTTTGGACGATCAATTTCAAGTTGCTTGCATTGTTGATAAGCTGCCCCCTTCGTGGAAAGATTTTAAGAATATGCTTAGACATAAAACCAAAGAATTTTCACAGGAAAGTTTGATTACTCGCCTAAGGATTGAGGAAGAGTCCCGCAAGCAGGATATGAAAGAAGAGGTGATGGTCGTCACTACTAAACGACCCACCCCTAGAGCTCTTAAACCTAACCAGAAAGGGTTTAAGAGTAAGAACCAGCAGGTCTGCCCCCACCAGAATGGTGCCTCTCAGGGTAATCAAAGGGTCATGGCTCAAACCTCTAAGAATGACCCACCGTTTATCTGCTATAACTGCGGAAAACCGGGTCATATGGAAAAAAAGTGCAGGAACAAGCAAAACCTCGTCGTTGCGGCCAGGGTTAACTTGACAAAAGAGGATTTGGTAGCCATGATCACAGATATGATCGCTGAAGTTAACCTCACCGGTGACTCAGAAGAATGGTGGCTGGATACAAGTGCATCGAAGCATGTATGCAACAATCGTGCTATGTTTAAAACATACACAAAAGCACCTGCTAACAAGAAAGTATTGTTGGGGACTACTCACACCACTATGGTTGCTGGTTCTGATGAAGTGGAGCTGAACTTCACCTCTGGAAAGAAGATGGTGCTCAAGGATGTGTTGCACACTCCAGAGATAAGGAAGAATCTTGTTTCGGGATATCTTCTTAATAAGGTTGGGTTTAATCAATCTGTTGGGGCAGACTTGTATACCCTTACTAAGAATGGGAGTTTTGTGGGAAAGGGATATGCATGTAATGGGATGTTCAAGTTGAATGTAGAAATTAATAAGATGAATTCTTTAGTTTACATGGTGTGTGATTTGAATGTTTGGCATGCTCGTCTTTGTCATGTGAACACACGAATTGTGAAGAATTTAAGCAAGCTAGGACATATCCCTAAACTCTCAATGAATGAACTTGATAAATGTGATTTCTGTAGCCAAGCTAAAATAACGAAAACGCCCCATAAATCTGTGAGTAGAGAATCAGAACCCTTAGATCTGATTCATTCTTATATTTGTGAACTAGATGGGACGTTAACTAGGTCTTGCAAGAGATACTTTATCACTTTCATATATGATTGCTCTGATTATTGCTTTGTTTATTTGATGAAAAACAAAAGTGAAGCCCTTGATATGTTCAAGGTATTTGTGGTTGAATTTGAAAATAAGTGCAATCGAAAGATAAAAAGATTTAGGAGTGATAGAGGATCAGATTATGACTCTAATCTCTTCAAGGAATTCTATAGCTCACATGGTATCATTCATGAAACCACGGCACCATATTCACCAGAAATAAATGGTAAAGTTGACCGGAAAAATAGGACGTTTACAGAATTAGTTGTGGCTATTATGCTCAATTCTGGAGCTTCTTCTTCTTGGCGGGGTGATATTTTGTTGACGGTTTGCTATGTGCTAAATTGTCTTCCAAAAACAAATAAAAAAGAATCACCCTATGAGATCTTGAAGAATAAGCCACATAATCTGTCCTATTTAAGAACGTGGGGTTGTTTGGCCTACGTAAGAATTCCGGATCCTAAGAGGATTAAGTTGGCTAGTCGAGCATATGAATGTGTCTTCGTTGGCTATGAGGCCAATCATAAGGCATATAGATTCTATGATTTGAATGCTCGTACTATAATAGAATCCATTGATGCTGATTTCTTTGAGACACGATTTCCATTTAAAATGAGAAATAGTAGGGGTAATGTACTACCCGCTATTAAAGATAACGGAACTTGTGGGGGTGTTGGATCTGAGGATGAACTTAGAAGAAGTAAAAGGGCTAGAATCTCTAAAGATTTTGGTGATGATTTTACTACAGTTTACACACCCTCGAGGATCCAAAAAGTTTGCAGGAAGCATTAACTTCCATAGATGCAGACTTTTGGAATGAGGCCGTTATAGATGAAATGGAATCGTTAGAGGCTAATAAGACTTGGCATCTAACAGACTTACCTCCTGGCTGCAAAGTCTTAGGTAATAAATGGGTTCTAAAAACGAAACGGAAACCTGATGGTGCAATCGAAAGGTTCCGAGCTCGCCTAGTAGTTAAGGGCTACATGCAGAGAGAGAATATAGATTTCTTCGATACCTATTCACCAGTATCTAGAATAACATCCATTCGTGTCATGATTGCTCTTGCTGCCTTGAACAATCTCGTGGTACACCAAATGGATGTTAAGACTGCTTTTTTGAACGGTGATCTAGATGAAGAAATCTATATGGAACAACCAGAAAGGTTTGTTATCCCCGAACATGCCTTGAAATTCTGTAAGTTAGATAAATCATTATATGGTTTGAAACAGGCTCCAAAACAGTGGCATGAGAAGTTTGACACTCTCGTTCTCTCACATGGCTTTAAGGTGAATGAAAGTGACAAGTGTATTTACTGCAAGTCAGAGAATAACACTTGTACTATCATATGTTTGTATGTAGATGACAAGTTAATATTTGGGAGAAGCGAAAGTCATGTTAAAAGAGAGCTTTAAGGTGAAAGATCTGGGAGAAGCGAAGTTTATGCTTGGAATCCAGATAACTAGAACAGCAAATGGTTATTCTCTAGATCATTCTAGCTACATAGAGAAGATCTTGAAGAAATATAACTATGTCGACTGTAAACCTGCGTGTACTCCGTATTATGCTAGTGTAAAGCTATTTAAGAACACTGGAGACAGTGTAAGACAATCAGAATATGCTAGCATCATTGGCAGTCTCCGTTATGCTGCGGATTACACTCGACCAGACATTGCATATGTCGTGAGATTGCTTGGCAGGTTTAACAGTTGTCCTAGTAGAGAGCATTGGAATGCTATAGAGAGGGTCATGAGATACCTCAAGAGAACAGCAAACCTTGGTATACACTATCAAAGGTTTCCCGCTGTACTAGAAGGGTATAGTGATGCGGATTGGAATACCCTATCAGATGACTCCAAGGAAACCAGCGGGTATGTTTTTAACATCGCTGGTGGAGCTGTGTCTTGGAAGTCAAAGAAACAAACAATCCTAGCTCAACCAACTATGGAATCAGAGATGATAGCACTAGCAACGGCTAGTGAAGAAGCAAGTTGGTTGAGAGGATTGTTGTTAGAGATTCCCCTATGGGAAAGGCCGGTCCCTCCGGTATTGATACATTGTGATAGTACCGCAGCTATTGCTAAAGTTGAGAACCAGTTCTATAACGGAAAGAAACGACAGATTCATCGTAAGCACAGTACTGTAAGAGAACTCCTAACGATAGGCGCAGTGAGGGTGGATCATATAAGATCCGAACAGAATCTAGCTGATCCTTTGACGAAAGGATTACCGAGAGAGAAAGTCCATAATACCGCCAAGGGTATGGGACTTATGCCTACCGAACCACGGACTACAAGTGATGGTAACCCGACCCAATAGACTGGAGATCCCAAGAAATGGGTTCAATGGGTATTAACAAGTCATGAGTAGTATGCGAAAAGTTCATGCATAGTGAAGCATGAATCCCAAAGCAATGGAGGTTGAGTTAATAACTCTTAATGAGATCTATACCCTATGTGGGGTGGAGTACTTTACTTTGGGGGTACTCCTGATAGACTCACCTATGTGAATGTGGGAGTGGGGCCGCTCCCTATGGAACTTTGGAGGCACAAAGTTGCTAGAGCGTTCACTAAACCAAGATAACGTGCATGGCCATAAACGCACGGGCTAAGAAGAGAACACAACTCAATGAAAAGATCCGGTGTGCTACACTGTCTGAGATAGGGTTCAAGACTACGAGTCACCCTTATGAAATCAGAAGTGTAACCACTACGCTAAGGTTCAAATCTTCGCGATACCTTAGCTTATGCCCGATCTTATGGAACTGTTGATGCTCAGAGATAGTTTCAAAACTATTCAAGTGGGGGATTGTTGGAAATGAATAAATGAATAGCTTTGAAAGCTATAGAGTCTCAAGTGGAAAAACTACCACATTGGTAGTTTTACTTGATGAAATGTGTATAAAGATAGGAGCCTCTCTCCTAAGGACATGCCCCTTGGGGTGACCCACTTTTGTGGGAAAGGGAGGACCTAACGGACCACCACACACGCGCGCGCGCCGTCCGACCGATCGGTTGGTTGGTTACTTGGTTGGTTCACTTGAGACTATATATATATTTTTTGGAGAAATTCCGAACGAAATTAATTATCTAATAATTAATTATTAATCGGTTATTCTGAGGAATATTCTAAGGATTTATCTTAACCGACGGTTTTAATTAAGGAAGTAATTAGCTCCTATAAATAGCTGCCTCCCCAGCTCCTCTAAACACATCACAACGAGCATAAACACAATAGAGAGAGTGTTTAGAGAGCTCCAGTTTTCGCACAAAACCGCGAGTATTGAGAGGAACTGTTTTATCCTGGAGACGACTGGTTGATAGTCTATCGTGCGCATCGAAGGCAGTGTCGCAAACGTCTTAAAGAGAGCGACCTAGTCCGCGACTCAGCTCCAGATTCGGTAGCCTCGTTCTTGTTGTTGTTTCGTTCCTAACAATCAATAACTACAATTATTATTATACTACTCCTACAACCAGGGGTGATAAAACGGTTATGTTGTTAATCTTTAAATCGCTAACTGCATCGTTAACCGATAATTAATTGTTAAGTCGTTAACCGCTAAGGAGAATGCGAGTCGTCTAACAAAAATTTGAAATTCCTTATCGGTTACTAAGTCATTAAATGATTAAAGAACCGACAAGAATTGTTAACCACTCAAACCCCCCCCCCCCCCCCCCCCCCCCCCCGCCCGGCCACTATGCACTCGTTGACTCCAATCTCCTCGTTTTCTCGGCTTAGAAAAAAAGAACGAAAGACAGTCTGCAAACCACGAATCGCTTGTCGCTGCCCTCAGCCCTCCTCTTATGTTTTACTCAGATGGATAAGAGTGGAGAAGAGGTGACGGCCAGGGTTCAACTTTTTTTTCATACATTCTCTAAAAAAGACAATTATGCCACGTGCCTTTTGCCAAATTCACAAACCTACGACCAATCTCTTTTTCAAAACGGTAGGAGTTTAACCGTTAACTACATCGACAATTAACGATTAATCGATGACTCTTGATAGATCGACTAACAATAATTATTTTCTGGTTGATGAATAACACTATTAGCCTCATTTTTAATTAACCGTTAACCGCTAACTGACCCGACTATCACCCCATTTCTGAAAAATCGAAATATGCTCATAGTCACCAAGCCAACCCATCTTCTGAGTGCCCATTTCCCTCGTGGAAGCCACTTCGGCCCACACAACCAATTTCATCCGCAGCCTTAATTGGACAGCTCTCACCTCTCACCCCAAACTAATAGCAGTCGGTCACCATAACCGGACGCTTCACATGCCCATTCCACTCTCCGTCTCTGTTCCTCCTTTCAAAGAAATACAGTTTTCTCATCATCAGCGGGAAGCAGGGGATCAGGGGAGATCTTAATCCTCATTAGTTTAGGAAAAACCCCACCGCTTAATCCCTCTCTTAAATAGCTCTGTCTCCAACCCGCGCGGTTTAAACAGAGTCACAACACCACTGTTCCCTCCCCATTTCACCCGCCGCCCTCTCCGTTCCCCTGTTCCTTCCCTCTCTCTCTCTCTCTCTCTCTCTCTCTCTCAGACCTTCTTCGGTTCTTCCCACATATAAGTACCCAAAAACAGCAATCCCTCAGAGAGGAAAGCAACAAATTTCTCCTCCGAAAGAAACAACTTCCGAAAACCATGTCCGACCCCTCTTCTTCTTCTTCCACGCCCTCCTCCTCCATCCGTCTGCACTCGAAGCTCCGGTTCTTCGCCCTCGTCCGCCGCTTCTTGCGATCCAAGGCTTCCCAAAATGGGAAATCCAGACCTTTTGATCATAAATCGGCCGTGAAGAGTACGGACTTAGGAGCTGATCCGGGGAAAGGGTCGACGGAAGTGGGGGGATTTGAAGCAATTGATGATTGCTTGGATTTGCAGAGGTCGGTGAAGAAGCTTCACTTCGGGAGCTGGGAAGAGAAGGAAGCCGCTGCGGTGGATATTGGGAGGTTGGCTAGTAAGGAGGATGTCAAGACGAGGAAATCGATCGCCGAGCTTGGAGTTATTCCGGTGCTGGTAGAGATGCTGGGTTCCGGAGCTGTTTCCCGCCGGCGAGCGGCGGTGACGGCTTTGATCGAGCTGGCCAACGGCACTTACACGTAAGTTAAATCAATCAAACCTTTATTCTGTTTCAATTGACGCATACTTCGATCAAATTCGAACTGATACTTGCTTCCCCTGTTTTGATCCATCTTTGTCTCTGTTTTATTCTCTAAACATCTTTCTGATTCGTTGTTAGTTGTTACCCTTTGCCGATTACTATAGCTCAAGAATCATCCCTCTTTTTGCCTCTGCTTCACGTCTCTTTCGTTCAAATTCCAATGCTTTTTCCCCCCTTCAATTTGATTAATAAAACAATATATGGGTAGATGGGATTGGAGGGTTTTTCGTCAAAGGTGAGTTTGAAGCCATCAGAGTAATAAAGTTAGGTTCTTTGGCATCATCTGGGCCTTTTTCTTCTGAAGGTGGTGGGAGTGGCAGTTACTGGGTGCATTATAGAGAATGAAAGCATTAATGGGTCCATACCTAAATAATCAAGTCTCAACCTGTTCATAGTAAGTCAAAAATCGCCCACCTTCCTCTGAAATCCTCTTGGAGCACCATCTTCACACTAGAACTTGATGATCACCATCTTCCCACTAGACTTTTGATCGGATTCATTTGGAAACATTTGGTTCATCATCAGAATCTATTAAATTTTTAAATCCTTTTGGAAATTTCACTAACTTCTTTGAACCACCATCTTCCCACTAGTCCTTTTATTTATGCTCTGCCTCTGGACCCATACGTGGGTTCATTTGGCATTAAAATGAACGAGATAGGAAAGACGGCAATTTTGTCTCCAAACCCCATTTGAGAGCTTGATAGAAAGGATGGTCGCACTCAGGTGGAGCTGCCCCATCCCACCATTATTGGAAAATGAATGGTTCATAGTTGGAGCAGAGCATGGGTCTCACATGGCAGCTGATGCAGCTTAATTCCACCACTGTTAATCTCTGATAAAAAAAAGAAAAGCTTGTACAGCTCAGAAGGGAGGAAGTTCTTGACCTGCCCTCTTTTTCTAAATTCAAAAACACAGATCTGAAAAACTGAGACGAATCCAGTTGACTTTGTAGAAAAGGATTTGGTTGGTTGGTTGGCGTGCGCCTAAATTTCAACACTTTGTCAGTTAACCACACACCAATGATTCCATATTCATTTCAATTACTATTAAATTAAAAATAAAATAACTTGCTACTAACCCAGATCTCAATATCTTTCTGCTGTCTCGTTTCAGGAACAAGGCTCTAATGCTAGAAGCAGGGATCCTGTCAAAATTCCCCGCACCGGAACAGCAAGAATCAACCCTTCTTCTCAACGAATTCGCCGAACTAATCCTTTCACTATCTTCCTTACCAAATCCCCAGTTCCAATTTTCCCTAACAAGAATCCTCCCGTTCATCACGAAAACCCTAGAATCACCAACTTCCACCGCCGCCGCCGCCGCTGCCAAGCAATCCTGCTTATCAGCTCTGTTCAACCTCTCCGCTGCTCTTGAAACGGCGTCGCTCCTAGCCTCAAACGGCGCCGTTTCCGCCCTCCTCGCGCTAATTTCGACAAAGCCCTTCGCCGAGAAGGCGCTGGCGACGCTGGGGCAAATGGTGGTGACGGCGAGCGGGAAGAGGGCGATGGAGGACAGCTCAGCGGTGCCGGAAGGGCTAATCGAGGTGCTGACGTGGGACGACAGGCCCAAGTGTCAGGAGCTATCGGCCTACGTGCTGATGATCCTGGCGTACCAGAGCTCGGCCCAAAGGGATAAAATGGCCCAGTGCGGGATCGTGGCGGCCCTTCTCGAGCTGGCCCTTTTGGGGACCCCGCTGGCCCAGAAGCGGGCCTTGAAGCTTCTGCAGTGGTTTAAGGACGAGAGGGAGGCGAAGATGGGCCCGCATTCTGGGCCGCAGATGGGGAGGAGGCTGGCGATTGGGTCGCCGATTAACCCGAGGGAGGCCCAGGAAGGGAGGAGGCTGATCAAGGATTTGGTGCAGCAGAGTTTGAACAAGAATATGGAGATGATTACGAGGAGAGCGAATAACGTTGGGGGTGGTTCTTCGAAGCTCAAGAACTTGGTTGTTAGCACGAGTTCTAAGAGCTTGCCTTACTGAGCGGAAACGACGCCGTTCCATTTGTAAAGTAATCAGGAGAAGAAGAGAAGACACTTCTCTTTTTTTCTTTTCTGTGGTAGTGCATTGGATGCTACATTTGGCTTTTGTAGCTAGAGTTGGATTTTGAATTGTTTCAGGCTCCCCATGCAGAGAGGAGGAAACTTTCCGGGAAAAAGAAAAAAAAAAAGGGGCAAAGAATCAATGGTGTAAATGGATTACTATTTATTGTTTTTCGTTTCGAGTATTTAATAATTTTATTCTCGCAATATAGAGAGCTACGAGTCGTAATGAAAAAGTTTTGTTTGGAAACTGAAATTTGGAGTTGTTTCATTTTCATTCATCCCTTGGCATTGTATTTGGAGAAAGAAGGCTTAAAGTAAGAGCAAATATGTTGCAAAATGAAAAAGATAAGATTTGCTATTGAAACAATAGATAAACGAGGATCCTTTATCGGTTGTTCTAAATGATATCGATTCACTTAATTACTTCTAGGTACTTGTTGTTGCGGGTTCTCAATTTTTAAGATGAGATGATTCGCTATTTTATGTTATCCCCACAAACTAGTAGCGCAAAATGTGCACACCAAATTTGAACAGAAGGTTATGGCTAAATTATACATTTGGTCACTCAAATTATATAAATCTTTCACTTTTGTCATTCGAATTACTTTTCTTTCATATTAGCCACTAACTTTACGATTCGTTTCATCGTTAGTCACCGACCGTTAATCTCCGTTAAACTCGTCAATTCCGTTAAAATTTTGATGACGTGGCAAACGGAAGTGCTGACTAGACTGATAAAAAGAAGAAGTCATGCAAGTTGACCACCAAATCTGCCTCACCCAACCAAATTGACCAAAACATGTTACTTAATTTTCTTTTATTTATATTGTAAGGACTAAAAAGAAAACAAAATTAAACTCAACCCCTTCCAAATTCCAATTCGCCGTCTTTCCTCCACTTCGACAAAAACCACCGTCGTCGTGGAAGGAACCCGTGCTTCCCGTCACCACTCATTCCAGTATCGCAAAACAGGCCGAAGATTCTGGGGCCAAGATCGTCACTGCAGTTCCCGAACAAGAAGCTCGAACGGCTCGAACCGGTATCACCTGTGAGGAAGTAATAGATTGCGGCGGCGCCGAACCTAGCAAATTGAGCTCCAATCGATTGTGCCTTCTCCAATTCACCCACCGCCGTCGCCGCTCCAAGGTCGACAGGGTACTGGGTTTTTGTCGAAGGTGAATATTGGTACGGGGCTATAGTTCTTTTCGGAGGTGGAAATCTGGACGACGGACTGGGGTTATGTCGGATTTGGGATTGGGGTTCTCCTCCGCCAATTTCCTCTCCACTTCCTTCCCTTTCGATCTCGGAGAACTCGCGGTTGAATGAGCCTCCGTCGTGGCGGCGGCGGAGGTTGTAAGCTAGCTTGAAGTTGGAGATTAGTGCCCAGGTGTTGAGCGGAACCACCCTCTGCCTAGTAAACAAAACAAAAGCCTTGAATCAACGAAACAAAGAAGAGAAAAAAATAGGGATAGAGCAGGCAAACAAGAAAAACAATGGACACCTTGGATTCATTGAGGTTGATTTCGTCATCACCAGCCACGTAATTGTTTCTTCTTCTCCTGGTTCTGCTTTTTGCTGAGAGAAGGGGGGGGAGGTGTAGAACCATTCGTTATTGATTTTTATTTTTATATTTTTTAAATTGCTATGTCATTAAGTTAACTATTCTGTCAGCATTTCAGTTTGCCACGTCATTAAAAATTTAACGGTGTTAATGGAGTTTGACGGAAACTAACGGTTGGTGACTAATGGTGAAAACAATAGTAAAGTTAGTGGCTAATATGACAGAAAAGTAATTCGGGTGGCAAAACTGAAAATTTCATATAATTTGAGTGACCGAACGTGTAATTTAGCCAGAAGGTCATTGAAAAGTATTGGTAACAAAGTTGCATCCAGCCATCCACTTGGGCTATGCGACCTCCTCCTCATTCTTCTTCAATGTTTGTTCACATTATTTCTTCAGTTTATTCTAAGCACTCCAACGTTAAACCTACTTATTGTGGGATATTGTAAGGATGATTGACTTTATAACAAGTTATTGTGATATGTATCTCAAGACAAATTCGTGAGGGTCTAAATTCAAAGTGAATAATATATTGTCGGGTCAAATATGCAATTGGTATCCACATCAATGCAATTGGGTTTGCAATTGCACAAACATTCATACCATGTCATCTTGCAATTAAGATTGCCATACCAATGGAATGCTCTAAGAATAATTATTCACCCTTTATGCGGAAATTTTAGTTTGTACAAATTTTTAGGTTGAGGTATCAATGTGTTTTAGTATATAAAAAAGATCGAAGTGTTAAATATTGCCTGTAGCAAAATAGCAGGACCATTTGGTAAATTTGCTTATGGCTTTATTTTGGAACCACAAAACCGACTTTATCTTTAGACGCCGTGCCCGGCCCGGAATAACGCCCCGATACCAGATTGTCGCCTTTACCCTTCATGTCGGCCTTTATAAAACCCTGGTTCGTTCCTTCTCTTCCTCCAATCGGAACTGGCAGCTGGTAGCTAGGGTTTCACATTTCAGACCACAGATTCTTAGCTTCTAGTCCTCTCGTTACAGCGATTCACTATGGATTTCTCCAAGAAGCGGAAGGTCGACGAATTCGGCGTTCCATCCTCGCCCGACGACGGCACCGCGAACGCCGTTGCAGCAGGCGCAAGCTTAACACAAGAAGACATCCGGAAAATCATCGAGCCTTTCACCAAGGACCAGCTCCTCGACATCCTCCAGACCGCCGCCGTCAACCACTCCGACGTCCTCGACGGCATCCGCTCCCTGGCCGACAGTGACGTCACTCTCCGCAAGCTCTTCATCAGGGGACTCTCCGCGGAGACGACATCGGAGACCCTCCGCACCCTCTTCTCCACCTACGGGGAGCTGGAGGAGGCCATTGTCATCTTGGACAAGAACACTGGGAAATCGAAGGGGTATGGTTTCATTACCTTCAAGCACATCGATGGTGCTCGGATGGCGTTGAAGGATCCCAGCAAGAAGATTGATGGGAGGATGACGGTCACGCAGCTGGCCTCGGCCGGGCAATCCAGCTCCGGCGGTGCTGTCGATGTTTCTTTGAGGAAGATCTATGTGGGTAATGTGCCTTACGATATACCTTCAGAGAGGTTGTTGTCTTTCTTCTCGATGTATGGGGAGATTGAGGAGGGACCTTTAGGGTTTGATAAGTCATCTGGAAAGACCAAGGGGTTTGCTTTTATGATTTACAAGACTGAGGAAGGTGCCAGGGCTGCGATTGCCGAACCAACCAAGAATATTAATGGGTTTCAAGTTATTTGCAAACTGGCTGCCGATAATAAGAAAGGCAAACCTCATGGAGCGGACAATTCACAGATGCAACCTAATCTACAGCAGCCCACGATGCAACAGCAACAGCCACCTTATGGCTCGGGCGGTATGCCACCATATGGAGGTTATTCTGGCGGAGTGAACAGCAATAGCTATGGGATGAATTCGTCTATGCCGGGAGGGATGGGTAATGGTGTTTATGGTGGTCAGTATGGAGTTTCTCAATACGGGGGACCTGGTTCGGGTGAGTATGGAATGAATAGTGCAGGGGGTTCGATGTTCAGACCTCCTCCAAGCTCTGCTGGTATGGGTGCTGGTGGTTATCCAGAGAGTGGGCCTTATGGTATGCCTCAGCAACACCAGCCACCATCAATGGCGCCTAGACTTCCACCAGGTGGGATGTACCCTGGTGGCCCACCCTACTACTGAGGTAATTTTCTGTTGGTTTGGGTTTGCTTGTGGTTGTATATGTGCTGCAATCATGTTATCAGGGGCAACCTGGTTTGAATTATTTGTGTATTTCTGTTGCCAATTGCGTTACTGAATCTCCGTTTCGTGTTTGCACCTATTGACTGGTAGTGTTAACCTGTTAGGTGGGCGTCAAATTGGCAGGCCTACTTCAATTCAACCCTAATGACCTTGAAGCGTTCCATTCTTTTGTCGAAATTAATTTGATATAATTGCTTGGTTTTATAAGTAATCTAAGGTCATTGGTAGATTTTCCGGCCGCATGCTTGAGGTCTTTATTGTAGCTGCCTGCCTTTTACTTTACTGCCTTGTTCCATGGTTGGTATTTTTTTTTAATTTATGTTTGACTTGTCTTATGTTCTGATAGGTTTTTGATTCAGGTGTGTGACAGCTTCTTGGGCACAATGCTTTAAATGGTTATCTTGATATCTCGTGAATGCAGACCCTGAAATCTTTGGTTGTTGTTGTGGACTGCTCTGTGCTCTTTTGTTGCTGCTTCACTCCATCTCGTTCCATGATCTAGATTCTTCATGAGAAGGATTATAAAGTTCCTTGTTGCTGTGCCTGGGATATGTTCTAATAGATCTAGTTTATGAAGAGATTCTCTGTTTCTCTTGTTCGCCTTGGCTGATATTTGCCACCTGACACTGTCATTGTGGCTAGAACTTTATGTGATTGAGGAATCTAAATTTTCATTAGTGGAGAATTGTTGAGCTTATATGTTTTTGTTTATCTTCGAATTTGTACTGTATATTGCTTTATTTGTTTGAGCTTGAGACTATTGTTCCGTTTAGGGTCTTTCGCTTGACATGTCATAACCTGTTCCTTTATGTTATATGAAGACTCTCTTCTGTTCCCACGTCATTGACTCGGTGGTAGCTGTTCGTCGACGATCCAAGTTTGAGCAAATGGATCAATCAGATTTAATTTTTTGTTCTGGACAGCTCTGTGTGCTATGAAAGCTGCATTCTGTATAAATTTCTGCTCTCGCCTACTTCGGGCCACGTCTGGTTTCGAGTATGAGACTATAGCTTCATGTAGGGCTATTTACTTGATATGGTCCAAATTGTGGTTTTGTTACCATAAAGATTTGAATCCCCTCTTCTCACTTACCTCTGACAATCATTTTCTTTAGGCCCAGGTTAGAGAAGTATCTGATATGATGTAGATTTAAGTAGTTTCTACTTAGAATACCCCATTGGACTCTTCTATATGTTCTTTAGTCTGTGCATGCCATATATGCCTTGTCTCGGCAGCAATGATGACCATGCGTAGATGTTACGGTAGTGCTTATGTTCGTAATCCTGTGTTTTATGATACAACGTGGCTGGTGCGGCTATCTGAAATTGATGTGCAATAGCTAGTTAATTGTATGGGTGAAGGACTTAAGGTTCCTGCTGACTGGGTTGACTGGCTAGATTTACAAGTAATCTGCTGCATACCAACTTTCAAGGCCTCATTTCTTTTTTTATGGTTTCCAACAACTTGCTGAATACATTTTTCAACTAGGGTGGTTGATGTTAATCTTAAAATGGGTGTAGTTAGCTGAGTGCAATGAGTGATTTGCCTGTTGTTTCTTGTTCTTTACGATATTTTGGCATTCATCCTTTTTATGAAGTCCGTTTAGGATGATTGTGAGAAAGGAGTTGGTCTAATCGTCGGTAAAACTGTAACCAGCTAACTACTGTGGCGTTTTGTTTTGTTGTTTTCACCACTGCTGGGGAGCGCCGATGGTGCTTCACTCGGCCCTGTTGTTGACGTGCGAGGTTCCCTTGGCCAAGAGCTGTGCAGTTGGAAGGTGGTTGATGGGCTCTTTTGGCGGCTCTGCAATTGTAAAATTTTCTGTTTGTTGGGTACTCTACAGAGGATTATGTAAATGTAATAATGTCATTTTAGGTCTTGAAAGAAAATGGCCATATGTAAATTTGAAGCCAGCGCTAGAATAGAGGGGAATAGAATGGCCTATCTTGAGTGCTTCACCGTTAACCTTGCCTGAAAGTCTTTGGCAAACGAATATACTAACCCCATCCTAAGTTCTATGGAGTAGGGATCGTCGTTGGAAACTCAATACACTCTCTTCATAACTCAACTAGCACCGGGCTCGGCCCTTGGCCGAGAAAGTTTAGACAAAAAATATGCACATATAACATGCTTATAAAAGTTACAGTATAATAAGAAGATAAGACATATGATTGGGGAAAGAAATACAATTGCTCAAAGAAAAACATGCGCATAATTCAAGATTAGAGTTGCTTCCCCTAAACATACATAATGAACCGTCAGGGGGGAAGAAAAAGATTGGTCTCTAATAAAGTTTAGTAATAGGATCATTTGTAACCCTAATTGAGGTCAAATAGGTACGTCCAATATTAGGGTAAATTGCAAGGTTGGTCACTGAGTTAACCAAAAACGTTCACGTTTAGTCACTACAAATATTTAATTTCATTCTTGGTCACTAAGATTTGTTTAAGAGCTCAAGATTGATCACTCTCCGTTAACTTTAGCTTATGTGGCAATCAACTCTTCTAGTTGACCGTTAAATATATGACGTGGTAATTAAAAAATTAGAAAATAATCTTTTATATTTTCCACCTCCTCTTCACATTCATTAAAAAAAATAGGGTAAATACAATATATTAGCCACAACTATTATGAAGCGGTGAATTATAGCTACAACTCTGTAATTCAAATTATTAGCCATAACTATTGCCCGGGTCAAAATATGGCTAATTGTCTGTTGCTATTATTGAATTTTTAACGAAGAAGCCACATCATCCACCACGGCAGCAGCCACGTCGGACTACTTTTAATTTATAACTTGAAAACACAAAAATTTAGTCAGCATTACTAACGTAATTGTTAACAGAGAGTGTTACGTTTGACTAATAATTTGAATTTTCATAGTTGTGGCTATAAGAAAATGACATAATGAAATGATAGATAGATAGACCTTGAATGATATACTATGAATAAGAAAATAATATCAAAACCTTGAATTGACCGGAGTTTGAGACGTGATACTATACCCTAAAGATTAAAATATAGGTCTTAATTCTATAAATCTCATATTCTAAGATCAATTTAATTAAAAACAATAACCGAATGTCATGTTTCGTCGAAATACTTCCCAACAAATTATGTGCTTCATCTTGGTGTTTAGGGCAAGGATTGAAAACTCTTACTGTACCGGGGGGGGGGGGGGGGGGGGGGGGGGGGGGGTCCGATAGGAAAACCTCCTACCGGATGCTAAATCGTTAGGAGCTCTTTAGTGGTACAAAACGATAATACCTCGATTAAACCACAATTTCAGCATAAAATACTCTATCGCTGACTTTTTCAGTACAACCTCCGATAAGGTTTTACAATCCTTGGTTTATAGTCTATGATTTAAATAGTTAAGACCTAGGGTTCACTCGTCAAGAGTTAGAGTATAGTATCATGCCCCAAAATTCGGTTAAGTCAAAGTCTAGATTGCCTTTTCTTACCAATGGTATGCGTTACCTTTTGATTATACTCAAAGTACAATAGAACATATTATATATATACACACATATATATGTGGTTGTGTGTGTACAATATAATGGGTTTTCCATATTTTCGGGCTAAACAGATTTTGACCATTAACTCTAGTGCATTTTCTCGACCAAGCCAATGATTGAACCGAGTTGGCAACCTTGATAAATAGTCAAATTTATACCTACACCAATGATTTATAGTATTGCTAAACCGGTTTCTGACCATTAACTCTTAACTCATTTTATTGACCGGGCCAACAACTTAAATCAAGTTGACCACCTTGAAAATGAGTGTAATTAATATCTTACACCAATGATTGATAATAATATATCTTAAGTGTGTGGATTTGCGGTTACTTTAATTCAATTCGTGACTCATTGGTTGAGTGATTAAAATGCTCGAGTTGAAATGTTGATTGTGTATGGTGAACTTCATCAACCAAATTTGTGATAATATGATAATAAAGACCGAAGTGAAGTTTAAAATATAATATGAAATTCCTTTAGGAACCAAAAGAAATAATAATAATAAAAGACAAATGAAAAGCATAAGTTTTGCACCTAATAAGAGTGAAACTTATATCCAAGATCAATGGTTAACTATATGAGTGAATTAAACCGCAAACTTCAATTTGCCTACAGCCGTGGTTGGCCCATTTGAGGTTGAGGCCCAAGTCAGTGAGTCTCCTATGAAAGCAGGACGCAAGTGAAAAGATTGAAACACTGCATTTCATTAAATTAGGATGAAAAGACGAAAATGTCATTCCTTGAAGCTCTCAAGAGACATTTTTTTTGAATTCCTACATTTTGGAGTCATGAATATGCTTCATAAATTTTATAGAAATAAAAATTATATAGACCATATAGTAATTATAAAATGAGGGTGAAATATGTTTACCAATTTTGTTTTCCTTTCATGTTGAAAAAAGTAATCATTTATCTATAATAAAAGTTAATTATTTTATTATCCACTTATTTTATTCTCTTTTTATTCATTTTCCAATTTCCACCGAGCTCCCCCCTTATCTCTCCGCCCGTTTAGCAATTAACCACAAGCAACACCACACCAATCTAGAACTTTCCTTATCTCCCTCCACTTCAACCTAAAGAGCAAGATAAAGGCTCTGTTCTGTTTTTCCCCCTCTAGCGATCCTCATAACTCGTTCTCTGTGCATGTATGTTTTTCTCTCTCAAATCAAAATAAATCAGCAAATCCAGAAACTTAGAACCTCGATCTTTCTCTCCCTCCACTTTATATCCCCTCACTGAATGGGAGAGCAAGATAGAGCCCTTCTTTTTTCTTATGAGTTATGACGGTCAGAGGAAGAAACAACGGATGTGTTGGTTACCATCGCATTCAGGGTGGCGGGAGGGCGGTAGAGACAGCAACTGCGTTGGTGACCATCAATTCACGGCGGCGGAGGACAATAGAAACTATGGCTGTGTTGGTAACCCCTGATTCACGAAGGCGGGGGGCAATACAACTTCAGATCGTCTACCTGACTTTGGCCGAGGAGGAGAGAAGGGTTCGCCGATCGGCTAAGAGAGCAGGGTCCGGTGAGAAAGATCTTTGAAGCTGGTCGATTTCTTCTTCCCTTTCTAGAATGAAAATGCAATACCATATAGATGTGCCCTGAGAGAATTGGTTATGGGTTGGGAATAGAAGAGGGCCCATGGGAAAAAGAGGCAGGACTGAAGAGGGCCGAATTACCGGATAGAAAAGGAAGTGCAGTGGGCCTAGTTATTGAAGGGTGAGTCGGCGGAGCCCAGAATGTGAAACGCACAGCAGAATTAAGTTGGCTGGAAAAGTCATTACTGCCCCTTCCGTGAATCAATCAGAGAGCTTCATTTTCAAAATGATGAAAAGGTGACTCATGAATATGCTTCATAAATTTTATAGATACACTCACTTCATAATCGTCATAATCGTCATTTTAAACATGTAATTCATGTTAAAATAATGTCAATCATCAGTTATGATGCGATTGAACAATAAAGCACATGAATTTGCACAAAAAATCATCCAAGATTTACTTTGAAGGATTTTTAGAGTTTAGAGATTTAGGGTTAGGGTTTACATTTGGTGTTTAGAGACAATATTCAAAATTGGAGGTTAGGGCTTAGGGCAATCCGTTAATTAGTTGCGATCATATGTTACATCATCATATTATACTAATTCTACAATTTAAAATTCAAAATCAGATACCTTAAGACTAGTTTTTGAGTTGTGTGCATTGAACGCGCTCATTTTTGTGAGTTCACCGAAGTAATCACCTTATAAATACTTGAATATGCTCTATGACTAGGGTGGCATAGGATCCATATCTATGAGTTCAATCTGATTCATCTTGGCGTAAAGTGCAAGTAGGCGGTGAATCGGGTTGCAATATACTCGATTGAAGATTGAGGAATGCAATCAGGATAATTAGGAACCATATCAATACAATCTAATCCATCCATCAAATTATCCACCTAATCCAATCTACTTAAATTCATTACATTTTATCCCAATCCAATTGGATTTGTGGATTCATGGATCATCTAAATGGCAAATTACGGTTCTGTACCTATACTTTTTATATTTTACATTTTGGTACCTGAAATTTATTTTTTATATAAAAAATACCACCCATAGAAAAATTATGTTTTGGTACCTAAAACTTTTCATTATGACATTTTCGTACCTAAACTTTTCAAAATTTACATAATAGTCCAAGGCTTAAATGTCATTTGGATTCATGAATCAATCCACTTGATCCAATTCATGAATCCACTAATGCATTCGAGCCATGGATCCACCAATCCATTAATTCAATCCATCTGCCACCTCTATCTATGACTTAGCGAAAGCTTGAAGAAACATTTAAACAAGATGAATCAATGTTGTCAGAACCGAACCGGAGCATGACCCGGTAATGCAAACAACTCGCACTTTAGTGGTCCAACCAACATTAGATCGTTTAAAAACCGTTAGAGAACCGGTACCTAATAAACGTTATCAGTATAAATAGTGAACAGTTCTTAATCAGAGCTCGTCTCTTTCCTTCGAAATTGTGAAATGGAAATAAGGATTCAGTTTGAGAGGCCGATGTTTTTGGTTTATTTCAATTTTCAATTTTCTGCAATTTTTTTAATTAAATTTAACGGCTGAATGACAAAAACCGGACAAGCGGCTCGATCGGCTCAAGCGGTTAACTGCCTCGACCGCTCATCAACCGCTACATAAAACCGTAGCGCCTTTTAGATTGTTCTGAGCCTGTTTTGTGACCGGGTGGCGGTTTTACAGGTTGGACCGAATGGCTCGGCTCGACTTTAATAACACTGAGATGAACTACTGAAAAAAAGTTAACTTACTTCATTCTCGTCCTTCAATCAAGCTACAATCCGCATTTCCTTTCTTGTTGTCATTGTTTTTTGAAATCTCCAAGTAGCTAGACCATCTCGTAGGAGGAATCAATGAAAATCCTGGACTTAGACGGCTTAATAATGGCTTAATCTGCATACTGTTCTCGAATCCCGAGCTATTGACTCAGCTGCTATTGAATCCAAGCCGGTTAGAATGTGAATCTTGGTTTCTTGCAAGACCTGTTATGCTTCTTGCAGTATCTTTTTTGCTTCTTCTACAGTCATTTATGGTATTTTTTTTTCCCGTTGTAGTTCTGTTTTCAGAACACTTCTTCGGAAAAGCCGTTGTTGCTTGCTGCTTGCAAGCTCGAAAATATCTCTTTCGCCTCCCCTCCCTGTTGTCAAATCGGTTTATACCAGTGTGCCGGTTTAGCAAGTGGAATGATTCAACCAATGGTACATACCGATTTGTGCCGGTTCATATCGGTTAAAATTACAAATAAACTTACAAATACTCATATTTAAACACGACATTTAACATCAAAACCTAAACATTTATACTTGAATCTAACAAATAACATCAACATTTAACTTTTAAACTCATAAAATAAATAATAAATCAATTTTTTATCAATTAAATTCATTAAAATAATATTATTTTACTTAGAGATTCATAGATCGATCATTCCGGTCATACTGATGGTGTCACGCCGGTTTTATGACCAGTAGCGATTGAACCAGATTCAACCGGTAGCACGCCGGACAACCATGCCATCTCAACATCATGCAATTTTTCTTGATCCCTCAAATCTAAAGTAGGGAATCATATTTATGAATTGTTTTATTCTATAAGAAGGAACTCCATGTCTCGTCCTTGCTGGTACTACTAAGGGAAATCTAACCACTTTTGTTCATCATGCACCAATTATTACTTTCTCCTTATCGCAAAGGCCACCAAACCGAAAACTAGTCATCAGTTCTCATTAATCTGCTGATCATCAATATATTTTTATTGTATTCCTTATTTTCTGATGATAAGTCTTAAAAATAGATTCTCAGACCTCAACAAATCAGACCGTCCCGCCCATTATTATCGCAGTAAATCACAAATTCTGTTATCTGAAGAAAAAAAAAACAGCCTAATAATACTAGGAAAAGGAAGAATTACAGCATTGGATGGGAAAACAGAGTACGGGTATAATAGGGAAGTAAACTGATTTTTTTTTTTTTGTAACTCGAGTGGCACCTCTGCCTCCCTTCTCTCTAATTGTGGCTGTATTCAGGATTCAGGAATAGTCCACTGCCCACTTAACCGGTCAGCTTCGATTCCTTTTCCATTCTTACTTTTCCTGCAATTTTGCTGCTGTTGGGTTTCAGGTTGCTCGCTCGAGGGTTTTGGGTTTTTCTTTGTTCGATGATCAGCTTCCGAATAGTCTGTCTATGTTGAGTGAGCGATCATGGGTTTTGGAATTTCACTCCCTGGCTAGCCTTTTGCTTTGTTTTGGTAACTTTCGTTGTGGGGTATTGTCTTGTTATCGGTAAATTTTACAGCGATGGGGTGGGGTTTCGATGATCCTCTAAATAGTGATTTGTAGCTCACTCCCCTGTTCTTTGAAGGCTTGAAAGTTGCTGAATTTAGTTTTTTTTTTTTTTTTGCTTCCTTTCCTTCCTTCTATGGGTCGTCAATGGCGATCATCGTGTTCCTTTTTCTCGCCCAGTTGCTGGGTTTTCTCCCCCCGCGAGCTGTTTTTGTTCCCCTGATTTTCTGAATCGCTTAGGTTTAGCTTACTCCTTCAGAGGGTTTTAGAGACCCCTGGGTTTGATATATTTCGTTGTTGGGTTCTTCTGGCGCTATGGAAGAATCAGAGATCAGTAAATTCGTAGCCTTTTGTGGGTTTTCTTCCATGAAAAACTTACTTGATCTCTTTAATGGCGGAAGAAGAAGGTGCATTACTTGGGAATCCCTTTTAATTTGAAACGAAAACCCTTCTTTTTAGGGTGGAACCTCTGTTGCATATTGCACAGAGTTTGTGTTGCTTGTTTTAAGCAAAGATGGATGGAAGTCTGGCACTGCACTTGCCATTAGTCTTCTGGGCTTTTTTTTTCTTGCTTTCTTTATGCTGTGTTGAAGAATCCATGTCACTGAATCAGAACTCTTTTGAAATAGCTGGGATTTGATACTGAGCTATCGTTCTTGATTACACCCGTACTCGTATGTATCGAGTGCTGACCTTATTCTGTCAATTGAAGCGAGCTAAAAAGTTTTGCTGTGTAGTTTGTGATTGTCTTGTCTTGTCTTGTGTTGTGTAACATGTTGCTTGCTTCTTCAGCTTCCCTTGGTGGAGTGTCACTGAAATGGACTTTCTGAAAACTATACATCCTTTTTCTAGGCAAAGGCACGATTGCCCTACAAGATGGAGGACAAAGTTACGTCTTGGGTTGGTGGTATATACAGAAAGGTTGAAGCTATGTGTATGGAGGCTGATGATATGATGCGCCAGGAAGCACAAGCCTTTGTAGAAATCCATTTACAAAGCGTGGGTGCCAATGTGAAGCAGTTTTGCTCGGAATTTGTACGAGATGTGCTTCCTCAGTCTTCTAATGGATCATCTACCAGAATCAAGCAACGTTTTCAGGTCTCGAAGGAAACTACTGATGCAGTTACGTACAAGAACTCTAAGTCAGCTGTTGAGGAAGAGCAACTTCAAATTCAAAAACATGACATGCTCCCAGAAAAGATAGATCACGAGGAGTCGGTTTCGTGCAACAACCCACCTATTGAGGCCACACTTCAAACCGAGGTTCCTTCGGAGGTGACCTTAGAAGAAAGCTATTATCAGGAGGAAACCCAAGTTCAATGCGAAAAAGATGGTGTGACATCAGAGGATCGTTGCCAACCCGCGGTCTCTGATGATCTACTGGAGCAACACTCTTCCTCCAGTGATGTTAAATCTGCAGCAGCTGCTGAACTGGCAGACTCCGGTGATGATGATAGTTTGAATGCTGAATGTGCTCCTTATGAGCAAGCCAGTGAGTTCTTTCCTTCTAATCGTTTTCCCTATTGCTATGCATTCATTGAACCTTTAATCTTCAGCCTTCTTTCAACTTCACCGTACTGACACCAACTCTCTTCTTTTTAGCTGCAGGACAATTCGATGGTTGTTGCAGCAATGAAACTCCAAATTCGATATCTCCCAATGGAGTGAAGCTTGACGAAAGCTGCATTGTAGTGGATGATTTAGAACTCTACGGTCTTTCGAGTCAGGAAAGACGCTACAGAACACACTGGTCTTACAAGGTAATTCTCCCTTTCATGTGTTTGCATTTGCCTAGCTTTCGAATAGCAAAGAGAGATGATCTAACCCAGTTGGCAATTTCTCTTTTTGCCCTTACGGTTTGGCAGAAAAAGTTGAAGGAAGTTCTTGGCTTGGCATCAAAGTCGATGAAGCAGAATCGGAGAAACCAGGATCCTGCAGCAGCTTGTCCGGAAGTTAGGGAAGTCGAAGAAGGTGGTGATCAGGAGAACTTTGGATCAGACTGGGAAATCATCTGAGCAGTATGAATTCTTCTGAAACTTTTTAAAGTTTTCTGGTGGAGAAGAAATGAATGATTAGTGTAGAGAGAAAGAGAGGGAGTTTTAAGATGGAGTAATTTTGAGGCAGACCAAAATAAACTGATTACTTTCTCTGTAATGCGGAGGAGATGGCTTTTGTGTTCTTCTGAACTCTCCCACCAGCATGTCGTTGTTATTTCACCGGCGCTGGCAAGGGTTGTAGCCATTGATTTATGCTGAGAGTTTCGATTGATACAGGAATATAACTAAATACACATGATCGGTCGATGTTTCAACTTTTGTCACGTTTGTCACTGAAAAAAGTACAAGTTACAAACTTTAAATATCTATTTTTCACCGGTCACTGGCCGTTCATATTCGTTCATTACCGACTCAGCTTAATTTAGAGAAAGCAAGAATTTTTTATTACTTGATGTAGATTTTCTTTTTGAACGTATGTAGCTACATTTGCCTTGTCAATTAAAAGGAACTTCGATCATACCAAGTCTTGTTCCGATTGACGAGGCATACTCATAGCACGATAATAAAAAAAACCGTGTTTGTGAAAACGTACTGTACCAGCTATTCAAATGAAAAAATTTCATATGGAATCTAAACTCATAGGCGAAAATTTTCATTATCATGTATCATTCAAAAATTAAATATTGCCACTAGTATCCAAGTTCTTAGAGAAGGTTGGAAATCAAAAAAAGAAACCATGAACGAACTTTGGAGTCGAAATACGATTAAAGGGAAATGTCAATCACCTTGTCTTCCACCCAGCAAAACAAGTGGAACAAAATTAGGCAGTTTTAGGAAGCTTTGCCGCTGTTCGGATTTGATTTTGTGCAGAGGACCCAGCGCCCCTTTGCCCGTCGGCGCTTCAAAATCGCCCTCCCACTGGTCGTTCTCATCCGTCGCCGGAAACCATGAGTCCTCGCCAGAGACTTCCTCGACCTGTTCCTCTTGGTCAGGCAAAGCGCAGCCTTCCCTGCTCTCACCACCAGGCCGCCGCCCCGCTTTCTCGATTTTTCGCCGGAGTTCAAATCCACCGTTCCCAAAGACAGACCTAAAACGAAAAAATTTCCCGACAAATTTTAGCCGGACTGCAATTCAGAGACAGAAGAGAGGGGGAGACGCAATTGACGACGCACCTGAGAAGGAGGATGTCGGAGGTGAGAGGAAAGAGCAGTGTAGCAGGCCGGAGCGAGATGTAGAGCTGGAAGCGGCATTCATGGAGAAATTCCTCTTGCCGGTGGAGAGGGAGAGAGAAGCGGAGACGGATCCACGAGGTGAGGATTGGGCGTTTCTGCACGACGGCATCCACGCCGGCGACGACATTATGGATAAAGAAGCCGCCATGGCCTGTTCGTTTCTTTCTTGCTTCTTCGGATTTCTTTTCTTCGTTATCCCGATAAGGCTGGGGGAAGTGACGGGATGATGACGAGTGAGGAAGAAGAGAGGAGGTGAGGTGGATTTTTGTGGATCGGATTTATCCAAAACCGAAGCCCAAATGGTAGTTGGATCGGATCCACTTTTTAAGTCCACGACTGCACCGGAGCTCATACGAAGAGCCCACAGGCTCAGAAACTAAACTAATGTAGAGAAAGAACAAGAGATGGCAGTAGAACCCGAACATGCGGGTATCCTAACCAACCCAATTCGGTCAACGCGGATAAAATTCACTTTGACGAATTGCGGGTCGGGTTCGGGTTTAAATCCACTATACTTTTTGCGGGTTGAGTTTGGATTTATCCATATCCAACCCGCGTATACACTCACCCAAGTCCATACCCCCATGACTCACGAAACCCTTAATAAATTAACTATAATTTCTAAACTTATTTCTCACACGTTCAACTAATCATATTGTTTGTGGATGTTTATCTTTAATATTGAACAATTTGTATGAATGATTCGTTAGTTAGTTAGTGTGTATGTGGTAGACAATAGTAGTGAAAACTAGTGTAATTGCATCTTTGTACATGAACTCATGGGTACTCATGAACTCGCAAATACCCAACAACTTGTGTTTGGTTTGAGTTTTCCAAATCCAATGAATTTTACTATGAATTTTTTTATTGGATAAATACATAAATTTGAGTTTGGGTTTGACAATAACTCACACCAATCCGACTAATTGCCATCACTAAAAAGAACCACTAAAATCATATTTCTTAGAAAAGTTGTCAAGAACCGATAAAACTGTCAAAGAGAGAATACAACACATAAAAATACAAGCAGGAACAGACTACAGGTAGTCCAAGCTAGTTCTTACCGGTTGAACTGAAATTTAGTAGTTATTACCGGTTTGTCTTTCCTTTTAAGATTATTAATATTTTATCGAGTATTTAAAATGTTATAAGATGTTATAATAGTTATTACGGTCGATAAAATACCCACACCTACACTAGATTTCTATCATGATTTTAGAATACTCCGACTAATACGCGTATATATGAACATACATATTTTATGCGTTTAAAATTTTCATTTACGTACAATTTCGAATCATTTCGTTTGAAGGCTTCTTTACTAAAAACGTATAAATCCCGTATAATATATGTATTTAATGAATTAAGTTTGGAATTACAACATTATTAATATATTTATTTATTTTAAAATACTTAATGTCATGTATATTATGACTATTGACATACTACTAAATGTATCATTAGTTGAAATATGAGGTCTAAATACCCGTACATTTTATACGTATTTGTACCGTATCTTACTAACCATGTGGCTTTAACCCATTAGCTTGAACACAATGTCACATGCATCCATTCTTCTTATCAAAAAACAAAAATAAAGTGACTCGAGCAACAGCTCAAAGAGTGTGACAGTAGTTCACTTTGTTGTCTAAAATCAAATGTTCAAAAAGCTTAATCCGTTGGTTCTTGCTAAGAGCTTCATGAAAAAAGTGCGATATATCTAATATTTCTCTAATCGAATCTTAAGAGACTAGCAGCAAAGAAACAGCCAACAATACAAGTTTCGCCATTAACGGATTAAATCGCCGACAGAAGCTTTTACCTGGAATTGACTTCTCCTCCTTGCCGCTAGCTTCCATCTGCGGTTCCGCCATCTGGAGAGGAAGCAGCAGTGTCTCTCAGTTAAACGAACGATCAGGAACTAAAAATCGAACTAAAGATCGGATTCGATCGTTTTGGAAACCTAACTACGATAGAAATCGAATTTGATCCTTTCCAAGAGCATTTCCAAGATCACGAAGGATTCTCGATTGAGCTTGTATAATTTCACATGTTTCCCCATGTGATCTATAAGCACGGACAGAAGCTTCCTGTTGTGCTCAAACAAATAGCTTCTTCGTATCAGTGTTGGAGGTCTAGCAACAGAATTTGTAAATTTGGTTCTACGTTGTTTAAAGTTATGAATGCAAAGACGTCCATCCTTCCCCAAAATGTATAGTCTCGCTTCGTGGTAGCGGCGGATCCAGAATACAGAAGAGTACTGGGCTGCATTTCATTAGAAAATTAGAACCGTAAAAAAATATAATGATTATAGTTTTTTGCAATGTAAATTGTACACAACTGTATTTTAATTTAGGGGATGCATCAATAATGAAGTCTACATCCATACCAATAGTAAACACTGTTTCAAATAAAATACTTGAGCAATCGGCGAGAAATTCATCGCTCATTTTGTTGAGCAAATCGGTTCTCACATGTTTCATTGTTAAAAAGGTTCTCTTCGTAGTAGCTGTTGAAACGAGCAGCATCAACACTAGATAAATCAATCGACTAATCAATTTACATTGTGTGTCCATCCCTGCACACCAGCTGCTTTAGGAAATTTGTAAGGGAAAAAACCTCATATTTCTTTTAGTCTTTTACGTTTTTAACTTTTTAGAATTTTAGGTTTCATTGTTTTTTAAGACACATAATCTTTGGGGCTAAAATTTCTAGGCTAAATTTAGAATAGTGATTTGAATATGTTCAACTTGATAATTTTTCTGGTTAAACCCAATCTTATCATAGAATAACACCGGATTGAATGTCTAAAATAAAAAATTTCATAAGGACTATAGTAACTACGAATCCAGAGGAGGGCTGGGCCGGGGCCTGGGGTGACCACTCTCTGGATCCGCCAGTGCTTCGTGGTAAACTGGTGTGCTGAAAGAGCTCTTGAATACCAAACCATCGCTCATTAATTCACGTCGAGTCCACTCATGTTCCCCTTGATGAATGCAGGCTATGGTCACATACTGCTGCGAAACTGTGTAGCCCACAAACACACAGTCGAAGGATGTTGGAGGAGACGAAAAGGCGATCCCTTCAAACTCGTATAACATGCTAGGAAGATCGATCCTTTCTTTGGTAAAAAGGATTGAAAAAGAATAGCTTACCAGCCCGACCTCCTCGCGACATGAGCAACCATCCGTGCTTGCAGCACTGAATGACAGCGCCTGCAGGCTCGAACATTGCTTATCTGTTTGAACAGATTGGCTAGCTCTACATCTTTCCCTATATGTATGAGGATTGGAAATGAGTCTGTCGCCTTCACGAATGAAACATTCGACGATGCATAGATCGAGCCGGAGAATACAGAGTTCCATGTCCTGCAAGCGAGGCGAAAAATGCGACGATCCGCTCCAAACAAACGAGATTGTACATCAGAAAGAAGCTCGACTGGAATGTCGTGCGACCAATGTCTTCCATCATCAGTAGAACTACTGTTACTACTGTTGTCCGTCAACATAATCTGCTCATCATCACTACCAATCTCATCAGGGAAGCTCTCGGATCCACCACGACCTCTAGAATTAGCTGCCACGACTTCCCGTCGACAAGGATTAGTTGTTGAAGACGGCCATCCATGGGGCACCATCCAAATCGGTTCAGAATCGTCATATCCAGTTGGTCCCAATAACTCGAGTTGTTGGGAGAAGGTTCTGCTGGATCTTATACCACATTCTAACACGCCCCCTCAAACGAAAGCCAACCCATGGGCTTGAAGTTTTCACAGACCCACCATACCATGTGCTTGATAGACAACGGTTAATATTGGGGGTCGTGGAGATTCGAACACATGACCTTTTGGTTCGAGGCTCAGATACCATGTCAAGAACCCGTTGCTCCCAATAACTCGAGTTGTTGGGAGAGGTTCAATCGTGGATCATATACCACAACACTAACACGCCCCCTCAAACGAAAGCCACTCACAAGGACTTGAAGTTTGCACAGGTCTGAAGACAATGATGAGGACATCAATGGGCCAGTCACACGTGCAAAGGCAAGAACGTTGAAGGAGAAGCTTGCAACGTATTTGGAGAGCTACTTTGGGACCATGGACGTGGAGTTGTTTCGAGGAAAGCCATATATGATGATTCGAGTGGAGGAAGAAGGAGGAAGTGCTGGAGAAAAGGCAGATTGCAAGAAGCCTTAACGGGTTTGCTTAATGGGTCCAGCCTTAACGGGTTTGCTTAACGGGTTCAGGCTTAACAGTTTGGGCTTAACGGGTTTGCTGGGCTATTTTCGGGTTTCCTTGTTTTAAAGTCGGTTTATGATTGTTTTTCCATGTTGGAGTCGGATTTGGGTTGTACTTTGCCTATTTAAAGGGCTGAACACGTTGGTTTTGTTGGAAGATGATTATTATTGAATTTCAGAGGCTATTGCCGAGTTCCCTACACGGAATTTGCCCTAATTACTCTGTTGAGAATCTCCAGAGTGCTAGAGCGACTCTTATCAGCTAGGTATTCACCCTGGTTGTGGCGAGCTACCCATATCGATTTCCCTTTATTCCGAGTTGAATCTGTCCGATCGATTCATATATCGATTGCCCTTATTCACAGGTGAGTACTGTCCGATCGATTTCCATCCTATCTGGTTCTGTTTGGTTCGAGAAGCTTGACCCTGCGCAACTTTGATTATATCAAGTGGTATCAGAGCTAAGGTTCAAATCAGTGGCGTGTTCTTGAAGTTTTTTTGAAGATCTTGTGCGTTCTTGTTTGTGTTCTTGGTGGTTTGTGCGAGTTCTTGAAGGTCTTTGCGTGTTCTTGAGCCGCAAGACAGGAGGTTGTTTGTTCTTGGGAGTTCTTGGTGTTTCTTGTGAGGCAAGAAGCAGGTTGTGCGAGTTCTTGTTAAGTTCTTGTGTTCTTGGAGTTTTATTGCATCGCAAACATGGAAGCAGCACTCGAAGCGATCAGAAATCAATTGGAGAACATTGCTCGTGCTCAAGAAGAGCAAACAGCAAGGCTTGCCGAGCAAGTCACGAGGATGGAGGCTGTCGATACAAGGCTCCAGCAACCGGTTGTAGTTGATGTAAACCCTAACCCTAGACCTCGACAAGAAGAAAGGGGAAGGGAAAATCGAGCTCCTCCACCCTTGGTTCATGAAGTACAGCGTCATATGCGCCAGCATAGACGCCTTGGAATGCCTCGAGTTGAAAGGAGAGGGAGGCAGCAGCATCATGAAGAGGAGTTTAATGACGAGGAAGAAGAGGGCTTTGAGGAGGATGATGATTTGTGAAACCTCAAGGTCACGATTCCACCTTTTCGCGGTCCTACGAGGTTTGCTTATGTGAAAGAAGAAGGAAGCGGGCGGAGACCCGTGCGCGCAGACCACGAACCCTGATGATTATTTGGATTGGGAGCGAAAGATGGAACTAGTGTTTGATTTTCATAACTACTCCGAGAAGAAGAAAGTGACATTGGCTGCCCTAGAGTTCTCGGATTATGCACTTGTTTGGTGGGATCAGTTGGGAACGAAACGAAAGAGAAACAGGCAGCGTCCTATTGAGACGTGGGATGAGATGAAAGGAATTATGAGGGATCGGTTTGTACCGAGTTCCCATTTGCGAGATATGTATCAAAACCTTCAGCTTCTCCGGCAAGGAACTAAAAGCGTTGAAGATTATCACAAGGAGTTGGAAGTGTTGATGATACGTGCTAATGTGAGAGAGGACCGCGAGGCTACCATAGCTCGTTTTCTGTATGGTCTCAATCGAGAGATCAAGAACGTGGTGGAGATACAACCGTTCCTTGAACTTGAAGATTTGGTGGATATGGCAAGTAAAGTGGAACGACAGCTTCGAAATAGGAGGTTTCAACCCTCCACGAATTCCACACGTTCGAGCCAAGGAGTTGCAACCAACCCTAAGCCGCAACTGCCCGTGAAAGAAGCTCCTAGACCCGCGGCAAGGGCTGATGGTGCAAATCCAGTTATGAAGCAAGGTGGATCGTCGGGGGAAATTCGTTGTTTCAAATGCCATGGAAGAGGACACATTGCGAGCCAGTGTGCCAATAAGAAGACCCTGATCTTGCTTGATAATGGCGACTATGTATCGGAGGAAGAGGAAGAGACCACCGATTCTGATGTCGATGAGTCTATGGAAATGGAACCACCTCTAGGCAGTTTGTTTGTAGCACGGAGAGTATTGTCTGCACAGCCTAAGGAGGAGAGTGAACAGCGAGAAAATATCTTCCATACGAGATGTGTAGTTGATGGGAAGTTGCTGTCTCTAGTGATTGATGGAGGAAGTTGCACGAACGTTGTGAGCGCGTGTGCGGTGAAGAGGCTAGGGCTGCCTACGCTGAAGCATCCAAAGCCATACACGCTGCAATGGCTTAACGATCACGGATCCATCAAAGTCACAAAGCAGGCACTAATGAAGTTCGAGATTGGAGATTACAAAGATGAGATTTTGTGTGATATAGTGCCTATGCAAGCTGCACATGTGCTTTTTGGCAGGCCATGGCAGTTTGATCGACAAGCACAGCATGATGGAGTGACAAATAAGTACAGGTTGCAACATGGAGGAAAGAAGTTCGTGTTGAAGCCTCTGTCTCCAAGTGAAGTATATCGAGATCAACTCCAAATGCAGCAACGTCGAGAGCAAGAAAAGGCAAGTAATGCCTCGGCCAAGAAAGGAGAAGAGGGAGCTGGAATTGTGGATTCGAAGGCAGTGATGCTAGCACGCAATGGAGATTTGAAGCAAGCTGCCTGTGCACGAGAACCTTTGATTGTGCTCATGTATAGGGACGTGCTGCTCAATCAAGAGCTAGTCCAAGAAGTTCCAGCCGAAGCAAGAGTGGTGTTGGATGAGTTCGAGGATGTGTTTCCAGAGGAAGCACCGAAGGGGCTGCCTCCTATTCGCGGAATTGAGCACCAAATTGATTTCGTGCCAGGAGCTCAAACTCCAAACAAGGCAGCATATCGAGCTAACCCGGAAGAGACCAAAGAGCTGCAAAGGCAGATTGACGAGCTCATGGAGAAGGGGCATGTTCGAGAAAGTTTGAGCCCGTGTGCAGTTCCGGTGATTCTCGTGCCAAAGAAGGATCACACCTGGCGGATGTGTGTAGACTGTCGAGCCATCAATCAAATTACAGTTAAGTATCGTCATCCAATTCCACGATTAGATGATATGCTTGATGAATTACATAGCTCTACGGTGTTTTCCAAGATTGATTTGAGATCAGGTTACCACCAAATTCGTATGAAGGAGGGAGACGAGTGGAAGACTGCGTTTAAGACCAAGCAGGGTCTATACGAATGGATGGTGATGCCCTTTGGTTTAACCAATGCTCCTAGCACGTTCATGAGGTTGATGAACCATGTTTTGAGGCCATTCATTGGCAAGTTCGTGGTCGTATACTTCGACGACATTCTGATCTACTCGAAGTGCATGGAGGATCATCTCAATCACTTGAGAGAGGTGTTGGCAATGTTGAGAAAGGAGAAATTGTATGCTAACCTCAAGAAGTGCTCGTTTTGCACTTCTAGTGTTATTTTCCTTGGTTTTGTGGTGAGTGCAGATGGAGTCAAGGTGGACGAAGAGAAGGTGAAAGCAATTCACGATTGGCCTATTCCAACCAACGTGAATGAGGTGCGGATCTTTCATGGGCTTGCTGGATTTTATCGTTGATTTGTGCCCAACTTCAGCACCATTGCCGCACCATTGACATCCATCATCAAGAAGAACGTGACGTTCTATTGGGGAGAGGAGCAGACCAGAGCATTCGAGCTGCTCAAGCACAAGCTCACGCACGCACCTATTCTGATGTTGCCGGATTTCAATAAGATATTCGAGGTGGAGTGTGATGCTTCTGGTTTGGGAATTGGAGCAGTGTTGATGCAAGAGAAGAAGCCAATTGCTTACTTCAGCGAGAAGTTGAGTGGGGCTGCCCTCAACTATCCGACGTACGACAAGGAGCTTTATGCCCTAGTTCGAGCCTTAGAGACATGGCAGCACTATCTTTGGCCGAAGGAGTTCGTGATTCACACTGATCACGAGTCGTTGAAGTATTTGAAAGCTCAACACAAGCTGAACAAGAGACATGCTCGATGGGTTGAGTTCATTGAGTCCTTTCCATACGTGATCAAGTACAAGCAGGGCAAAGAAAATGTAGTTGCTGATGCCCTATCTCGAAGGCATTCGTTGATCATGACAATGGGGGTGAAGTATTTGGGTTTCGAGCATATCAAGGAGCTCTATTCTGATGATGCTGACTTTGGGGAGATCTATACAGCTTGTGAGCAGCATGGCGATGGGAAGTTCTATCGAAGTGATGGCTACTTGTTTCGAGCTAACCAGTTGTGTATTCCTCGATCATCACTTCGAGAGTTGCTGTTGAAAGAGGCTCATGGAGGAGGCTTAATGGCACATTTTGGTGTAGACAAGACGCTGAGTTGTCTACAAGAGCACTTCCATTGGCCGCACATGAAGGGAGACGTGGAGAATCTGTGTGCGAGGTGTGTGGAGTGCAAGCAGGCCAAGTCGAAGGTGCAATCATCTGGATTGTACACACCGCTATCGATTCCATATGCTCCATGGATCGACATCTCTATGGATTTTGTGCTTGGTTTGCCGCGGACAAGGAAGGGAAGAGATTCGATTTTCGTGGTGGTGGATCGATTCTCAAAGATGGCACACTTTATCCCATGCCATAAGACTGACGATGCGGTTAACGTGGCTGATTTGTTTTTCAGGGAAGTGGTGTGATTGCATGGGATGCCGCGTTCCATAGTATCCGATCGAGATACTAAGTTTCTGAGTTTCTTCTGGAAGACGTTGTGGAGCAAGCTGGGGACGAAGCTGCTGTTCTCTACTACATGTCATCCTCAAACCGATGGGCAAACAGAGGTGGTCAATCGAACATTATCCCAGATGCTTCGAGCTGTGATCAAGAGCAACATCAAGGTTTGGGAGGACTGCCTTCCCCATGTGGAGTTTGCTTACAACAGGATGGTGCACTCGACGACAAAGTTCACTCCGTTTGAGCTCGTGTATGGTTTCAATCCACTCACGCCTTTGGATTTGATGCCATTACCTTTGAATGAGCAGGTCAATCTCGATGGAGCCAAGAAAGCCGAGTTCGTGAAGAGTTTACATGAGAAGGCGAGATTGAACATTGAGAGAAGAACGGAGCAGATAATGCGCAATGTGAACAAAAACAGAAAACCGAGGCACTTTGAAGTTGGCGACTTGGTGTGGGTGCATTTGAGGAAGGAGAGGTTTCCCCAATAGAGGAAATCGAAGTTGCTGCCCCGATGTGATGGTCCTTTCCAGGTGGTTTCGAAGATTGGAAGCAACGCCTACAAAATTGACTTGCCAGGAGAGTATGGAGTAAGTGCAACGTTTAATGTTTCTGACCTTGCACCTTATTTGGATGGCAATTAGGATTTGAGGGCAAATCCTTTTGAAGAAGGAGGGGTTGATGAGGACATCAATGGGCCAGTCACACGTGCAAAGGCAAGAACGTTGAAGGAGAAGCTTGCAACGTATTTGGAGAGCTACCTTGGGACCATGGACGTGGAGTTGTTTCGAGGAAAGCCATATATGATGATTCGAGTGGAGGAAGAAGGAGGAAGTGCTGGAGAAAAGGCAGATTGCAAGAAGCCTTAACGGGTTTGCTTAATGGGTTCAGCCTTAACGGGTTTGCTTAACGGGTTCAGGCTTAACAGTTTGGGCTTAACGGGTTTGCTGGGCTATTTTCGGGTTTCCTTGTTTTAAAGTCGGTTTATGATTGTTTTTCCATGTTGGAGTCGGATTTGGGTTGTACTTTGCCTATTTAAAGGGCTGAACACGTTGGTTTTGTTGGAAGATGATTATTATTGAATTTCAAAGGCTATTGCCGAGTTCCCTACACGGAATTTGCCCTAATTACTCTGTTGAGAATCTCCAGAGTGCTAGAGCGACTCTTATCAGCTAGGTATTCACCCTGGTTGTGGCGAGCTACCCATATCGATTGCCCTTTATTCCGAGTTGAATCTGTCCGATCGATTCATATATCGATTGCCCTTATTCACAGGTGAGTACTGTCCGATCGATTTCCATCCTATCCGGTTCTGTTTGGTTCGAGAAGCTTGACCCTGCGCAACTTTGATTATATCAGACAAGAATACCATGTGCTTAACAAATGGGGGTCACCGGGAATCGAACACAAGACCTCTCGGTCACAGAAGGCTCTGATACCATGTCAAGAACCAGTTGATCCCAATAACTCGAGTTGTTTGGAGAGGTTCAATCATGGATCATATACCACAACACTAACACATGTCAAGAACCAGTTGATCCCAATAACTCGAGTTGTTTGGAGAGGTTCAATCATGGATCATATACCACAACACTAACACGCCCCCTCAAACAAAAGCCACTCACAAGGGCTTGAAGTTTGCACAGGTCTGAAAACAAGAATACCATGTGCTTAACAAATGGGGGTCACCGGGTATCGAACACAAGACCTCTCGGTCACAGAAGGCTCTGATACCATGTCAAGAACCAGTTGATCCCAATAACTCGAGTTGTTGGGAGAGGTTCAATCGTGGATCATATACCACAACACTAACATGAAGTACACCGTGTTCCCGCGAACTGACTCCTCCTCCCCGATCCAAGTCCTGTCTGCTCGGAACTTCATACGAGACAACATTATCCTGAAGGAAGCCCAAGAAAATTGCAGTGTCCTTGGGCAATTCCTCCACGTGCTCCCATTTTTCTTCCTCGAAATTGGCCCTGTACAGCTCGATTCTTATTACGCCAGCCTCGAAGCCCTCGATGCGACAAATCTCGTAGCTGTATTCGACGGTGTCTCTTTGGTCGCCGTAGTACAGCTCCACCGTCATCAGTTCGGTAGGGGAGGCCTGGATCAGGAAGGAAGAGCTCATCAAAGTGGTCCTAACGAAGTAAGGATCGGCCCAATTCAGGTTCGGTCTCCTCAACTTCAGATCAAGTAGCTTGATCGAGGTGTCGCCATTGTCATCGATGACGAATTGGACCTTGAGGAGGCTTTCGCAGCAAGCTGCGACAACGTATAGATCTCCATTGAAGCTGGCCACATTTTGGAAGTAGGAGAGATGGGATGCGTGAGGGTTCCCACATTGACCTTCCTCTGGCTCCACTCTCTGTTTCCGCCAACCCTTATCATCATCATCATCCCCTGGCTTACAGAAGAACAGAGTACTCTGTTTTTTCAGGTAACAGTATTCGATGAGCACGACGATGCAACAATCGTCGTTGTTGGGAGGAGAAGAGACGGCACAACTATCGAAGGAGTCGAGGATGCGAGGCATCCTGGGTAGCTGGACTTCCTCCATGGTCGCAGGGTTGAACAGTGAGAAATCCCTTTTGTTGATATGGACGAGCAGTAGCCAGCATTGACAGTGCGCACAGATTAACCTGTTTCGCATTTTGTGGAAGTTTCTGAAGTGGGATCTTTGTTCTGAAGAGCTGTAGAAAGTTTGGGACTTGATCTTCTTCTCGTGGGTGTAGACCAGCCATGGTTCTGGTGTTAGAGTCGGCGGCTCCCTCCGATTTGGATGATGATGACGATGAGGAGGAGGAGGAGGCGCAGTTTGCCGCTGGTTTGTTTCTTTGGTGGCCTTCATCGTATTTCTGGGTTGGGGTTTTGTGGAAATTGTGGAAGGTTTGCATATTAATTGGGTTTTAAAACACCATTTAGTAAAGGAATGGGAATTCCTTTTCTGATAAGGATAGTACTAAAGGATTAGGAATTGATAGGCTCAGATTCAAGATAGGGAGTATAACTTTAGGGTGCATAATTATGAATAACCAAATCTGAATTTTTTATTTTAAGTGGTTGTAAATTAAGGACATTTTATTTTTTTTCTATTTTTCTTAATTGAATCATATTTTTTTCATTTTAACTCGGATTTCAATTTTTTTTTGCACACATGAAACGAGTTCGTTGTGCTCTACAAAATGAGATCAATTTTCAATATTTTTTTAGAAAAACAAATTTCATACCTCTCGTTACCAACTCCATACCATATGGTATCTCCTTCGTTTTCGGAAGTTTTTGCACAGAAGGAACGACTTAATCATGATCTATTGGATTGCAAAAATTTATGGGTGAAAAAATTTCATACCTCTCGTTACCAACTCAATACCATACTATACCACCCTGGTATGGGGTGGTATTTTTCATACCATATGATATGATCATATTTAATATCAGTCAATACCATATGGTATAGACTGGTAATAACTGGCTAAAATTTTTTTGTTCCAAAATATATCAAAGTGGATATCATTTTGAAAAGCACAATTAATCTGATCTAACTGTGAAAAAAAATTTTAATTCCGACTTAAAACGAGTGAAAAAGCGTCTGCTAAAAATTAATGGGGGAAATTAAAGACTTTCTAGAAAGAGAGAAGAGGCGCTGATGTGGGCATGTGGCAGATTCTAATTGGGTTATGCATGAGACTAGCACATGGCCCCGCCCGTTGGTGGGAGAGTATGATTCATTTGGCCCGAAGAGTTTGATAATGAAATTGAGGTGTACTCAACTCAGAGGTATTAGTGTGATAAGCAAGTAGCTCATTTTTATCTATATATTGTAAAGGCTCGGTTGACTGCTTTCTTCGGGAGGTTGTCAATGAATAATTTAGAAAAGTAAGGTTAGAAAATTAAATACCAAAAAATGCATAAAAAACATGTCAAATAGAATACTTATACCTAATATATACATTATATATTCATTCTCTAATTCAACTACATATTTGTGAAAAAATTATTATCCCTAAAAAGTCGGTAAAGAACAACATAACATTTGTTTTCCATGAGATCAGTGCACGGAGTATAAATTTGGAATTACACCCTGCATGCATCAGATGAATGAGGTAGAACAATTTGCAAATTGGTTGTAAATAGTTAGTTGAGCAATGTACTCAAACTACTATCATTTCTTAAATATGACAAACAACCATGTAACAGTTTCATTGAGCGAAGTCAGTTAATCTTGGAAGTTAGGAGTTTAAACCAATAATATAGGTGGATCGACTGATAGATAATTGAGACTATTCAACATATTAAATCATCATTTATTGACCATCACAGCCAGTTAGAAAGCAAATTATTAGAATTATACCAAGGAGATCCAAAATTTTGGTTCAGTTGTACTAAGTTAATGGAATCCCATCAATATATTAGTAAGTAAATGGTTTCCACGTAGTTTTTAAAAGAGTAATTCAAGTATGTTTTCATTCAATAGCGATCAATAACAATTTCATTCAAGTTTTGTGGCAGTAATGACTTGTGTGAATCTTTTTAAGATAGATTACCCAAATTCATTACTACATACATCGCAATCATAAATCAAATTCGTAGTTTGCAAATTACCCAAATAAACTACCGTTTGAATTTACTACCAAAAACCTAGGATTTAGAAAAGTAGCACATAGTTTTTACTCATTAGGGTTTAGATGACAGTACAACTAGGGATGTCAATCCAACCCGTAACCATTACCCGACCGTAACCGGTCAACGAGGGTAATTACCCGCTTTGACGGGTTAAGGGGCGGGTATGGGTAATACCCGGTTTCAAAATAAAGGGTAGGGTACGGGTATGGTAATCGATAATACCCGCCCCGTTATACCCGCCCCGCTAACCAAAGGATCAATTTCCCTTGAGAAATTTAGTTTAGCTTGAGAAATTGAGTTTAACTGTCATTATTGATGATGAAGATGCAGGCGATTATTATGTTTGTGTGGATTTTAGAAGCAAGAACAATTATTATGTGTTTGCTATTTTTATTTGTGTGCATTGTTGAAGCTAGAACAGTAACAATTATTGAGAATTTTTAATGGACAATAATATGTATGTGCATATATGTGTATAAGTTCATAGTTTAGGATTCGTACCCATGATTACCCGAATACCCGTGGTTACCCGGTGGGTAGGGTATGGTTATATAATTTTCATACCCGATGGTTTTTTGGTCGGGTATTTTAGAAGGCTCTACCCAGTGGATTAGGAGTTGGTATAGGGTAAACCCGAACCCGACCCTACCCATTGCACCCACCAAAATTTACTATTCAAGATTTAGATGGTGTTTTTGCACCCACCTCCTATTGAACATGCATTTTGATTAGGCAATTCAAAATCTTTAATCACAATACAACGAACAAAGAATGAATGAATTTTTAAAAAATTATTTGGACTAGAATTATTTAGTAGCCAAACCTTTATAATTTGGCAAAATAATAGTTAGAACTTTTGAAATACAATATAATAACCGAATCGTTAAATTTTCATCCGCCATCTCGTTCGTTAACTTTTCATCCGACATCTCGTTAGCTGACAATGACGTGGTAGCTTAATTGATGAGTTTGGTGAATTTTAGTGAGGTGACAAAGAGTTAATCAACTTGTTTAACTATGTTTGGAAATTTATTAGTTTTTAAAAATCGTGTATGATTTTCATCTATAGATTTCTTTTAAATATGCTTGTATGATAAGTGGTCCAAGTATTAAATTAAGGCAAAGCGCCCAAGCCCATAATACATTCTAGCGGAACTCAAATAGAAGAGGAATCAAACTCAAGCATCGGGAAGAGAGATTGCAATTGTAGGGTAGAAAAATGATTGGTCCAAACTGACCAAACTGTACTTCCTATGATTGCACAGAGAGCTAGCTTTTTCAATTGTGCATGTTCTCACGGCGAATATCTATATAGTTGGGAGGATTATCGACTATAAGGTTATGCACCTAATCCACTTGGAAATGGGAACGGATTAGGTCAGTAACCAGCTAACATCAGCATGACATCAGCATCACTTTCTCTCTCCTGGAAAGCCTTTAATTTTCCCTTTCTTAATCTTTGACGGACGATTTCTCACTCGTTTTAAGTTGATTTTTTTTGCACAGTTAGATCAGATTAATTGTGTTCTTCAAAATGATATCCATTTTGATATATTTTTCGAACAAAAAAAATTGAGCCATTTTTTACTAGTCTATACCATATGGTATGAACTTGTATTGAAATAAGAACATACCTATGGTTTGAAAAGCGTACCATGGTGGTATGAACAAACCAAGACTGTAGGATGGTTGAATACATGATAGTAGAAGTATATTAACTGTCATTTACGACTTTTATCATTGTGTAACACAATATACCACCCCGTACCAGGGTGGTATTGTATGGTATTGTGTGGTATTTTTTGGTCATGTAATTTGTTCACCCAGAAATTTGTAGATCCAATAGATCATGATGAACTCCTCTCTTCTGTGAAAACGTTTTCAAAAACGAATTAAAAAAGAAGAAAATACCATATGGTATGCAGTTGGTACCGAGAGGCCATAATTTTTTTTTCTCAAAAAATATTGAAAATTGATCTCATTTTGTAGAGCACGATGAACTCGTTCCATCTGTGCAAAAAAAAAATCCGAGTTAAAACGAAAAATATATGAGCCGATTAAAAAAGTTAGGAAAAATAAAAATGGTCTTTAATTCTCCATCCTTAGATCTGAATTTTCTAAATAAAGGGTCCATATTTGATTATTGATGGGTGTATAACTCATGATTATGCACCCTATCTTGAGCCTGTCAAATTCATAACCCTGATTTTTATGAGTAGAGCCGTAGTTTAGATCCATGTTTAGGCTGGACTTGAATCGGTTTGTTGTTCACAAAAACCATTCCGACCCAATATAGGATTTATGTTCATGGCCCATCTCCGGCCCGCTGAAATCCAGATTCAACTAGGAAAAAGTGAAATCCAGATTCAACTAGGAAAAAGGAAAGAACCCGCCAAAACTACAGAAGCCGTCTTTTATTCCTTATCCAGTAAAGAAATGGATAGCTAGTGCAGTTATTATAAACTAGCCTATTACCCGGCCCGTAAAGGGTAATACCCTTTTTCGTGAGTGAGATTTCAAGTTTAATTTCAGACAGTAACAATTTGTTATTACCCTTTGTTTTACTGAACTGCAGCTTAGCTGGTGTAGAGACTAGTGAAAAAGACCCAGAGACGGTACAAGTTGAAGTACATAATGTAACAGAAAGGCTGGAGGACGAGGAGGCATTGATATGGAAGCCTCCTAGGGAGATGTTCACCAACATAGCAAAGAAATTGATCGACTGCAGAAGCTTCCGCACTTGCTGCAGGACACTTAAATCAGTCATACCTCTCCCGCCTCCACCGTATCCATGGTTCTTCTACTTCAAGCACTACAAAGGGAACCTCAATTTCCAGGACTTGATGTACGGGCACACACACGAGAAACAAGTCGACGATTCTCTTTCGACCGCAGAAGTCGTGTTCTCGAAGAAGTGTTGGTTGGTCATGACGATGATGAAGCGCATGGCGAATCCGGAGTTGGATCCGGATCTACCAGTTAGACTCCACATTACATTCTACAACCCTTTTACGAAGGAAGCTCGCACTGTTCCTGAGATGGTACCCTATCCTTGTTCCCCTTCGAGCTTCGGGATCTCAGCTCCGCCTACTTCTCCGGACTGTTGTGTAATTGCAATGTGGGAAGATTTACTAAAGGAGGTAGTCTTCAGTTTCATGAGATTGGAAGACCAATGTTGGCATTTTTTTCTTCGACCGCACGACCAGCACGAATTCCAACCGAGCTACCACAACACTCCGGTTTTCCTCGACGATAAGTTCTACTTCTTGGATAAGGCAAGGAGACTGGGTGTTTTTAGCTATGGTCGTGGCTATGGGAGCGAGTTCACATGGACGTGGGATGTATACGATTGGAAGCTACTAGACAAAGTTGGTGAGCAGGCTGAACATCTACGCGATGAGCCTGGACTCGAGCTGGAGTATCTGGTGGAATGTGGAGGCGAAATCCTAGCAGTACTGGTGACAGACTTTGGCGAATTCGTTAGAGTTTACAAATTTGATCAGGAACACGAAGGATGGTTGGAAGTGGAGGATTTGGGATCACACATGTTGTTTGTCAGCAGGACGTCGTGTTTTTCCCGTGTGGAAGAGGTTGATGGGACGGGGAACAAGATCTACTTTTCTCGAGTATCCACGAAGCAGCAGAGCGTGATGTTTTATTCGTTGGATACGCGTAAATATCAAACGTTCAACTCTAAAGATCACGCCATGGAAGACTTCCAACCTACTTCTGAAGTTTGTTTGAGTGGTTGGATTGAAACTGCCCTGAGATAAGCACTTTCTAATTTCCATACATATATGTATGTCCATTACAAATATCAAGTATAGTTGCTCCGCGTAATGTCTAAGAGTAAGTGGGTTGATCTTTTTACGAGTCAAGATGAATTCTGTAAACAAATTATCAAAGTATCGTCAGATTAACTAATTACGATCTATCAAGAACTTTGCCTTCGTTCTTCCTCCATCCCCTGTTTCTAGTGCATCCAAAACACATTTTTATTCAAATGAATGATGCAGGATAGCATCCGTGGGCCTTGGTGTCGAGTTGAGCTTAGTCATTAGGGATTAATTGTTAGTTAATTGTAGGGTTATTATGGTTATTTGTAATATTCGTATTAGTTTATTGTGTCTTGTTGAGTAAGTTATTAGTTACCTTGTTAGAGTGAGATAGGGTTAGCTATTAGGTTTTCTTACGTTTTCCTATAAATATGTACTTTGTGGTTCAGTTATGATTATGAGAAGACGAATGGTTCAGTTTATAGTTATGTTTCTCTAGTAGTAGTCGTAATTAGCTAAAGGATTCCCAATGCAGGAAACCTTCATGCATCAATTGGTATCAGAGCCTGGTTCCTAGGAATCGAGCTCGACGAGGCTCGCCTATAGGGCATGCTTACCACACATCGACGCGAGGTTGGACTTCGTACAGAGGCGACTAGACTAACACATAAGATTGCCGCAGGATGAAGTTCTACAGCTTGTCGATGGAAAACCGCCGATCGAGATTGACGAACCGCCAGATAAACCTCCTATTTCGGCCGATGTAGAGATCTCCTTGTGTGCTCATACTAGAAATTGACTCTCTAGAGCTCATTTCAAATGATTCATATTCATTTGAAAACACATCTATTCTACTTTCGTTTACCTCTGACGTACCTTCATGAGTAGTCTGAAGAGACTCCCATATTTCCTTGGCTGTCTCGCATTGAGCTACTTGACTTCTTTCTTCTGGGCGCCATTGAATCCTGTTGAGATGAGAGCTTTTACTCATCCTCCCATTTTTCTTCATCTTCATCATCCATAGGAATAGGTCCTTTACGGACTATTCTCCAGATGCCACGGAGATAGATCCTCATCATCTTTTTCCAGACTGTGTAATCCGTCCCATCAAACCATGGCGTATTTGTACTTGTAGAGTATGAAGCTGATGCAGACGAGGATCTTGTCATCCCAAATTGATCCTCTTCAGCGATTGCTAATCCTTTGAAGAGCCTGCTCTGATACCAATTGTTAACTTAGAATGGGAGGAAGATATTGAAACTCGACACTCAAACTCTCTTGTTGCAGCACTTTGCTTAATGATTTGTAATACAAGAAAGATTTTATTGATAATGAAAAGGATAACAGATTACAAAAAACAACCCTAGCCGAGCCAATCGAATTGGCTCTTTAAACACACAACAAAGAACTAATTACTTCCCAAGGTTAAGTCATCCAGTTCGACAACACTATGACAAAGCTACTGAAGTAATTAATGGACCCAATGCAGAAGAAACTCTCTACTGTTTTACTCACTGCAAACCGCCAACATTTACAATTGGAGAAGATACCTAATTTATAATAAGTTGAGAGGAATAGCCGTTTGAAGAAGAAGAAGACTGTTTTGCTAGAGTCTCATGATGACTCCTCTTCAGGAGCTTTTGTAGAGGCGGTGCATACTCCTTGAGCAGATTGCCGAGAGAGAGAACAGGAGAGCTGGTATTCGTGCATAAGCGTTTCTCGATGAAGACGAGAGCTTTTCTCGATGAAGATAAGAAGCCCTACTGCTTTGTTGGCCTTAGGAAGACTTGGAAGATCGAAACGCCGTCGTAATATGATGTGGAAGGAGTAATTTCTTCCATAACCGGGCCATCGACGATGAGGTTGGGAGCTGCTGTGGCCGCCGTGGTTGTGGCCCGAGAGAGGGGAAGTATTGCCGCTCCTGTTCCGCCTAGCCGCATCGTGAAGCCACATATTGAGGAGGAGCTTGCCGCCAAACGTGAGCTGCCAGCCCTTGCTTCTTCGAACTAAGGGTCAGCTCTCGCTCCAACGTCACCGAAGCTACAAGAAGCCGCCGCCACCGAGAAGCCTATGGGTTTCCAAATCAACGCAGTCGACGTTGAGATTGCGGAGATTCCCGTACGGTTGCTGGTACGAGTCTGTTTCGACTGTCAATTCAACTCAATTGGAAGTACCGGAAGAGGCCGAGAGCCGGTGGCGCCATGTCCGAGCAACCCAACGTAGGGTCTCCATCTGACCTACGAGAGCTGTCAAGGAATGCAATGTTGTCTCTGCCAGCGGGATTTTGGCCGCATGTGTTGACGAAGGATGGAGGAATTTGTGCGGCTGTACAAGAAGACGCTTTTTGTTTACAGTCGGCGAATCGGAAGGTGGAGGCTCTTCTCATGAAGATCTAGGTAGCATGAATGGTGGAGGAATTGGTGAGAAGGGTTGTTTGGGGGGAGTGCCGGAGTGGGATGAGAACAATATTATAAGCAGAGCCTACTATTCTTGTTCGTCAATACGTGGCTTGCATGGGAAATGGCCCTTTGGTCCTTGGAAGGTGAACATTATTGGTGGGCAAGTAATTCCATTCCATGCGCGAGGAGGTGGACTTGGGAAAAAGTTGAAGGGTATTTGAAGATGGAAGACAGGAAGCTAGTGGTGTTGGGTTGATTCAAAGTGTCTGGGGCGCAATTGGAAATTTCGTAAACGGGGTTGGCATCGACGAATATCCACTCTCTTTGTCGTCGTCAACATGTGGCAACAATTCTTCTACATTGATCCGCGTTGAGATGACGCCTAAAATTCGGGGACAGTTGTTCAAATGGGGGGGAGGATTGATGCAGGATAACATCCCGTGGGCCTTGGTGCCGAGCTAGGCTTAGTTATTAGGGATTAATTGTTAGTTAATTGTAGGGTTATTATGGTTATTTGTATTATTCGTATTAGTTTATTGTGTCTTGTTTAGTAAATTATTAGTTACCTTGTTAGAGTGGGATAGGGTTAGCTATTAGGTTTTCCTACGTTTTCCTATAAATATGTACTTTGTGGTTCAATTACTAGTATGAGAAGACGAATATTTCAGTTTATCGTTATGTTTCTCCAGGAGTAGTGGTAATTAGCTAAAGGATTCCCGGACGCAGGAAACTATCATACATCAATGAACTCCGATATCTCTATTTCTCTAGCAACCCAAAAGAGCCTGCACCTCGTACCGTCTCCCTATATCCTCCGTCCACGCGTTGTCGGTGGACTTGTAGTGGACGAGCAGCTGCTTCCTGCCTCCCAGCTCGTTCCTGGCGTGGACGTGGTGCTTAGGCCAGGTGATAGGAAATTTTGCCGCCACCATTGGAGAGAGCAACAAGATGATGGTATGTAGGATTAGCAACGCCGTTTCCGATATGTTTTTTGTGCTCGATTGATGCCTTTCCTTGTCAGGATTTCAAGAACAAGTGCTTAAATAGGGGCAACTGCAAGATCTCACGCGAGATTCATGACCCTCCTTGAACTAAGGACGAAGCTAACAACTATGGCAGAGGCCAAACAATCCACGTAGCTCTGCCTCACTGCCCAAACAAGAGTTTATTACGAAGCATACAATATCATGACTCAATTTCACAAGATATGATTGTAGAGTATGTTGTTCCTGCCACGAGAGAAACTCGTCTTAACCCGAATTCGGTCTATTCGTCGTCTCAACTCACTGTTATCATCGAATAAACCAGTGGCATGAGAAGAAGAGGAGCGGACGCAATAGAAATATAGACGTAAGATTTGATCATGGAGTTTGGTCGTTTATACCAAATGCTAGCGTTCAACTTCATTCTTGCAAGTTAACCAAGCAAACATAATATGAACAAGAAGAAAATGATTCTTAACCGGAGGTATGTTGGTTTTGATTTTCTCTCGAGGTTCGTTTGATGTAATTTATGAACTCGGGGATGTATATCTTTTTCATCATATAGACGATTGATCTATTGACAAAAAAATGAGTTAGTAAGAAGCGGGGAGAAGAAAAATAGTTAAACATAATTCAATAACTATTTTTTCATTATTCACATGTATTATGTATATATTGTTAAATTAAATAAGCAAACTATATCGTGTTTTATCTATGAATAATAGTATAGTGCATTTACAATAAAAAGGTGTAGTGCCTGATCATATTCGGTTTATTCGCAACTCCTAAATATAACATCCATATGAATCATATGATTATAGACGGAGATGCATGATATACATTGCTACTACATGAGTAAATACCATCCCATAACATTTGCATGAAAAGACACTAAATAATAAGGCCTTCAATTTCGATGACTTTGACAATCTTTAGATTATTTTTCTGATATACCATAATTGATTCATTTATGTAACTTGAAGCATGAGATATTGAAGGAAATTAATATGAAATATTTTGAAAATGGGTCAAATATTTGTGGAGCAGTTATTTTCGTCTTTCTCTCTGACCTTCAAGCATGGGAGGGCAATTCTTTAAAAGATAAAAAGTGGGTACGCTTTATTACCCTCAATTTATTGCTACTATTTCACTTTTTGTCACTTTGTGAAGAAGGGGTTTAGTTGTTCGCACAGACAGCTCCGCACGGCGGAGTAGTTGCCGTCTCCCGTACTGTCGCCGCTTCGCCTCGATCGAATCAGCGGCCCGTTGCCGCCTGCCTTCAATCAAAACAACGGCATGGTTCAGTACCCTCTCACCATCCCTTGACCCCCACTCCCAGAAATCCGCTTCCGCACGTCGTCTCCTGCCATCCCATCACTCTGGGTGCTTCGCGGAGTTGACATTCCTTGCGGCTGCTTCCATACGCCAACGCCCATGTTTTCTGCTGTCCTTGCCCTGCTCCTCTGTATTAGGATAGCGCCTCTCCTCTGTCTTTCCAAATTTCCGGTCCTGCTTCTTCAATCAATTTTCATTCCACTTCCACCTTACCTCTTTTGCCTCTGTCCTTCATGAGAAGAACGCCTGAAAACGTGTGTCAGTTAACGTTTGCTCCACTATACCACCTTCGTTCTACTTCTACAGTGCTTTACTCCCTCCGCCAGTTGCCTTCAATTGTACTTGATGGGAGACAAATGGTTTCTCCCTCCATAATTCCATTCTTCTCTCTTGCAACGCATACCTTCAAATTTCCCCCGCTACTGGCCGCCGTGGAACCCAAAAGAAGAGGAAGCCAGGATCAAATTGGAATAGGAGGCAACGGTAAAAGCACAGGAGTTCACAATTTCTGGGTTTACTTCACAGACAAACCTCATTCCCACAACAGCAGGACCAAGCCCCCGTACCGCGATCGCTATCCAGGCTACAATCGAACTCAACCTTTTCGTTACTGTTATTATTGTCACATGTTGAGTGAATATGTTTATTCTTGGAATGATTGTCTTCTCTAATGGTACTGTTAGGATGCTACACAATCTGTTTCTTGATAAGATGAAACAACAAATATCTAATGCACATTTGTCCATTTTTATGGAACAACAGAAACTGAATTCTTAAGGGGAGTGCTGCATATATTTAGTTACTAAGCCCATTTCTTTGTTGGCTCAAATGGAAGGAGTTCTGCAGCTTTCCCTTTCATATGTATGCACACAATCATTGGCGAAGTATTCTTTTGGTTTCTGTTTAAATTAACACAACGTGCAGCCTATTTTATGGTTTTCAACGTTTGTTAGGATATTACATGTCTATTATAAACAGTACTAGCTTCATATGTTGACAAGAACATAGAAAGGGGTTCTGGAGTCAAGTTTCATGACAAGATACTCTCATCCCCTCACGTATTAGGAAGTTATTTCTTTGTGTATTCCATTATTATACTTCGAATATACATTGCTTCAGGTTGATCAATCTTAATACTGATTATTTAGCCTTTTCTTCAGCTATATAGCCTTCCGGATAGTGGTAATGAACTTATACATATTGGTCCTTCTGTGTAGATCAGTTAAGCTCCAGCAATGGCAGGATGGAGCAGTCATCAGAAACCGTGAAAGTCACAAGCAAAGTGAAATGATAAGTTTCTTAGATGGTCCCGGAGACCTCAAACAGTGTTAATCTCTAATTGATAGGTAACCCTTCTTTTGATCAAATGCACCTTACATAGTCATCTAATTTAGTCTGATTACTGTATTCCTTCCAAAATACTATTCATCGTTTCTTCTTGGAATGGATTGCCTATATGTATTTTGGAATGGACTGTCTATTAGAGGGATTGAGATAGCTTGGTGAATGGTGAAGCAGTAGCCATAGGGAACGGCTACGGTGCTAATTGTACAATAGTTAGCACCGTCCTAACCAAGGAGAAAACTACTACTAGTTTGAATTAGTAGTGATTTAGCTTAGATGTTGTATTGATTTTATAATAATCCGTAGTGATTTTTGCTAGTTATCACGGTGCTAACCCCTATAAGGGTTAGCACCTAATCCCATCCCGTAGCCATGCCATTGCCTCAATAATCCTTCTTCCCGTTTTAGATTCCTATTTATAGTTCAAAATTCATTCTTACAATTTCTTGCCTCGATGCAATTGGTAAAGAATAATAGGCAGGAGGTCATGGTTCTGAGAAGTTCTGCCTGGCAAATTCGATGCAGTTGTTGTCTTATGCTATAATCTTTCTACTATGATCATGTTTTCCCCAGGTATTTTGTGGTTCTTTTCGGTTGTCTGTATATAAGATTTGTCTGTTTTTCATGAACAACAGTACGCTCACGAGATGAGCGGGACTGTAAGTGTTTACTTTCCTTTCCTTGCATTCTGCTCTGAACTTCTTTCTTTCTGTCATTGTTTCTACTTGAGATATAACTCACAGATTGTAATCAACCATAGCCTCCTATCCAATTACCTGATCACTCGCTTGGTAAGCTCTTAGCATTGTATAGAAATCCATCAGCAGCCGTGCTGTGGGGCTCCCACCTAACACCTTTAAACCTTCTTTGCTTTGAGTGTTGCCAGTTACATGGAAGGGTATTTGACTGGGAGTTACATGAAAGGCGTTCTGGTGGCAAGATGACTTAAGATGGATCTCAGTAACATTTATTTTCTGTAGGGTCTGCTTATAATAATGGAACTTTGTAATAGGGACCGCTCACATTATCATTTGTTCTTCAACTATGCTTCCTAAAATAGTTTATGCAGACTTGCTGAACTCAGGAGAGGTTTCTTTTCTCACTTGCAGAACAGCTCAAACTGATGCCGAAACAAGTTTGGTTATTATAGCTTTTTGAGATCTTCCTTCAATCAGTAGAGAATGGTTAATTCTTTCAAGTCTGTTATTTTCTTTCTTTGTGAATAAGCAAATGATTAAGCTTTTACATGTTCACTTACATGGGAAGCAACTGATTATTGCTTCTTTTATTTTCTAATGAAGATTGCCCGAATTTTTACCAAGATAACGTGAGTATGCATAATAAAAATATCTGAACTTATAAAAGAAAACGCATGTGGTTGCTATATGTATAGTATTTTCTAACAATTTTCACTATGACTATACGACTTTTAATTATACTAAACATGACGAAATTTCCTGCGGCGTAGCCGCGGGTATTGATACTAGTTATTTTGAAAATGGGGCAAAATTTATAGCTACATGCAAACACTTTACAACGCTCCATTTTTTGTCTCATTTCTTCTCTCTCTTTGACCAAAAACTCCTATCACTCAATATGATTGAAATTCAATTCAATGAGGAAGACCCCTTTGTGCTAATTGTGAAGAATTCAATTAGTCCCAAATACCTTTTGACATGAATGAGGAAGACACCTATGATGTTGACGGTGAAGATCCGAGAGTCGATATGAAGACATGCGCTCAGAGAAAAGCTAATACGAGAGGAAGAAAGTTTAAGGGTGGCCAAATGGCAAGAGGGAATTCTCCATCAAAGACCACCTCGAGGCTTACCACTCCTCATTCTTTTAGGAAAGTAAACTATGGCTACCGTGCTTTTTGTATTGTTTTAATAGCCTCTTTTTGATACCATGGATCTTCTTTAATTTCTCCAGTATGCACAACCATCAAAGGAAAGAGTGCAAGTTACGGTGGGGAAGGAAGACCCACTCGCCCACCAAATTACCATAAAGAACCTTAATTGGTGAAGTGCAAGAGGTGAAAGATTGGCCACAACAAAATGTGATCCCTTTCTTTTTTGTCTTGTGTAGGGGTGGAAATTGGTACGGTATCGCTATCTCAATATTAAATACCGAAATACCGAATTACACCTTAAAATCAATCTCAATCCTTAAATAATTTCGGTATCCCAATCCCAATCCCTAAATATTTCGGTATCCCAATCGGTACCTCGGTATCCCAATCGATATTATCAAATGCAAGATTAATTACCTTTGTAATTAATAATTAAATATATAAATTAGATTTTATTTTTTTAATTTAGGACAAAGAGACTAAGCAAAGAGTCACGAGTTGCCTAGAGCTAATATCTCAAGTTCTTGTAATTGGTAATCTTTAATTTGACGAATTTGAGGTTGAGGGACGACTAATACTAGTGTGAAATAGTGACGGAATGATCTATGTATAATTAAATGACATTCTTGGTAGTTGAGGGTCGCTTAGTAGTGAATGAGAGAGTCTAGTTCAAAGGATAAATTACACACTAGCTTATATTTCGCTATTGATCAGTATTTTGGTATATCCCGATCCCAATCCAATAATCTCTAATACCGAATAACAACTGAAATTCAATCCCAATCCCGTAATCCCTAATACCGAATAACAACAGAAATTCAATCACAATCCCAATCTCACAAAATAATACGTGTATTCGGTAATACAAATATAGACAAATTCGATACGGTATTCGGTATATCCCAAATACCGATACCAAACTTCCGGCCCTACTTGTGTGTGATCCTTTATTTTCTCTCATGTGGAGGTTGATATGTTGTCCTAGAAGGCTTTTCTTTGTTCTTCTCTCTCTCTCTTTTTTTTATAGGGTTAATATTTTCATATGGCCTGAACTTTGACCAAAATAAACATCATGGCCAATCTTTTCGATCAATAACATCCTGGCCCGAACTATACACCAAAATAAACAATTTGGCCAGATCCGACTTTTGACCGTTAACTTGGACGGTCAAACGCGTTGACCGTTAGTCAACGCGCCATGTCACTGCCAAGTCAGCATAAAATATTTAAAATAATTCACAATTTCCATACATTCTCTAATTTTAAATTATTATAAATTAAAAAAAATCATTTAATACTTTAGTTACTAAAAATAAAAAAATGAAAAAATTAAATATTTATCAGATCTTCTGACTTCGCAGTGACTTGGCGGGTTGACCGTTAGTCAACGCGTTTGACCGCCCAAGTTAACGGTCAAACATCGGGTTTGGCCAAATTATTTATTTTGGTGTATAGTTCGGGCTAGGATGTTATAGATCGAAAAGATTGACCAAAATGTTTATTTTAATCAAAGTTCAAGCTGAAAATATTATCCTTTTTTATATGCAAACACTTTTCGTGAGCCTTTTGGTTTTTATGGTCTCCTTGTAGGACGCATTATATAAAAATCGTGTGATTTTGTGGGCTGGAGATATTGAGGGATGAGGCATTTTTGTTGTTCATAAGGTTTTTGGGGACTCATCGAAACCAACAGATTCAAAGATAAAAGCTACTATCCTGTTTACTTTCATTTCTGTTTCCTGTTTTTGAGAAAACAGATGTTGAAAACAGGTGAAAATAACATTTTGTCGTTTCCGAAAACAGCAGGAAGTTGCCACTTTCTGTTTTCATAGTTGGAAACGAATAGAAAACAGAATGAAAAGTAAACAAGTTTTCTCATTTCGGTTGCCAAATTTATCACATGAAAACAGGAAACAGGAAACGAAAATGGAAGTGAACAGTTTGAACATTTGAGTTGGCAAAGTTAACTACGGTTACACTCTGTGAGATATTTCTTGAGTCAGTTTAACTACCATTACAAACAACGATTCACAGGGCCTTGATACATAGAGAGTAAAGAAATGGATCACAGACTTCTACCAAAAAAAGCCACAGGGATCACAATTTGTTTTTACGAACCTCTCACCTCATGCAGTTCACCAATTAGGGTTGTTTATGGTAATTAGGATTTAGGTGAGTCGTGAGTGAGTGGATGTTCCCACCTAGCCCTAACCTGTACTCTTTCCTCCAATGGTTGTGCATACTTGAGAAATTAAAGAAGAAACCATGGTGGCATAAAAAAGTTAGCTAGCTAATTATAACAAAAAAAAAAAAACAAGGGTAGCCATAGTTTACCTTCCTACAATAAATAGGAATGGTAATTTGTTATGGTAATAAAGGCCATATAATGGTTTTAGTGTGTGAAAATTTTATTGATATTGTGTGGGTTGGATTTATTCTCATGATCTTGTTGAAGGATGCATGGCAGGTACTATTTGCTCATCATCTACTTCAGGGTTCTTCAGAGGAAGAAGTGAAAACGGGCCATGAAGAAAATGGTGAAGCAACCGTACCTTAGCACATCATGGACCCAATAGCCCTCGAGTGTCGGTACACTCCTCATAAGATGAGTTATAACCAACGATATTATTGAGAAGATGATGGTATACACATTAATCTATTAATTAATATATATATTAATTAGTGGCTCTCACACTCCTCCAAGTGCAAGTAGGGAAGTTCCAAGTCCTACTTTTACCCCTCTCCATTCTACAACCTTTGTGTTTAGTTATTGTTCGCTAGGATTTCGTCTATAGCTTTTTGCACAAATCATCGCTTTTGTGTTTTATCATTGTTCGCTAGGTTTTCGTCTATGGCTTTTTGCACAAATCATCGCCTTTGTGTTTAGTTATTGTTTGCTAGGATTTCGTCTATCGCTTTTTGCACAATTCCTCGCTTTTGTGTTATCATCGCCTTAGCGTTTAGTTATTATTCGTCAAGTTTTCGTCTATGGCCTTTGACTAGTCCCGAATATCACAATTAATTCTCGTCTAAAGTTCAAGTATAAACCTTAGTAGGGTGTAATACATGACAAGTATGTTTAAATATCGACTCGGGCCGATCTGTGTACTCCTACTTCAATTGTTTGAAATATTATCTACCGAATCAGTTTTGGTTGAAAAGATTGCTAATTAAAGTAAAGCAAGGCAAAAGTAAACAGTTTTGAAAGCTCTACGTGAGAAGGATGACTCGGATGTCTCTTCCCCTTAACTAGTACCATGGCACGAGGAATTGAATTAATTGTTACGGACAAGGTGACCTCGAACCGCTAGGAAACGCAACTATTGTCGTAGACCACACTCTCGTTTGCCAAATCAAGGGATATATTATAGGATACTCAAGTAGCCCTCTTTGTTAAGGCAATCAATGGTTGACTTACTCTCTCACTCAACCCAATGGTTGGTCAGTTTAATCGTGCTTAACAAAATTGCTTAATTCAACATAGAGGTTTGCTCTATATTAACCTAGATAGGTGTCTTAAAAAGCCCAGGGAATCCTAACTCAATTGAGCCTCTCTTGAAAGGGGGTTTTCCCTCTCATCTAGGTTAGAATGGCCAATTGGATTGCTAAGCACAAACATGCACAATCAACATAAAAAATACCTCAATCATTGAATTAAACAATACCCATAAACACTCATTCAATTCACACAACAACTACATGACAAATAGTTAGGGTTTCACAACACCCAAGTGAAAAAGAGTACTACTCCATGCTAGGAAGGGGAAGAACACATGTGTAAGAGGTAGAAACCATCATGGTGATGCCTCCAATCTCCTTTGAGTTTGTGTTGATCTTCTCTTGGGAAATCTTCCCAATCCACCATTTAGTGCAAACCCTAGCCTTCTTTCTTCCTTGGTTCGTCCTTTCTCTCTCTAAAATCTGAAGAAGAAGAAGAAGAAGAAGAAGACACTTTCTCACACTTGGGCTCTCCTTTCTCTCTTCCTTTCAGCTCACATTATATACCAGGATCAGACTCAGTTCACGGCCGTGAACTCTTCAAAGCGTCCGTGAACACAGAGCGCGATGTCGAAACGCACCACTTCGCCATAAGGAGTTCATGGTTTGGCCTCAATCTTCACGGTCTTGTTGACCGTGAACTCATCCCACAGTAGTAACTGCATAATTCTCCCTGGATGCGTCGCGGTTCACGGTTTTGGGCTTCTGGACCGTGAACTCCCATGGGAAACCGTGAACTACGCCTGGATCACCCTTTTTTCCCGGTCTTTGCCTCTATTCGTCCAACTTTCGACTCCGGGGCTGGTTTCACCTGTTGGATCCTGAAACATACTAAAACGCACAAAACCTAGCATAAAACCACTCTTTTAAGAGTCCAAATGCTACAAACGCCCAAGGGAAACGAGGATAAAATGTGTGCAATTAAGCCCGAATCACTCCCCCACTTAGACGTTTGCTTGTCAAGCAAACCATTTCACACAAGGTAAAAACTCAACCTATCAAAATACTTTGGGGACAATTCAAAGGGCACAAAGTGGCGAATCTCAAATGGCTATTGGCAATTAACACAAGGACCGTTGCAAGCAATACCAACATCCACCACAAACGACATTAGAGTCTACTAGAAACGAGCAAATGAAAAGTTCTCACCTTGTTCATGAATCAATGCAAGTTTCAACAAGATCACTTACCAACCACAACTAACCATGCATAGAGTTCAAGTCCAAGGAACAAACGGAGGGGTAACAAAGGTCATCACCGAGGTATGATATGACATGCAAAACAAGAATGAATCACTCACTCTCTTGACCAGTGGGGTCGGGACCTTTTGGTGCAAAAGATGTGCATAATCATCAATTCTCGGCCCTATCGTCTCAACACCATGGCGGCGACCTCTAAATGCTAGAGTTCACGGAACGGTTGTCATCACTAGCTTGTCCGGAGGTCTTAGACACGAATTTAAATGGCTAGCAATTGTCTTGGACATGGGGGAAATACTTTTTGAGTGGTGGCAAACACATCATGAGGTCCTACATTTTCACCATAAACCAAAGGTTTTATGGTTTCGACTAAAAACCTTCCTCACAAACAACGGCCACTAGCACTGGCCAAAAACCTTGCTTCTCCCTTCCAAACTATCACCCATCATTAACTTCCCTTAAGCACTCTTCCTCGGTCCACTCTTGCTATCACACTTTGATTTGGTAGCGAAGGAGTTCTAAGACAATGTGAAGGTTTCAATGTATTTTTGTCCAAGCTGCTGCCGAAGGGGCATCCGAGCATGTTTCATGATTACTCTGCTTCTCGTACTAGGTTACATCCACGATTTGGATGGAGGTGGCATTTGGACCAGTCACAACGTGGCTTGTTGGTGGACCAAATGGGGAGGCCCAATTCTTTTGAGTCGAGAGAGTTGGTCCACCATTGGAGCTAGTGTTTCCTTTGTTAGCTATGTCCCCCATTTGAGGCTTCCAGTGTTGAGCCGATTCCTTGTTGGGCCCTGTTGCTGGCGTGGGCTTTACATTCGGAATGGGGCCGAGGATCCCCTTACCAACGGTCACTTCCTCTGCTAAATCTTTCCTCATCTTCTCCTTCTCTTTATGTTGTCCCGTTGTAGCTGAATTTCCTTTCTCATTAGCATTGTGTTTCCCCAACTCCATTCGATGGGAAGAAATTTCCTTAGCTCCCACTTTGTTGCCCGTTGTAGTTTCCTTTTCTGCTTGGTAAAGCTTCCCTTTTCCATTCTTTCCATACCCGACCTGATCTCCTTGATTCTGGTGGGTATTTCATTTTTCAGAATTTCGGTTTGCTCGCCTTGAACGCTGCGTAACCTGCACCCAAGGGCCATACCCTTCCTTCTCTTCTGGCGACGTCCCCGGAAAATTTTCCGGTGAGGACCCTCTGGCCCCGACATGTTGATTTTGCACTGTCGGTAGCAAGCTAGGACAACAAAGCGACATGTGGCCAATCCTTCCGCACTCAAAACAACACGCTGGCAGATTTTCATATTCGATGTATTGCCATTGCCCATCTAGTCGAATGCGTGTCACCAGAGGTTTGGAAAGATCAAGCTCCACAGCGATCCTTACGAATTTAGCTCGTTGTTGATGTTGAGTGTGAAAATCCAACTTGATTGCTCGGTCGATCATGTTCCCTAGAGAGAAAAGGATCTCCTTGTGATAGAAATGCACTGGAAAGGCCGGGAACTGAACCCACATCACCATAGTTTTTGGCGTAGAATCTGACAGCCTAAAACTCGGGGTCCATTGGAAAACTACCAATTAGTGATAAAAAATGACCCAAGGCCCTTCTGTTAGAGCTCGAAAATAATCTGCATCATTGCTGAGCTTGACTAGAAAGAACTCCTGCCCGAGTGCCATGATCTCCAGAGAACCAAAATGTCACCAGAGTCCCTTTATCTTGTTGCTGAAGGTGATGAAAGATATGTTTAATCCCATCGTCCGGACAACCAGCGTGCGCTGCCAAGGTCGGCAGAGCTTTTCCTTGAACCCACTGGAAACCTGAAGCTCTGGTTCCCCATTAAAAGTTCCTGGAACCAGATCATGCTCTCCTACCAGGGTCCATGATACCTGTGCCTAGCTTATTTGTCTCCAAGCTCTGTCCCGTCACGATACTCGCATAGGATAGAGGCATGGAGGGCGAGCGCTCTGTCACAGTACTCATTGGTGCGGGTGAATCTACCATCATGTTTGTCTCGCTCGTGATCGTCGGTGGTTCCCCTTGAGCGACGTCAATATGCAGAGAACCAGAGCATCCATTGATTTCAGTAGTCCCAGTTGGATGGTCGTCCGGCGGCCTTCCTGATAGGTTGAAATCAGTCGCCGGCGAGTGGTTCAGAGCATCCATCGTGAATGTGAACCAGGGAGAATACTAGTTAGTAAATTGGGTTGTCCAATTTAGTTTAGCCAAAGAGAATACTATGGTTAGTTTCACTCGTAAGAGTAAGTATGATATACTAATTTATTCCGATTGATCTATGTAGTTAAATGATAAATCTAGTCATTTCTTTAGTAGAGTAATATGCCTTCTAATGTCCTAATTGAGCTTTGATTTCAACTAGGTAAGCTATTTTAGCATAATTAGTGGTTCAATTATTTAAATTTACTAAGACCTTAAAGTATTGTATTTAAAGAAATATGATTCTAGTATATTAAATTAATTGGTATATTAGTATGTCATACTTTTCACATCTTGCAAAGTAGTCCCAAGTCGAGAAAATCGTCGCTAAGAACACAAGAGTCCAACCGATCTAACCTCAGTATTCAACATAGGTTGAGAAGGCGAATCTTCTCCTCTAGAACATCAGTCCTTTGAGTTGGTGACTAGACCCAGTTAAACTGCTCGGCTAAATAAGGTGCGTGGTTTACGAGAATTAGTTAGTATTCCATTCTGAGTTAATTATTATGCATGTTACTTGAGTTAATTGAGATATTTACATTTGAATTATGAGTTTGAGATTCATGTTCAAGTTTATCAATTATGTTTATTTATTAAGATTGCATGACATCACAAAGTTATGTTTTAAGACAAGACGTTACAAGTTACGTTTTAAGTATGCATAGAACGATCATGTTTCATGAATACACATGTTTTAAGAAAGTCAAATTACTTTTTAAGCAAGTACGATTTTATAAGTTAAGCAAGTTATAAGTTTGGATCTCCCTTTGTGAGGATGATCCTCATTTCAAGCAAGTGCAAGTTCAGTAAGACGCAAGATCATGTTTTAAACCTCACTTAGCTAGCCGCACGCGGTCGCCTCATGTTATGATTAAGGAGGTTACGAACCCCACTCCTGGGTAATAAGATCAGGTTTAAGTATGTAGATGATTGTGGTGGTGTGCTAGTTAAGTCGAGCTCGGGGTCCCCTTTTATAAGAAGCTATAAAGATATTCATTTCAAGCAAGCCATTTACAAGTCATGTAAACATTTTCATCCACGAGCATTACATGAGCATTTGCACTCATTATGTATGTTGGTTCAATTTTATGTATTATGTCAAGAATGAAATATAGGATTAGGACTGACCCTAACGCCCGCATTCAGGAATCATAGAAACACATAAGCTCGCAAATGGAATCACCGGTTCATCGTGAAGACGCATGGTTTTCACGGACTCCAGAAGAAAGAAGTTAAGTTTAGTACTTGATGGGACATGAGACTTGATGTGATTTTACGATGAACTTTTATTAAGCCAAATGTTTTAAGGTTGTTCATGTTTTCAGCATTGTTTAATGTGTAATGTTTTCGCTGTTGTTCAAAGCATTTTAATATTGATTACTTTTTAAGGGTATTATGGTAAAGTAGTGTCCGGCCGAATTAGGGTGTTACAATAATAGCTTCTTTTTTATAACGGACGATAATAGCTTAGAGCGTGACTTTCTTTAGCAATTAGCATTGGTTGTCAGCAATATTGGTGGGCTAGCCGCGTGGACTCGAGCAGCAGCGGATCCCGTATAGGATAGAGCATTGAGCCACATTTGAAAGGAGGCGGAGATGCCTGGGTCGTAACTCGACGAGCACTAAAACAAATACCTAAAATCAAAACTTTATAAGGACTATACTAGCACCGGATCTAGGGGAAGGTTGGACCGTGGCCCGGGAGCGTCCCCTGGATCCACAGCTGCACTCGAGCTGGAGTATCTAGTGGAATGCGGAGACGAAATCCTAGCCATATTGGTGGGCGACTTGGGCGAGTTCGTTCGAGTTTACATATTCGATAAGTAACGTAGAGGATGGTTGGAAGTAGAGGATCTGGGATCGCACGTTGTATGTCAGCAGGATGGGAAACCAGCTCTACTTTCCTCGAGTATCCACGAAGCAGCAGAGCGTGCTATTTTATTCGTTGGATACACGTAAATATCAAACGTTCGACCTCGCTGCCTCATCCTCCAGCTCCCTCGGGTTCGACGAAGCATTTTCTTGATTAATCATGCCATGGATGACTTCCAGCCTTCTTCTGAAGTTCGTTTGAGTGGCTGGATTGAGATTGAAACTGTCCTGAGATAAAAGCACATTTAATTTCTATACATACATGTCCATTACAGATTAAATGTCAAGTAGTTAGTATCATCATATGATCCTGTTACAGTCGAATATAATGCTTAATTGTGGAGGAAATTGACATTTAATTTTATTTGCTTAGCAACATATTACGATCTATCAACAACTCTTCCTTCCTTCCTTCGTTCCTCCTCCCCTGTTTCCAGTGCATCCAAAACACATTCTTGTTCAAATGAACCCCGTCATCTCTAGCAATCCAGAAGAGGCTGTTGTGTTTGACCTCGTACCGTCTCCCGATATCCTCCGTCCACGCGTCGAAGCTCGCATGGTGGCCGCCGTCGGGAGCCAAGTAGCACCAGAACAGAGTATGGGCAATAAGAACCTCCGCCTTGAAATGCCAGCTGAACTCTTCGCCGATTGAGAGGTAATGGACCTGCAAATCGTTGTCGGCAGACTTGCAGTGGACGAGCAGCTGCTTCCCGCCTCCCAGCTCGTTCCTCACGTGCACGTGGTGCTTCGGCCAGGTGATTGGAAATTTTGCCGCCGCCATTGGAGAGAGCAACGAGATGATGATGGTAAGTAGGAATATTAGCAACGCCATTTCGACAAGTTTTTTGCTCGATTGAGGTCGTCTTTCTTTGTCAAGATTTAAGAATTAAATAAGGGCACTGCAGGATCTCACGCACGATTGGTGACTCTCCTGTAAGTGAGGACGAAGCTAACAACTATGGCAGAGGTCAAACAGTCCACGTTACCACTCCCTCACTGTCCAAACAAGAGTTTACTACGAAACATACAATATCATGAGTTCATGACTCAATTTCACAAGATATAGTAGTGGGGTATGTTGTTCTTGACCTGCACGAAATTCGTCTTAACCCGAATTCGGTCTATTCTTCGTCCAATGGCGGCGGATCCAGAATTTTTATATACGGGTGTCCTCTCTCATAAATTAAATTTAATCAAATTTTAGAATTAAATTAAATAATTATTAAATATGAAAATATCTTACCAATAAAAGTTAAATATCGTGTTTTGTAAAATATTAAAATACATGAGGTGTTTATACGGCTCAAGTGTAATTGAAAATATGTTTACGAATAATGGCAGTGCCCCAAGTTTAAATCACATAGACTACTACTTAAATATTATTTCTACCAATATGCAAAACTACTACAGGAGGTTGGATAATCATTTCCCCAAAATTTTAAGGATATCCCACTACCACTTTACTTTTACGCAAACTACTATTGAAGGTTGAATAATCATGTTTTCAAATTTTAGGGGTTTTCCAATCCATGTATCCGCCATTGTCTTCGTCTCAATTCGTAGCTATTGGATGAACTAGCTACGAGAGAAGAAGAAGAGCTAACACAATAGAAATAGAGATTTAAGATTTGATTGTAGAGTTCGGTTGTTTATATCAAACGCTAGCGTTCAGCTCCTTCCCTCCAAGTTAACCAAGCAGACAAAACACTTGTATATCTTTTTTGTCCTATAGATGATTGCTCTGTTGACAAAAAAAGGCTTGGTAAGAACTAAGAAGCGAGAAGAAGAAAAATAGTACAACATAATTCAATCATTTTTTTTTTTTTTATCAATCGATCACTCTAACATAATTCATCCCGTAGTTTTGCTATTCCGCTTAATAAGCGGGGCGACAACAACAAATCAGGACACACAAGTACACAACACAACAAACTAGTAGGCTGAAACAGAAACAAAATGCCCATTTAACAGATTATCAATCACTGGAACGATGCCCTAGACATTCCCTTCGTGGGCCCAAAACAAAACTAATAGGCAGAATGAAGCCCATCGTCGCTTGCCCGGCCCACCAGACAAGACGCATTGAATCTTGGAGTCGAAAACGGGCCTTCCAAAACGTCCTTAGCCACTATCCTGTACGCCGCTTCGGTGAAATGATGGTCGTCCCAGTTCACGTAAGTCGACGGCTCCGCACAAGCCTTCGAGCCCTCGTTCCCACAAATCAGTGACTCGTTGTAGTTGTACGGACCTCCACCGCCACAACAAGCCACCACCGCCGATCCGGTGAACCCTAAATTCCCACCAAGGTTTGATAGATAAGAACACAATCCCATTCAAACAAAAGTCAATATCGAAATCGTTATCATTGCACACCTTACTTTCTGCTATCACGAAATGTCGAGGATATTAATTATTAGGTCAAAATAATTAATTCATTGTCCTTCAAAGTCCCTTGTTTCCTTCTCCTTGTCAAAAAAGGAAACCTGGTTGTCATTGGGGTTTTAACCCTAAGTCTCTCTATATAAGTTTAGCTACGAGATTGTCGTAAGCAAGCCGTCACGATGTAGTCGTTCAATAAAACGTCAGTTGTCAGCACTTCCGAGCTCACCGTTGATTAGTCTCGATCAACCAATCGATCGAGGATACCACGTAAAACTCTTGTGTTCTGTGTTCGTTTCAATTCCGCGTTATCAAATTCTACACGAAAAATCATATCGACACTAGGGGTGGGCATTCGGTCGGTTCGGTTTCGACCGAACCGAAATTATGAATACCGGGTCCTCGAATTCTCTCAAACTTCGAACCGAATTATAATTTGGTTCGGTCGGTTTAAACCAAATTATAATTCGGTTTGGTTCGGTTTTTAACACAAAACCGAATTTATGAGGCTACTTGTATCTTCTCACTTTTAAATTATTTTTCACCCCTAATATAAACAATAAATATGCAATTATATGCATCATCAATGATAAAATGAAACATTTCAATACATAAGTCATAAAATATTTCAAATATTTAAGTAAAAAAACAACTACAAACATAAAAATCCACCATTTGGAGGTTGCAATTATAGTATTTCGGATTTTCGGTCGGAATTTCGGTTCGGTTGAAAGAACCCTGATTTCCGAAATATCCATATTTTCCTTCCGAATTTCGAACCGAATAGCATTATTTCGGTTTCGGTTTCGGTTTAATTCGGTTTCGGTTCGGGTTTATCGAACCGTTTGCCCACCCCTAATATTCGACACTAGGGAGATTAGAAGAACGTACCGAATTTTTCAGGGTGTCGATGAAATCGAGTGGCGGAGCCGTAGTAGTCCCCGTACATCAAGTTTGTGCGAGGGTAGAGCTTCTGCAGCCTAGCAATTTCCTGTTGGAGAAGGATGTTGTGGTGCTGGGCGAAATTGTTGTACCAGACGAGGCAGCCGCTTAACGGGTCGTAATCTTCCTTGTTGGGGCTCCAGAATTTGGTCAAATAACCCGGCCAGCACCCGATCGGGAGGTTCCCGGGGATCAGAATTGTGACCGCCCCTAACTCAACCAATTGCTGCATTTCGAAATTTTCATTTCTAAAACCAGTCAAGATCACAGTAATAATAAGCGGGTGAAAATTATGGAAGAAACTTTCAGCTGGTAAAATGTTTTTTTTTTTTTTTAGGTTTTACCTGGATTGATTTGCCAATCTCGGCGACGACATATGGCACGATGGCGATGATCTCGTCGGCGGCAACGTCTTCGAAGAACGCACGGTTGTAGTCGATTCCTCCAATCTCTCCCAGCAGAATCAGGGATTTGCTCAGGTAGTCCTTGCATTCTGCAAGATTTACCCAAATTAATATGAGACTTTAATTGGTTGCGCCAATATCCCACACGGCCACATCTCTTTTTTCCTGTCCTGTTCTGCAATCCTTTGTTCTAGGTTGGGTACGTAAAGCCATAAATGAAGCAATCCCACAATTTTTTGATTTATTATGCCGACATGCCCGTCTCCATTATTGACCTAGGACGGACGGGACAAAAAAATAGCCGAGTTTTGACTTTGAAACATAATTTCTCTATCAAATTATAAATGATACATATTTACACAAGTGCTCGTGATATTAAACATCTAGATAAATAATTTAACAAACATATGAATATCAATAAACCAATTTATAACTTATATATTGATTTTATAAAAAATCACCAGTCGAGACGACTCCGTAGAAAGACTATGAGCCGACCAACTCATGAGCCCTCAAAACGAGTATAACTCATTAGTTGAGTTCAAGTCAACAAACCACCAAGGCAAAATAGCTCATGAATCTTACGAACTGTGAACACGACATAGCTCAAACTCCATTCATTTATTAGCGAACCAAATATCAAACCAGATTATTTTAAATTGAACACAAACCACTCGCTCATTTGTCTTCTTGAGACAACTAGAATATTGTTATTAGGGCCGCAAATGAGTCGAGTCGAGTCGAGTTTTACCCCAACTTGAGCTCGGCTCGTTAATAAATGAGTCGAGCTCAGCTCATTTATTAACGAGCCGAGTCAAGTCGAGTTCAAGCTAGCTTGTTTATTAAAATCTTAACTTTTATTTGGTACTTCATTTTGTATATCATGATATATATGATTTATTTTGTTAGCTAATCTCATATTATACTTTGTTGGTATCATATATCATTTAGTTAATAAATTTTAACACTCCAAATCATGTTATTTCATAGTATCGAAGCAATTTATGATGCATAATTTCTTTTTAAAGTAGAAAATAAGATATATTTGCTCACGTACTCAACGTGCTAAACTTTATATATGGTGAGATATATAATTTAACAACCATATGAATTAAAATCATAAGATGTAGATTGATTCGTCAATAAGTTGGTAATCGAGTTGGCTCTCTAGCTACATGTTAAGACATATAATGAGCTCTAAACGAGTCAGCTCACGAGTTTAGCTCAACAAGCCACCGAGTCGAGTTAGCTCGCGAGCTGAACAAAAGTGAGCTCGTGTTCGGCTCGTTTATTAACGAGTCGAGTTTCGAACGAGTTTTTCTCGAATCGAACTCCGAACGGCTCGCGAGCAGCTCTGCTCATTTGCAGCCCTATTCGTTATAATAATAATAATAATAATAATAATAATAAAAATCTCCCGCTTTCAGCTGGGGAACGGAAGACGGATCTGGGCACAAAGAACAAGAAACATTGATTGGGGAAGAAGAAGAGGTAGTCAGATGTAATTACCAGAGGGAGATGAACAGATGGTGGCCAGCAATTCCTTGAACCGATCGATCTCGACCTGCAAGGACAGATTGGTGTGCGTGTTGTAAATCCCCTTCTCCGCCAGGAAATGGAAGTCCAGCGCCGTCGCCCCTCCTTCCGCGAAGTTGGCCCCCAACGGGAAATCGTTGCTGTGAAGCTTCCCCGGGTACGGCGTCAGTAACGGAAGCCCCAATTGCTCCGCTGAGAAACCAAAATTAAAAAAAGATCTAATTAAGCAAGGATTGGCGGACGAATCGGAAGAGTGCGATGAGCTACGGTACCGATGAAGTCGACGATGAGGCGGCCGTCGGAGCAGCGGCCGGTCTGGCGGCCGAAGTAGGTCTCGCCGTAAGGAGGGAAGCAGCAGTGACCGAGGACGCCGTCGGGAGCCAGGAGAAGCTGGTTGCCGGTGTCGGTTATGGAGTCGCCGAAGCTGAACAGCGATGTGAAGCACGGCGAGCGGCCGGCAGAGGAGGAGGCGGCGGCGGATGAGAGGGAAAAGAGGAGGAGGAGGAGGACCGGCAGAGTAGAGGCTGCCATGGCCATAGCAGCTCGGAAAAGTATAGGCAGGAATGGATGATTGACTCGTTTAATTGGCAGAGTGAGTGAATTTTAAAGCATTATTATTGGGGATCTTATAGTGAGAAAGCAAAAGTACGAGGACTGGGTAGGTGGGGAATAGTTCATGGTTCACAGTTCAGGACAGCAACTTGGAGTAATAATAAGTTAAAAATTGGAGAGCACAGAGCAGCCATGGCTTATTTTAATAAAAAATTAATAATCTCAATTATTAAATAAATAAACAAAAACGTGTACATCAAAATATATTCAGTCAGGGGAAATCTCCATATCCCTGTTAATTCTGAACCATTCACTCCCCTTTTGTATCTCCAGACTCTATTATCTTGTACCCACAGTCTTGGATTCTAGTTCTTGTTTCTGAGCTATATTTTGTTACACTTATAATGTCAATAAGATTTGAATGACATATGATTTGCCCCTCTATCGTTGTAATTTCTCAAATTTGCTCGTTTGCTATTTTTGATATCATATATGTCCCTCTATTATAATTATTTTCCATACATTACCCTTCAGTTTCTGTTATGTTTTCCGTTTAATCTCCATTAACTGTGACCAAACCATGGTTTGCTGGGATGGTCCCGAGACTATGGAGCACATGTGTTCTTTACTGTCCGATCGCGCGGGCTCTCTGAGACTACTCGGGATTGGACTATTTAGGGAAAGGTTTGCCTCGGCACACGTTTTCGTTGTTTCTTAAGCGGATGCTCGCCCTTGTCCACCACCCGTCGCTGTTTTATGGCTGTGGTTGTCATCCTTTGGCGGATCTGGCGATCGCGGAACTGGGTTGTCTTTGAAGGCAAACACTTTGGGATTCCGGCTTTAATGCGCCAATTTCACCAGCAGTACGAGGAATGGGTGGGTCTGCCCGTTGACCAGCCGACGAGGGTATCCTGCCCGGTGGTTCAACCAGGGACCCAAGTGGTTGATTCTCGTCTGGTTTGCATGTGGGATGGGGCCAATAGGAGGGGGTCCAACTCGGCTGGTGGGATGGTTCTTTTTGATCCGGGGTGGACGCTCTTTAGGGCTAAAGGTGTGCAATTTGCGCAATTTGATGAGCCACTGGTAGTGGAGTTGCTTGTGCTTCGAGAGACTATCATCTGGTGTTTAGAGTGTGACTTGTCCGAAGTTAGGTTCGAGGGTGATGCGAAGGTCATTATTGATAAGATTAATCAAGTCGACACGAGCGACAGTCACTTAGGGGCACTCCTGGAAGAGATTTGTCAGTATTTTCGAGCCCATCCGGGGTTTAGTGTGCGGTTTGTAGGTCGGAGAACAATAGGGTAGCTCATTCGGTAGCTAGAAAAGCCCTCTCTTTGTACCCGTCTGTAAATCGTTTCTTTGATTTCAGGGCCTGACTGCTATCCAGGATGTAACTATCTTTTTGATTGGATTAATATTTGATATCTTTTGAGTTTTGACAAACAAACAAAAAAACCCATGGTGGGATCTACTTAAAATGACCAGAACATTCATAACTATTTGTGTGAGAAAAATGAGGGTATCGTCAATACAAGAATTTGAATCTTGAACCTCCAAATTGTATATGCATGTAATCCATTAGATTACAAGAAAATTAATGTCATAATGTTACACAAGAGTTTTAAAAGGCAATAGTGAATTTTACAAAACCATTTCAAAGAGTGAACATCCATCATGGTCCATCGTGCGTCACGGTGAAACCAATTGAATAGTATAATTTTATTAATTATCTTCTTTTTATTTATATTCCCTTTTCAGGGTGGTTGTCACCAATGATCATGTCCCATAACCCTATGCAATGTGACTTTACTGTACCAGCGTTGCAACTTGCAACTTGTGCACTAGAACCATAATGTTTGTATTTTACACGAGGTGATCAAAATCCTACACACATGCTACAAAAAAGGACAGCGTGGCTTGATAACTGTTCAAATGGAACCAACGTGGCAAAAAGAGATGGTAAAGGCGTCTAGATTCAAACCTTTGCAGTCGTCATTTCTGTATTGTGTTGTCATCATCACTTTTAAGACTTTTCAAATATTATAGACACTAAACTTTATCGTTATTGACGAATTTCTTTCGTATCGAAAAGTTTCTTTCTTAATATAATAACGTCGCACCTAACATAACATACACAAATTAAAGGGAGTCTAATCGTAATATACAGAGAACCAGTTCAATCCTACAACTCGAGTTGGGAGGCGCCACGCCAACTCTCTTAGCTCCGGCGTACCCGTCGGCGGCATAGCCGGCGTTGAGCCCGTTGCCGCAGCTGACGAGATTGAGCTCCGGCTGTGGGAAAAGCCCACTTCCCCCATCATTCTAACGCAACTGATGTCCCAGCCCCCAGGACGGCTGGACCAACAAGGTCCACAAAGTTCCACAGGCCCACCACCAAAACCGTTGACCAAGTCATCAACGGTACCACGTGGCAACGACGACGGACCCAACAAACCGCCACACAATGACGCACATTAGTTGGCAAAGAAAGAAAGCAAAAGGATCAAGACGGGGAAATAGCTTCATAAATCATCTTTGTTCATGTCAGGGGAAAAAAGAAAAGGAAAAAAAAAAAAAGGCAAACTGCAACAATCAAACATGTTTCTCCAATCTCTCTAATCAATCCCTCCTTGCAAAAAGAAAGAACTCTGCAGCTTAAACCCACTAACAAGGAATCTTGGAGATGAACCACTCCATCACAAGAAATGGCGCCTTGATCAACCCGAGCGCAAACTCCACTATGATCGTCACGCAGAAACAGCACGGGCATATGCAACTCAACAGCAAGCTGCAGAACCCACCACACAAAAAGGGCTTTGAATAAAACAACCCACAAGCTCAAATGCGAAAAGATTTCTCTAATAAAGAATGCAAATCCAAGAAACAAGGCTTACCCAGGAATCCATATGATGATGCCTATAATGGAGAGGATGAGGGAGACGAAGGCAAAAGGAAGGCCTAGCAGAAAGGCAAGCGGCCTGCATTCGCAGTCATCCCCACAGCAGCAGCAGCACATCGTGATTTATTCTTCTCTTCTTCTGTCTTGACGTTTGATTTCTCTCCTGCTTCAGAGTTTTCTCTTAATGGGTAATTCTGTTGTAGGTAAGGCCAAGTATATATATAAGCACGCAACCAAACAAGAGAAGAAATGAATTGCTACAAGACGTGTTTCTATCTATCTATCTTCTATTTAATTATAAAGGCTGTTTACTTACCCTATGACGATTCTTGATTCAGAGAAACAAACGGTTAGCCAACCAATGACCGAATTGCCGTTCCAAACTAACCTGTCCTTCTGCCTTGACCCTTTTCTCACTTTATTATCCGCAGTCTTCTTGCTGATCTGGCTGTTACTCTTGAGTTTTAGGCGTCTGTCACATTGTTTTCCTTGTCTTGGCAGGAAAAAGAAGCTCCAATTGTCACAAGGAAAGATAGCAACATGCTTTTCTTTGTAAAGTAAAGTTTCAGAAACAAGGTACAAGAAGCCAAATTACCTTTCACAATCCAAAACGACAGGAGTATGTTGTAGAACACAGCTATAAACTGACAAAATCAAGGCCGGCTCTTGGTAGAATCTCCTCATCGAAACAGACTATCTGTCCAGTATTGCCAACACACGACGATTGCTCCAAGATAAATCCACTAAGCCAAAACACCAAGAACCTCAAATAATTTATACCAAACAAAAAAACTCAAATCTGGAAAACAATCGACTTGAAATTTGAAAGATAATAATCTGTGAATCGAGATTGATATGACTTCTTCGGGGTTCGTCGTAGACCAAGAAACTCTAGTTCCAGTTTCAGCGCCAACCCAACTGGATCCAGTATGTTTCTGCACTCCCATGATCTTCATAGCCTCTCTCTCAATTGAGTTACATTATCCCATTCCCCTGCAGCAGCTAAAGTATTGGAGAATGAGACATACACGCCAGGGAGCCCTTAAGCAGTGAGTTTAAACAGTTCATTAGCTGCTATACTACCCTTCTCGACCCAACAGATCAACCATGCAGGCATAATGCTGCATCCTTGGTTTGAAAGAGTAATACCTGTCCATGCTCTCAAAGATCTCATAGCCATTAGCAACTAAGCCACCATGTCCGCAGGGTGAGATAGCTCTCAAAGATGTAATTGGGCCCGACACCACGTTGTTGCACCTGATGGAAAAGATCAAGCGCTTTGTTAGTTTGACCACTCTTGCCATACCAACAATCATTGCACTCCAAGAAAATAGATACTTTTGTGGCATGTCATTACAGACTGTTCGGGCATACTCGATCTTCCCACACTTTGAATGCATGTCAACCAAGGCACTTCCAATTTTTATGTCAGTAAAACAGATCTTCATAAGCTGACAATGGATCTATGTACCGATCTCACATTCTGTGAGAAGAGAGCAATCCCCAATAAAACTAGCAAATGTCGCAATGTTGGGCAGGAAACCAAAGCCCTTCTGTTTATCAATGTAGAACTGCAGTGCTTTCAGAGCTGTTGCCACTGCCCTTCTATAACCTTCAATCGTGACATTAAAGACAACAGTATCCTTTTCGTTTGTTCTTCTAAAGATTGCTTCAGCTTACTCCATCGAACCATGGTTCGGATATCCAGATATCATTGACGTTGAAGCATATGACATTTTTATCTATCATCAAGTCGAAAACTCTCCTCGCATAAACAATGGTTCCAGTCATAATAATCAACATCAGCCGTGTAGAGGAAATCATCAGGCTGAATGTCCACAATCTAATTATTTAACCATAAATGCAACCGAATTGGCAAAGTCTCAACATTGGAGGCACTGGTACTAATAAAGGCTTTTAAAATCATGGAGAACGTAAACCCATCATCAGCCTTTTCTTGGCAGTCAACAACCAGCGAACCAAATAGATCAATTCTTCAAGCAACCCTTGTCTCAAATATCCACCAAGCATGTAGTTATAAGCAGAAAGATTTCAGCGAGACAATTGATCAAACACTTGGCGGGCATACTTCAAGCCGCCCTTCAAGTGGAGCACGAGGAATTTGATACGTACATTTGCGTTGGAAGGAAACCCGTCTTCAGAATGTGGTCGTTCGCGCATTGAGAAGCTTTGGCTCGTCTGACCAAGGGAATTGCCGAAATCGGGTTCACGACAGAAAAAGCAGCAGCGGCACAATTCGAAGCTTTGAGTTCCTACTTCCGGAAAAAATCCCAAGTTACACATGTTTTTAAAAAAAATTCTCAAAATACACACGTTATGAAAATAATTCCCAATCTACGTTAGTTTGAGCCATCACCGCTGTCGACGAAGACAGTGATTGCATCACTGTTGTCGACGAAGACAGTGATTGCATCACTGTTGTCGACGAAGACAGTGATTGCATCACCGCTGTCGACGAAGACAGTGATTGCATCACTGCAGTACACGGCCGCGGTGAAGGCCTGACCTGCATCGAAACTTTAAACAAACGTAACTTTGTGCTCGGTTATCCGATCGTAGCAATTTTTTTTTATTCCGCATAATTTTTCGAGATCTTGCAAGCCACAAATGGCCATAGGCGGTTTGGTCCCGCCTTCGTCTCGAAAATATGTCGTTTGCTACCCCGAACGAGCCTTTTTTCGATTTCGTCAAACTTTGAATGACCATAACTTTGTGCTCCACAATCCGAAAATCATGATTTTTTTTTATTTCGCATAACATTTTAAGGACTACAATTTTTATCATAGACATATTTTCGGAATGTACTTGGATTCCTGAAAAGGAAGGTAAAGTTATTCCCAAAACCCCTTATATCCATAAATAATTCATTTTTTGAAAATTCTCTCCTACTAAATATTTTAGTCCTTAAAAATTTATGCGAAATCAAAAAAAAATTCATGATTTTCGGATTGTGGAGCACAAAGTTATGGTCATTCAAAGTTTGACGAAATCGAAAAAAGGCTCGTTCGGGGTAGCAAACGACATATTTTCGAGACGAAGGCGGGACCAAACCTCCTATGGCCATTTGCGACTTGCAAGATCTCGAAAAATTATGCGGAATCAAAAAAAATTTTGCTACGATCGGATAACCGAGCACAAAGTTACGTTTGTTTCAAGTTTCGACGCAGGTCAGGCCTTCACCGCGGCCGTGTACTGCAGTGATGCAATCACTGTCTTCGTCGACAGCGGTGATGCAATCACTGTCTTCGTCGAAAGCGGTGATGCAATCACTGTCTTCGTCGACAACAGTGATGCAATCACTGTCTTCGTCGACAGCGGTGATGGCCCAAACTAACGTAGATTGGGAATTATTTTCATAACGTGTGTATTTTGAGATTTTTTTTTAAAAAGATGTGTAACTTGGGATTTTTTCCTCCTACTTCCTCAGTTCCTCCTCTCTCGCGTTCAGAAAGCAATGAGATTTATACTGGGCCTGACTTTGGCTTTATGGGCCGGTGGGCTGTGGACCTGTGGTGGTGAGAAAATAATAAATATATTGTTTAAATGTTTTAGAAAATAAAAATACTTTGTTATATAACAAACGAACCCATCTAGTTATATAACAAAGTCCATAACATTATATGCAATTAAGTAGTTAACTTTTTGGAAATATCCAGCAGTACTGCTCTTGCTGTTAGTATTTCCAACTAGGCTAGCGTGCTCTTGCTTGGGATTTACATGGCTTGCTCCCTTGAAATAATGTGGAGAGTCTACCCAAGTTTGAGTTGAGGATATGTTGTTGCCTGTTGGGCACTAGGGAGTTCATTCGGTTTGCTGTTTTGTTTGCATTAATGACCTAACATGTTATTCTGTTGGTGTATTTGTGTTTCTGTTGACGTTATCGATGGTTTTCTGATTATCAGTTTGGTTTTGGGTGTAATATAGTTAATTTTCCGTCTCTGTTCATGGTGTTAAAAGGGTTGAGCGGTCGAGAGATGTGAAGATAGTGAGCTTTTATGGTTGCTGTGATGGTCTTGCAGTATCTAATTCAGGTTGTAGCAGTCATGATAGTCGGTCACTTAAACTAGTTGTCCCTCTCAGCGGTCGCGCCATTGCATTTTCTTTCACAGGTGTCACTGGCTACCTTTCGAAAGCTAGTAACTTGCACTTATTGTGTCATGACTCATGACATCCATGACCCTCGCCTGTATTCTGGTGTCCATTCTGTGGCTCTTCACCTACAAGCTGCTCCTCATTGCACACCAAGACCCCTGGATCTTCGCGCAAGCTCGTGGTTACTCCATCTATCTCATAACATGGAATGTAGGCTCCATTCTTCTTTTTCCCTTACTTAATAAAAGTTAGCAAAATACTAAAAATATATCATTTAAATGTTTTAAGAAAATAAAGATATCATGATATATATCAAAAGGAATACATCTCGTTATATAACGAAGTGAATTACACGTCTCTCAACTTGAGGGACGTGCTGTCGGACACTGTGTAGTTATTGCATTTTTTTTCATTGATGACCTATTATGTTGTTCTGTTGGTGTATTTGTTTCTATCCACACTATAGCCTCTGATTATCTGTATTGTTTTTTTTTTCTAATATAATTTTAGTATTGAGTGGTGGTCATATGATGTGCTTATATTCATGGTTGGACTCTTTCCAAACCCAAGCTGGAAACTGAAGTCATATGTATTTGGTAGGCTGTCCTCATAGTGATTGTCTACTTGACCATTCTTTCCATGTTCATCAAAATGATAAATAGTATCACATCACTTAATTTCTTCATACCTTAATGGATGCAACTTCTCATTCACTTTCTTGCACAACTACATTCCATATGGGATTGGTGGAACAGGTGTAAGGTTAGTACTGCTTGTTGATCAACTTTAGTGGATAAAGAGAGAAATTCTAAGAAGAATTAGACTTGCTTATAATTTATTATTTTTTTCTTTATTATTATTTATTTAATTATTATTATATATATGTCCTTCCTAAATACCCTAAGAAGACTGAAAATTGTGAATTGAGCATATTTTGGTGAAGAACTTCCATATATTAGTGGTAGGAAGGAGGAGGTAAATAATATCAATTAAATGCTAAATTAACGTTGAATCGATTTTCACAACTTTAGCATTCGAGTGTTGAATGATCTTGAAGCCGGGAAGCACGAAGCAGCCAAATTGTCATTGGTGGACTTGTGGTGACGATTGTGACAGCAATAATAATCGTCCTAACATTCTTGGTAGTGGTGCTTGCGACTAAGAACCAAGTCGCGAAGCTTTTCTCTTCAAAACCTCAAGTCAATCATGAAGCAACGAATTTCACATACTTCTTTGTTGCCATAATTTAACTTGACTTGTTTACCTTAAATAACATGGAATGCAGACGATCAAAAGGGCAAAAGGTTACATCGAGTACAACCAGATTAGTGAGGGCCAACGCGAATGAGAAGAACTAAGCAACCAAGCGAAAGAAACCATAAAGCAACCAGAGTCCTATCCCAACCAAAGCCAACCAGTCTCCATCCGATCACAAAGAGACCTTACCCAACACCAGCCCACATCCCATCCCAGCCCAAGATAGAACATAAAAAATGTGTCTGCAATGACAGTAAAAGCAGTATGTGTGTACAGTGATAGGGGCTGTTGGGGGGTTTTCTTCTTTCAATTATGACAAACAAGGACAAATAACGTTTATAGAGTATTTGGAGCTTGTTGGCATTGTCCAAAGGGCATTTGGTCTAGTGGTATGATTCTCGCTTCGGGTGCGAGAGGTCCCGAGTTCGATTCTCGGAATGCCCCTGAGATGTCTTTGTTTTTCTTTTGATTTTTCTGTTTAGTAATATGTATGCTCTCTTTGTTTTTCTTTTGATTTTTCTGTTTAATAATATGTATATCCACTTAATATTTTGTATTACCCCTGAGATGTCTTTGTTTTTCTTTTGATTTTTCTGTTTAGTAATATGTATGATCTCTTTGTTTTTCTTTTGATTTTTCTGTTTAATAATATGTATATCCACTTAATATTTTGTATTAAGAAAATCACGGGGTCGTGTCATTACTCATTATTATAAAATATTATCCATGTGACTAAAGTTGAATTTCGTATCTTTAAGGGTATTCCAATTTTCTTATACCATTTGTGTGGTATTATGATAGTATTAGGCTTTTTGATTGACAAATTCTAGGCAAAAACCTTGAAATTGCCTGTACAACACATATTTTAGTTAACTAGATTAGGGTCCGATCTCTTGGCCGGGAGAGTTTGGTTTTTATGTATATGTGTAGTAAATATTGAGGTGTATATTTTTTTATGGTTCATGTTGTTGGGGATTGAAGTAACTATTTAATTTGGTAAGTTATTCATGAATAATATAGGAAAGTATTTAATGTACTTGACTAATGAAGTTTAAAAATGAAAAACAACGTCCAACTACACTAACATAAATACATATTTTAAAACAAAGTCGTATCTATATAAAAATGTCTGAGAAGAACAATGATAAGAGTTGTTTTACATCACATATACATAATCAATCTTCAGTATACGATAATTTTTTTTGCCTTTTCCATTAACTTTCGTGTATTCAATGATATAATGAAACAAAGTATATGTTTAGAGTGTCCTTAAAAAGAAACAAACTAACTGACACAGTCATGGTTCCATTGTCTTTTGTGTATTCAATGATATAATGAAACAAAACATGCAGATGTCCAGCTGGTAAGTTCAACTAATAGAGCAACACATAAAAAGCTAAATCAAAGCGAAAAGAAGGCAAAAACTAAAAACAACATACCTAACATTTTGGGGGAAATCCACAACAATAAAATTCATTGTATGAACACTTGATAATGATTTGAACACTTGTGATATATGAGTAGTGAAAGTTAATAAAAGCCATTGTAGCGCTTACTCAATTTAGAAAGACTTTGATTTAATGGTAAGTAAACAATGATATGTAGTGCTTAAGAGGGAAGGGGGGACCTTACATTGTTTATTAACGGGACCGGTTACTATGACAACACCCCTTGTGTTGTTATTGTAACAACACTAGTCTCCAACCAATAGGAAGCTAGGGTTGTGATGACTTTTTATTAGATGAGTTGACCTAGTGTAAAATCAAAGCAGGGGTATAATTGTCATTATGAAAAATATGTTTAAATAATAATAAAAAAAATAATTTTTTTATTTCCGGGCCAAAATTTTGGTTGCCGGAATTCTGCCACCGGTCGCCGGAAAATGGTCGCCGGTCACCGGAATATGCTTTTTGTCGCCGGAATATACTATTTTGTCATCGGAATATGCCACCGTCGCCGGAATATGCTCACTGCGGTCGGAATATGCTTACCGGCGTCGGAATCTAGTCATCGGGGCCGGAATATGCCTATCGGCGTCGGAATCTGTTGACTGACGGTCACCGGAGTTGGGTCAACGAAATTCGTTGACCGGTCAACGGTCTTCGGTCAACGACCACCGGGATGTATGGTCTACATTGTTAGATTTATGGTTTAGTTTCTCATATTTTTGTATGCCTTTTGTGGTTTGCTTTATCGTGTTTGTGGTTTGCATTACGAAGTTTCTGGTTTGCTTTATCGTGTTTGTGGTTTGCATTGAGAAGTTTCTGGTTTGCTTTCAAAAAAAATTGTTATGCATTGAGGGGTTTGTGGTTTGTTTTAAGAGATTTGTGGTATGCATTAGGAGGTTTCTGGTTTGTTTTTGTGGTTTGCTTTAACGTGTTTGTGGTTTGAATTATGAGGTTTCTGTTGTGTTTTTTAAAATTCTGTGGTTTGCTTTGTGAGGTTTCTGGTTTGTTTTAATATATTTTTGGTATGCATTAGGATCATTCTGGTTTGTTTTTGTGGTTTGCTTTACGGTGTTTATGGTTTGCGTTATGAGTTTTCTGGTGTGCTTTCAAAATATTTGTGGTTTGGTTTGTGGTGTTTCTGGTTTGTTTTAGGGAATTTGTGGCATGCATTGGGAGGTTTCTGATATGTTTTGTTATGGTTTGTTTTAGCGTGTTTGTAGTTTGTTTTATGAAGTTTCTGGTGTGCTTTGTGGTGTTTTTTATTTGTTTTAGGAGAGTTATGGTTTGTATAATAAGGTTTTTGGTGTGATTTAAAAATATTTATGGCTTCACTTTGTGGTGCATGAGCTCTAACCGTCCGCCTTCTTTGCTCTTTCTCCTCTTCCTTCTTTCAAGTCCAAAGTGTACCGAAATCGGCGAGAAGCTTTCAAAACCAGCGCTGCTAACTGTGAAAAAAAGACCAGTACAACCAAACACCTTCAGTCCAATCCCCATGGATAAACAAAACCACTCGCTTCACAGATTAACTTTGCATGGATAAACTTCAATGCTTATCCATAAACATCATAATCAATGATATAAACTGTGACTTTTGGGTTCATATGTAAAGCCAATATAAGTTTTCTTTCCCCAAATGAGAAGTTTATGCATGCTTGATCAAAGTGAGGGAGGCCAAGCTTTGTCAATTCAACCTAGGTTTTTGTGGACTTAACATAGTTTGATTTAGTCTTTCTTTTGGATTTAACCTAATTGCATTCGTCGTTTATTGGCGTGTGAAATAGACTTCTCATTTAAACTATGTTAAGTAGATTTTAATGGTTTGTGAAATAATTTGGTGATTGGAATGGAATATCGCCTGAGAATGTATTTTGGTTTCAAAAAGCAGAGAGTGCAATGGAACGAACAAAACAAGGTTCTCTTCTATATATTGTTCTTAGATTAGATCGGTGCACTGAAAATATCAATCCCTAAGAACTGGACGAATTCATCTCTGACACTGTTTCATCACACCCTCAGTTCAACAACGCCACCAATAAACTACACGTACCGATCTCATGCAAATCCATAGATTCTTCGCGGTGGTGGCGGTTCAGGGTGGTGAGAGGAAGTTCAGAGGCGTGAGGAGGCGGCCGTGGGGTAAATGGGCTGCGGAGATTTGGGATCCGGCGAAGAGGGTTTGGCTCTAGCTGGGGACTTACGATACGGTGGAGGAGGCGGCGATGGTTTATGACAACGCCGCGATTAAGCTCCGGGGACCCGACGCGCTGACGAATTTCTTCAATCCGGCTGTGAAGGGGGAAGAAACAGAGGAGGATAAACATCAATCCTCCGGTTACGACTCCGGTGATGAATCACACAACAACAACCTCGCATCGCCCACCTCTGTTCTCCGATTCAGAAGCCAATCCACTTCGGAGTCCTCCGAGCCGGAAAACAACAAGCCCATTCCTCCGACGCCGATTTCAATCGAGCCGGAGGAGACGATGTCTTTGCTTCTCGCCGAGCCGGTGGGAGAAGACGAGGCGACAGCTGGACTCCAATTCTTGCAGGAGTGCGAGGGTGAAAACAGCGGCGGCGGCAACCTCTACTCCTGCTCCGACGACTACTTTGACCAGTACCTCCTCGCGCCGGAGCTCTCGTTTTTAGAAGACTCTTCTTCTTCGCCCTCGCCGTTTGGGAATCGGAGGAGAACGCTCGACGGAGAAGGAGAAGAGAGCGGAGGGGAATTGGCTTTGGGGATCTTATTAAATGTTTTTTTTATTGTAAATTTCCAGTTTTGCCCTTAATGAATTATGTTGTTACTGTAACAACAAATAGAGTGTTGTTATTGTATCTTGTCCCTTTATTAACATGCATCTTAGTTTCATAAATTTTACATCATTAAAAATTTATGTGTTGAATTGAAACCTTTCCGAGTTTGGAGCCATTGTAAAATGTATGTTATGAAGCAAATGAAAAGTCTCAAGCATCCACATGCTTGAAAAATAAATCTATATTATCAAACATAAAATCATATCTTGCATAAGAAAAAAGAACAAAAAAGTAGTAATTCGATAATCAATATAGGAATCAATATGGACACAATATCTAATCAAGAGAAGAGGAAGCAGAAAAACACAAATTGTTGTGTATAGATTCCGCTCACGATATTTCAAAGTGAAAAATATCATAAAAATTATTAACCAATAAAAGGGAACGGTAAAGGGGGAAATCCATCAATTTGAACCTAAAATGAGAGGAATTAATATCCTACACCATCATATATAATGATATATTACATCTCAGGACATCATCAAAAAATCTATCTAAATGAAAAAGTATACTAAATTGAATCTAATGTAAAAGTAACGATGAAGATAGATATTATATCCACCTAAGGAATAATAAAGTAAGCCATGTTTCTTAGAGACCTCTCTCGATAGAACCACTCTATTATAGAACCCATTTCGTCAAACAATTGCATCATATATAGTTTAACTTAAATTTGAAGTGCTTATAATTAGCTATTTCAGCTCACGAATGAATTAATTATATCATTTGGTAAAAGAAAATAATTTATAAACTTGAGAGTTATTTTGTTTGTTGTTAAATCATTTGAACTAAAGTATGAAAGTGCTTTAGACCGTTATTTTATTTATTATTATTAAAATTGCTATTTTTATAATAATGTCTAAGCATGTCTAGGCGAGCTAGGAGATAGACAAATGCCCAATGACCGTCGTACGACTAACGTGCTGTTGAACCTCAATAATTATAGCAAACTTTGAGTGCATCTTATAAATTTGATCACTTCTATTTTGGTATAATTGATTACATCATGAAAGCAATCAATCAAAGAGTTTTTCTTTAAGATTTTGATAAGATGTCCCCTACTGCATAATTAGTATGACTAAATTGTAATAAGATAATCATGTATTGAATTTGGAATCAATAGCGCAAAAGATTGTACTAACTCAAGTAGAGTTTTAGCTACTCAGTACATCATATTTGCATGTATATAGCTATTTCGAAGAGTTCGAATATTGATTGAGTTTGTTGAACTTTACCTAACGAAACTATGATATCAATCGCAAGATATTATGTTTTTTTGGAGAAATTGGGAGAATATGTCGGTGATTTCAAACCTAACATGGATAACATTGAATTTAATTGATAAGCAATATTTATGTTTAATAGATTAGACATGAAAAATATATTTAGCATTCCCATAAGTTGGTATGAAGAAGTGAATAATTAGGAATTGAAAGCTAGAAACAAAGTAGATTTAATAAGTAACTGCAAATGATATTGTGAAAAAGAAAACAAATGCTTAGAGCATAGCTAGGCATGAGAGTGCTACATTAAACTCTCTAAGAGAAAGCAAGTAACCATTAATAGTTAGTTGTGGATATTGAAATAGTTAACTATGATGAATACTATACTGGTGATTAATACTTGTACCTTAGCTTGAACATTGCATCATGCTGATAAAAATTATTTCATTAATTACATTATTGAAATAAGGGGTCGTATGGAAGTTTTGATTGTTTTTTTTTAGATTGTTAAGATAAATACATTTTTCGTAAGACAATAATATGTTATTATTTTTGTTCATACACGATCGTGAATTATTTGTTTGATTTGACTAAACTATCATTCAAATTGAAAGATTAAAAAATTTGAATTTTAGCATAGACTGTCGAGATAATTGGTATTGGTGTTTGTCATGTTTATATTTCTAGAAATGTATGGTACCAGTGTTCTTATGTCGTCATTGAACACTTCAATTCAATGCGCAATATTCAAACCAATGATATTTGTGTTGAGATTTTAAGATTATCCTTCATTTATAAGTTAGAAAAAATTCTAAATTAATTATTAAAATATGAAAATAGAAGTATTAAACACCACAAAATACTTACAGTAGACTTAGCGGGCTAACTAACCCTGATAGAAAGTACTTTGTTTTTCATAATTTTAACTTCCTCTATGTTTTGTATTAATTAAGTATAACTAATGTGTCTAGTCTAATTGGTTAGAATTCTTACACACATTCTCTTATTCTCTTATGTTTTGACCGGCCAAATAGCATGCCCCCGTTGGTGCTTGCATGAACAGCTCATGCTGCATCGCCTTGTCCAAGGAAACCTTCCGTCGCATTGCACACTTCCTTTAAATTTTCCTATCGTATTCATTTAGGTTTTCCAATGAATCACCACATTGTACATTTGTACTCTAGATCAAATTGGTGAGATTTGCTACGAGGTTGATTTGAGAATGAATTTGAAGATCGGTTGAAAGTAAAATCATTTGAAAGAAGCGAATTACAAACTTTATGACTAGTTTATATTGTCGGAGTTCAATGAGGAATGCGCCAGAATGATGTGGAATTAACAATATAACTAAATTAGACTTGCCTAACTAGTTATATTTTGGTACCCAAATTATCTTAATTGTAACAATACGTACAATCCCTATAAAAGTACATTCCTAATCTTTTACAAGTTGTGAAACTAGTCCTATGCTTTTACGAGATTGACAATCCAAATTATAATTGAAATTTATTTAATCACTGATAGTGTGGTACATAATTTACTCTGAAAGTACGATAAACTATTTGTACGATGTCACAAATAATGAGTTTTGCTCTGTCATATTCTTACTGACCGGCCAAGGACATTAGTAAAAACCACATTTTGGGCCTTACGGACGTAAGAACTGAAACTGGTAGGCCCGCAGTTGTATGGGGAGAATCTTTTCAACTTGGTGGCCCGATGGGCTCATCTTAAGGCCTTTTCCCTGTCCCGCCTTTTGCCTACCTAAAATCATAAACTAGTGCCTCCTTCCTGAATTAATATTCTTCCTTGCAACTAGTTGGCCGGATTCAGTTGCCAATCACATAAAAAATATTATCTAATTGTTTGTGAGATACGTGATTTTGATAGTATAAGTAAATCTAAATTATTCAAATGATTGAAACGTTCAAATTGTTTGGTAGAATAAGAGAATCCAAATTATAAAAGCACTTCAACAATTCAAAATATTTAGATAGTGTTTTTCGACATTGTACGCAGCTAACTCATCGACTAAAATCTTTTTACGAAATGAAAGACAAATCTAGACCGACTCCTAAAGACATTTTAAAATCACCCTTCTATTTACTCCTCATCAACAAAGATTACTAGACATTTTCAATTTAACTTGTTGGCACTTCCTCCCGCATGAGCAACATCATCATGTGCATCAATATTAATGTATTCGTCTCCATTAGTTATACATTTATCTCCATTATGAATTTCTTTTTCTTTTTCTCTCTTGTATTTCAATGATCTCTTCCTTGTTTTCCTGCATTTTATTGAGCACAAATAGTTGATGGTAAACTTTTTACAAATACCAATTATCTTTTTCGTTGGAGTAGTATTTACATCTTTCAAAAAAGAAAAGGAGTAGTATTTACCCCGTCCAAGTTATGAACAATATCCAAGATTTGTTCTTTCTACTCATAATTGGTACTTGTATCTTCCTCATAAACAATGTATTTCTTCTACTCAAGATAATCATCATCTCTAGTTCAGATATAGTACACCTACCATTAACAGTCTCATTCTGGTTCTCTTACATTAACATTACGAAATAAGATCATTGTCATTCAAAAGCGCAATATATGGTGTGATTTTATAATTTACCTTGATCAAGTTAGGAAGATGTTATGAGTTCTGCTCTTCTCATCCTTCCCAATCATGGAAATCGTGTACTCACTTATTGATTAGCAATGCCATATATGAGCTTGCTATTGAACTTCACATCATTCCTTTAGTTTGTAAGAGATGAGAAACTGATAATCCTCTCATTCTATCGTTGTATTGGAATAGCATTTTAGCTGGCATTTCGAAAAATCCATCTCCCACTTGATCCATAACAACAAAAGTTAGCATCAGTGGTTTTCCCCTCAACTCGAAGGTGGTTCCTGAATAAGTATAATGTTAGTAATGACATAAACATCAATAGAATCTAATACTTCTGTGGACAGGTTTCACATCCAGCATAACACCACCCTTCTTAACTTTGACAACTTGGTTTCTTACGAAATAAATATTACATAAAATGTTAGCATTTGATAGTTTATGAGCTGTTAAATTGAAACTGATACTTACTTCTTCTACATCCTTCATTTTTAACCGATTTAGCTTCTGCACTGTTTTGGTTGAAATTAGTTGTTGATGTGCTTTCTAACTTTTCATTGGAAGAGTTGGCCAATCTCAGTCACTTTTTTACCACAAAAAATGATAATTGATTAATTTTTCTATTTGAAACTTCAAATTTATAACAGGCAACCAAATATAGTGATTAATTTGTCATGAATTTCACATCGCCCCAAAAATAATGATTCCTGAATTATTGGATTTTCCAATAACAAAGTCACTCTAGATGAGGAGAAGGTTTTCTCGCTTGCAAATTTGTTGATCGTTTAATTACATGTCATATTTATTTGCAAATGGTTTGATTAATAATAAAAAAGTAATAAAGATGTTTCCTTACTATTGTATGAAATGACATGTAATGATGTAATGACCAGGATGAGAGGGCGGTTACCGCATTTGTAAGGATGACATTAATTGGGTAACTATCGTACCAAAGAGAATTATCGTGACAACCAATCCCAACACCCTTTTGTGATTAGTGCTAAAGTAATGCATGCTATTTTAAAACTGAAAAATGAATTTAATACTTGGGAAGTTTTAGTTGGAGCCTCCTCGCAGGTAATTTTTCCAGTGAGTGTTAGATATCAATTAACCCGAATACTGAATAAATTGACCAACAACATTCGTGGAATAAATTTTTTAAAAAGTTCATTAATGTTTTTGGCAGCATACACATTATATTGAAGTAAACTTGAATTGAGAATAGTAATTTGAACCTGAAAAAAAGTTTATTTGGTTGCACTTCTTGTTAAATGAAATTAAACTTGCAAGCTAGTATAGCTGGAATATCATTGAATGCTTCAGCTTTTTTGTTTGATTCAAACTTGATGACTAAGTTGTTTAGAATTGGCCTATAACCTCTCATTGTCATATTGGCCATAAAGGATAGTGTGTAAACTCTCTAGTCATGTAACAGGGGACGAAAGTCCTTGTTTTTCCCTTTGAAAATTTGCACCCAAATATCATTATCTTGAAGAAAATAGTAGGAATATTAAAAAAATTCAAAAAATCGAATCACAAAGTTGAATTTGGGTGGTTGTTGTTAGTTTACACTTTAAGTCGATAACTATCATACCGAGCCAAAGAATAATATATGTCTTGGGATTGATTGGCAACCACTTCCTCGGAATCTTATATTGAATAATCAAGCTCCCCTTTTAAGTTGTGAGATTAGATATCAACTTGGATTGCATATGGACTAATTTCCAATTATAACAACAGTGAAACAATTTTTTTTTTCACAATGGATATAACAAACAAATAGCTAATATTTGATGCGTTACAAAATATTTGGCTGCTATTTTATATTTTTAAAGTTTGACTAATAATTTGAAAAGTTTTAAAGGTTTGGCTAATAAATTTTATTTACCCTAAAACTAAAGTAAATAAAAAAAGTAAAGTTTGAATAATTGTAGCATTTACATACAATTTAATCCTCCCACAACCATGAATATACGTGAATGAAAATATTAATTTCTACTACCAATACATAATAACATGTTAGTACGCAGTGGCTTAGCCACGATTTTGTAGAGGGTGGGTACATTTAGAAAAAAATTCGTAGAATAAAATAGTTTTGTTAGCTTTTTAAATCATTCATTATATAATTATGTATGTACAAAAACTTGATAAATTAAATAAATGTCAAAACTATAAAAAATATCAATCTATATGTATCAAAAAATCATTCACGACTTAGTCAAGACCGTTTAGTATCTATAACTCGAGTTGTTGGCAAAGATTTAATAATGGATTTTATAGTATTTAGTATTTACTAACACTTACCTTCTAACCAAAACCAACTTATACATGCTTAAAATTTTCGAATTAGAAGTGCCCTAAATTTCATTCTCAATTAACTATCATACTAATTTACTCATATTCGTCCTATGGAGCCACCCATTACACTCTCTATATCCCTGATTGAAATAATTTTTTTTTTCAGATTAGCTATGATTTGGTGAAAATTTGTTGTATATATTGAATAAGTACATATTTAATTTTGAGCGGATCATATGCACCATTTTCATTTGTACATAGCTCGTTATAAAAACATTGAATATGTCAATATACAACGTATATATCATATATAAAATATTTTAAAGGTCAACCATTCTCATTTGAATACATGTTATTTTTCATATCCGATTATCTCTTATACATAGTTTACCATATTATCTCCCAAGCCAGACCGGGACCCACCCTCTAACCCTCTCCCTCCGGCCCTGTTAGCACGGAGGCAATTGCAACCGGATAGTGAGTAAGAAAAAGAAACTAAATTTAGTAAGACATCAACAACATTTGAATAAGGACTTGCTGGTGAAAGTAACAGAAGAACGACAATGACAATCATCATAGAATACATGCAATAATTCATGAGCCAACACATAATCAATCGGGGAAGGATGGAAGTATTGGGTGGGAGTAGCAGGATGTCTCTAATCCATGGATTATATAGTAGTCAGGTGAGAGTTAGTTGTTGTGTATGATTATGTATCCCGCCTTCTCAACACTATTGTCAGTAGCAATTGTTGCTACTTAATTGCAAAGTTACAACAGGTGCAGCAGGAATACATTTGCAAGGTAATCCATTTTTTGGTATTCATATTCAATTCAGCCACTATTTGTGTGTCGTATATATATATTAGAATGAAATGATGAGTTAAACTTTGGATTTGTATTTTTTATGGGTAGTGATAAATTCACATATGAATTAGTGTATTATATATTCTTGTATATTATAGCTCATAAACGATTCTATCAACGGTTAATCAACAGTTTTATATTTGAGGCATGAACCACTAACTTTTCCGGTTCACCATCCGATCCGGTTATGTAAACGATGGTTTTTCTGCAACCTGCACTTCACAAGTGTCTCATTTAATGGACTAAATGCCTAATAAGAGTTATGCGTGTGTAATATAATAATCGCAACATAAATTGCATCGACCCGGTGAATGGTAGCCCTAAGCCCATATACTGAATAATTATTAGTTAGTGATTGGTTAGTTAAAGTAGCTGAAAATAAGTACCATATAAATTAAATCATTCCGTCCTCTAATAATTAAAAGTGAAATGACTATTAAAGAAGCTGAAAATAAGTGATTAACCTTAATAATTAAAAGTGAAATGACCACCGTCCTCTAATAACTAAAAGTGAAATTGACTATTAAAGAAGCTGGAAATAAGTGATTAACCTTAATAATTAAAAGCGAAATGACCATAGGCTCCTTTCGTGGTGTGCGCTGGAGCCAAAAAAAGTAAGATTAAGGGGGTGCCAAAGCAGAACCTCCATCATGTATTGTTTGATTTACAGGCACGTAAAATGATATTCCATGTTAAAAATTGTTTTATATAATTGAAAATAAATTTCAAATAATATAGAAATTTTGAAAATTTTAACTTGAAGATTAGTTGCAGAAATTGGTGATACGATGACAAGACCATATTACACAATATAAATGATTTGCTGGGAGATGATCTAGGGACAGGTTATGGTGATTACTTGGTATTAGTAATCACCGTGGCTACTAAGGATAGGAATGGTATTTTATTTTTATTATAATTATAATTATCATATTAATTACGTGATAATTAGGGAGAGATAATAATGAAAAGTAAATATTACAGCAATTAAACCATCGTAGGGTTCTGCGAGGTTTGAATTGGTAGTGTTAATCACTTTGTATGGCTGCACTGGTAGTGATCTGCATTAGTAGTTGTCTTAAATCTGTACTGATTGTATTGGTACAAATTTAATATTGGATTGATTCTGGTGGTATGAATTGGATTGGTATTGGTATTGTGATTATCATTATTGAAATGGTATTGATTTTGCCTTGTTGTGCAATGTATTGTTGTGTCTAATTAGTTTGGTATGAATTTCAGTCATTGCAAACATACCAATGAACACACAAAAAGTCCAACAACTAGCTTGCATAAAACTGGAACACTACCATTGCAAACATACCAATGAACACTACCATTCCACGCCAAGCTATACATGTGAGAAGATAACTACCAAAACAATAGATAACTACCAATGCATCAAATCTCGCCAATAGCCGACTCAGAATTCGGAGGAGGTGAAATCAATCTCGTGGGTGCGCCGTCTTCAGTCGGAGTGGGATGAATAGGGAAACGATACGGAGCGTCGAACCCCTCGCCGATTCACCATCCGAGAAACAAACAGTCGCCAACCAGGAGAGAAAGACAGTGGTGCTGTCGGCTGCATGGGGTCGTCGTCGACTGCACAGAGTCATCATTTTCGGCTGCACAGAGTCATCGTCGTCGGATGCACGAAGTGGCGGCGGCGGCGGCTGCACGGAGTTGATCAGCGGAGCTGTACATAATCATCCTTCCTCCTGGCCTCGATGGAAGCTTGCGGCTGCGGCGGGTTTGATTGGAGGGAGGATAGAAGTAGGGTTTGGATAGAATATATATAATAATCTGGTGTGGTCTCTTTTTTGTTTCCAAAATTACCCTGGAACAATCTTAACCGTGAGATTAAAAAAAAAAGAAAAAAATAAATGGTGGATACGGATGTAGCCATGGTGGCCACTAGAATTTCAGTTAACACCCTAACGCATTTCGACGATCTAACATAAAAATTATAAATCTTGTATCTATTTATTCATAAATTTTAATTAAAAAAATATCGTAAACAACTTATCTCATAACTATATAGTATAGTATATAGGGTGTCATCTAAAGCCATTTTTCAAACTCCAAGATCCTTAGTCGATGTCATTCATTCTTCCATTCGATCGACTAAACACGACTTATTGCAAAAAGAATCGTTGAACTCAACTTGAATGAATGTTAATCATATATGCTCATATTAGTGTACTCTACTGCTAGTTTTGTTGTCAAGCACAACTTATGAACTCAAATGAGTGATTATGTAGAGGTCCTTTGGTGTTCATTTGTTTGTATTCATTTTCATCAGAATTATGCTTTTATCAAATTGTATTTAATAATCCTATAAGATCTGTTTTTCCGCTTATGATGTGGTGGGCAGTGGCCACTGCAGAAAAGGATAGGAGCACAAATATCAAACTGAAAATGACAACCAAATTTAAAATTAGAATGTTTTTAAAAAAAATTTACCAGGATTCGAACACACAATCAGAACTAAACCTAAGTAGGGATGTGCAATGGTTCGGTCCGGGACGAGATCGCACCAGACCAAATCGAAGTTTGGACCGGACCGATTATAATGCGGTCCGGTCTTTGGCCCACATGATTTTGACAATTACTGAAGAAGTGATGGACCGAGCTGATATTTGGACCGGACCAAATGGACAGAACGCAATGATGGTCCAGTCCTTGGTCCTAAAAAGTCTTTCACTAATGGACCGCAATTCTCATGGGTTTGGTCAGATAATTCTAAAATTAGCAAAATAAAAACATCTAACATCTATATTAATGATCAACATTTCACCAAATTTATTCTAACCATCTCTCTCTAACGATGATAATTTAAAATGTAAGCATCAAGCTCTACATACATACATTACACCGGAGACCAATGAAAGCGAGAGAAAAAAAACTCATCATCTCCCGGTGTGCCGGCCGGCCGGCGAAATCACCGTCAATGGTGCTGAGAGTCCGGCCCACCGGGACTCAGTCGTTCAGGAGCTCTGCCTCCTGCTCTGCTGTTAGCTTCTTCCGCCGCCTGATTCAACGCCGCCGAAATCCGAGCCACTCGGCTCCCCTGCCGGCCACCGCCGGCGGCTTCCGGTGGCCGGCTCATTAGCCGCCGGCTACTCTCAACTCTGCCGCCGGACGATGATAGAATCAGCACCGTAATCAGTAGCCAAATGCACCACGAGGGTCTTGATACTCTGCCCATGACTCTGTTTTTTTTGCTCTGCTAATGGAGATTTAAGATTTTTTTTCTTGTGTTAGTGCTGATAACTGATAAGCAGAGGTCATGAAGAACGGAGAGATTGTAAGCTATTTATAGATGTGGATTGATGAAGAAGGGCCTGGTTTTGGCATAAACGGTTTTTTTAAATTGATTGGTGGAAGAAAGAATGTGTGTGGTGACTCAATAAGAGGAATCTTGAAATGGAATTCACATCTGTTATTTTTATCGTTTTAGCCAGCTTGAATGCCGAATGGCTATAGTTTTTATATGCAGTTTTTTCTCCCAATATGAAGTGTACTGACATTTTTCATTTTTCGGACATGTTTTTGCCAAAATTATATACAATTTTACTTGAATTTTTTATGATTTTATTTTTATTATCTCACATCTTAGGTGTAATAAAATTGTTGAATGTTGATTCGATGAGTGGGTCCATAATTTGAGCTTAGAGATTACTATTGCCGGTGCCAAGTGATACCCAGTCTTAACTGTATACGAGTCGTTCTTTGTAAGGTGTCGGACCCTAGTGTCCCTCTTAGTGATGACAATTTGTATTTACTCGAACGCACCCGCGCTAGGGCGGGGCATGGGGTATCTAATCCCGTCCTGCCCCACCTCGTTTTGGCCTATTCTATGTCAATTTTTTACAAGATATATTCATATTTATCCTATTTTGACTTTTTCTTAACCAGTTAGACTGGAATACTGGATCTTTCAACTAGTTAGACTCAATTACTCATTCTATTATCACTATTTTCATTCATAAAGTGTTTCCCCCCTTTGTTTTATTATAAAAAGAACATATTGTGCGTATTTTGTGCAAATAACATGTAAGAACGGGTCGACTGACCCCGCCCCGTACCCGCGCGGGTATTACTCGCCTCCAGCTCGCAATAGCGTTGGGGCATGTATATTGAGGTACCCGCCCCGCCCCATTATACCTACCAGATGAATCTCATCAAATCAACGTTCAAATTCAAACCCATTATAGGGTATGCATTCTTCAATCCAGCAAATTAACTTTGTTCTTCCTTTTTCGATGACTACTTTTTGGATAAGATCAAGGCCACTAGCTATTAACTAGCAAGAAGCCAATTCTGCTTCCAACACTGCATTATCCCAAGCCTTCATTTGGGGATTGGTTGAAATTTCAATTCCGTGGTCTTCATGGCTACGATGATATGATTGCTGCGTCGGTTGGAGACTTGAAACTCCAGGGCGAGGGCGCGACACTTAAGACCTGCTGAAAATGACTTTCAATGGTATAATATGGTTTAATGTTTATCTTGTTAAGTTAACTGCCGTCCACAGAGAACGAAGCTTTTGCCTGAATATGACTTCAATGGTATAAATTATATGGTGTCGGCGGCGAACTGATAATGCTGCTGCCGACGATGACCCAGTTGACTTCCGATTAATAATTTGAGGTTTGCACCTACTCACATCCATAAAATTTTAGTTTTATTAAAGGTTTCTCAGTTGCTTTTGGGGTTGAAGAAGTAGAGGTACTATAATGCTGAGTGCTGTGAAAGAAAATGGATTTGATTTGGAATCATAATGGAGGCTAGCTAGCTGCGACGAGACGACCGACCATAACTCTATTGTGGAGAACCTAACCGCGAACGTTGCAGCAACACGTGTGAGAGCCATTACATTGTCTAGTCAGCTCTGTCCTTGGACGTTCAATTATTTATCATATTGAGACTATGTGCGAACGAAATTGTGGTCGAGGGGTCGTACTCTTGATTTTTAGTCATGAAGTCTTGAGTTTGATTCTTAGGGACGATGCTTCTTTTTCTTCAAGTAGGCACCTGTAATAGGTCTTTGTCAAATATATATATATATTGGGAATACCTTAAGTGTTTTGTAATGATATAGTTTTTTTTTTATAAATTGATTGAGATAGATTTGTTATTGGTATGTATTAGGCTGTTTTTTATATGCATTCATTAGTTTTTGGTGTTGATTGTCATTGGTTATTGATGTCTTAATTTATCAAGTTTCTGGTATTCATTATGTTGTATTTGGTATGAATTGGACAATTTATGGAATTGGATTTTTCATAGTATGGATTCTCAAGTTTTTTGTGCAAATTAGGTTGTGTTTGGTATGCATACGTTAGTTTTTAGTATTTACTTTTCGTTGCTTATTTCAGGTTTGTGTTATCAAATTTTTTTTTAAATATATTCATTAGGTGATAATTGGTACTAATCAGTGATCAGACGATTATTTGTATTGCATTTTGATGTCTTAATTTATCAAGTTTCTGGTATTCATTATGTTGTATTTGGTATGAATTGGACAATTTATGGAATTGGATTTTTCATAGTATGGATTCTCAAGTTTTTTTTTTGTGCAAATTAGGTTGTGTTTGGTATGCATACGTTAGTTTTTAGTATTTACTTTTCGTTGCTTATTTCAGGTTTGTGTTATCAAGTTTTTTTTTTTTAAATATATTCACTAGGTGATAATTGGTACTGATCAGTGATCAGACGATTATTTGTATTGCTTTTTGACTACCGTGGTCGTTGGGTGTACGATGGGTTTCAGCCTCAGACCAACCCACCCGCTTGTTAACCCGTTGTTGTAATTGTAACCCACCTCACGGGAGAACCACACACATTCTTTTTCGGGTTGGGTGAGATGGGTAATGTGTGGATAGTTGAACTGCGTGTTAATCTACAAAAGCAATTCTCCAATAAGACATTAAACGGTTTGAGGAAAGATTTCAACAGTTTAGTCACCTCTCTCTTTATTTTTCATTTAAACAAAGTGTCGGATTCAAATAAGCACCATCTCAATTTTCAATTTACTTTTCCTTCAATGCTTATCTGAAGGCATTCATTCGCTCAGTTAAACCCGACTAAACGATACGTAGTTATTTGTTGAAATCCACGATTAGACACGACATTGAGAGTATGACTGTGAATGTTGTTCTTACACTACTTTTAAGATTACAAATATACATTATTATCATTATAGGTCGAGAATCATTGTTAAATTAGCAATAGAACTCTCTCACATACTATATTCATTTGGACTTTGCTACGGTGACATGCACTTTTCGGTCGACCTTATGTAGGATTAGGTCGACCTAATCTGTTGTTTCAGTGTAAAAACAGTTTCATGGTGTCTACTTTGGAGATTCATATCTTACAATTGGCTAGATGGAAATTGGAGATTAATGGCTTGTTTTGAAGCTGAAGTGTTCCTCTACACATTAAAGTACTTGGGAGCTCAATAGGAAGTCCAGAAGACCATTTTTGAACCTGATCAAAAGGCTTTGCCAAAACTGGGAAACTACCTGAAAATGGCTAAGTCTGGGGACGTGTTTGTGAAGCCTACTTTGGAGCTCAATTTGAGAAGCATGGATGCGAGTCAAGTCCAGGGGCCTCTACCACGTTAAATTACGTATATTTTTCTACAAAGGCAAGACATTGGATGAAAGATTGAATATCTTTAAGGCTTAAAAAAAAAGGCTGGAATTTGCTATGAAGGCTGTTTTTCTGGCAGCTTGCTTGTGCTCGAAGTCTGCCAGAAAAACAACCTTCGTAACAACTTCGACCCTTTTGTTTGAAGCCTTACAGATATCCAATCTTTCATCCAATGTCTTGAATTTGTATAAAAACATACCTAATTTAACGTGGTAGATGCTCCTGGACTCGACTCGCATTCATACTTCTCGAATTGAGCTCCAAAATAGGCTTCACAATCACGTTTCCATACTTATTTTCAGGCAATTTCTCAGTTTTGGCATAGCCTTTTGATGAGGTTCAAAAATGCTTCTGGACTTCCTATCGAGCTCTCAACCACTTCAATATGTAGAGGGACACTCCAGCTTCAAAACAAGCCATTAGTCTTTAATTTCCATCTAGCCAATTGTATGATATGAATCTCCAAAGTAGGCACCATGAACTATTTTTACACTGAAACAACAAATGAGGTTGACCTAATCCTAACTGAGGTCGACCGGAAAGTGCAAGTTAGGTCGACCTAATCCTATATGAGGTCGACCAGAAAGTGCAAGTTATTGGTATGTATTAGGCTGTTTTTTATATGCATTCATTAGTTTTTGATTTTGATTGTCATTGGTTATTGATGTCTTAATTTATCAAGTTTCTAGTATTCATTATGTTGTATTTGGTATGAATTGGACAATTTATGGAATTGGATTTTTCATAGTATGGATTCTCAAGTTTTTTGTGCAAATTAGGTTGTGTTTGGTATGCATACTTTAGTTTTTAGTATTTACTTTTCGTTGCTTATTTCAGGTTTGTGTTATCAAGTTTTTTTAATATATTCATTAGGTGATAATTGGTACTGATCAGTGATCAGACGATTATTTGTATTGCTTTTTGACTACCGTGGTCGTTGGGTGTACGATGGGTTTCAGCCTCAGACCAACCCATCCGCTTGTTAACCCGTTGTTGTAATTGTAACCCACCTCACGGGAGAACCACACACATTCTTTTTCGGGTTGGGTGAGATGGGTAATGTGTGGATAGTTGAACTGCGTGTTAATCTGCAAAAGAAATTCTCCAATAAGACATTAAACGGTTTGAGGAAAGATTTCAACAGTTTAGCCACCTCTCTCTTTATTTTTCATTTAAACAAAGTGTCAGATTCAAATAAGCACCTTCTCAATTTTCAATTTACTTTTCCGTCAATGCTTATCTGAAGGCATTCTTTCGCTCAGTTAAACCCGACTAAATGATACGTAGTTATTTGTTGAAATCCACTATTAGACACGACATTGAGAGTATGACTGTGAATGTTGTTCTTACACTACTTTTAAGATTACAAATATACATTATTATCATTATAGGTCGAGAATCATTGTTAAATTAGCAATAGAACTCTCTCACATACTATATTCATTTGGACTTTGCTACGGTGACATGCATGTCACGGTGACATGCACTTTTCGGTCGACCTTATATAGGATTAGGTCGACCTAATCTGTTGTTTCAGTGTAAAAACAGTTTCATGGTGTCTACTTTGGAGATTCATATCTTACAATTGGCTAGATGGAAATTGGAGATTAATGGCTTGTTTTGAAGCTGAAGTGTTCCTCTACACATTAAAGTACTTGGGAGCTCAATAGGAAGTCCAGAAGACCATTTTTGAACCTGATCAAAAGGCTTTGCCAAAACTGGGAAACTACCTGAAAATGGCTAAGTCTGGGGACGTGTTTGTGAAGCCTACTTTGGAGCTCAATTTGAGAAGCATGGATGCGAGTCAAGTCCAGGGGTCTCTACCACGTTAAATTACGTATATTTTTCTACAAAGGCAAGACATTGGATGAAAGATTGAATATCTTTAAGGCTTAAAAAAAAGGCTCGAATTTGCTATGAAGGCTGTTTTTCTGGCAGCTTGCTTGTGCTCGAAGTCTGCCAGAAAAACAGCCTTCGTAACAACTTCGACCCTTTTGTTTGAAGCCTTACAGATATCCAATCTTTTATCCAATGTCTTGAATTTGTATAAAAACATACCTAATTTAACGTGGTAGATGCTCCTGGACTCGACTCGCATTCATACTTCTCGAATTGAGCTCCAAAATAGGCTTCACAATCACGTTTCCATACTTATTTTCAGGCAATTTCTCAGTTTTGGCATAGCCTTTTGATGAGGTTCAAAAATGCTTCTGGACTTCCTATCGAGCTCTCAACCACTTCAATATGTAGAGGGACACTCCAGCTTCAAAACAAGCCATTAGTCTTTAATTTCCATCTAGCCAATTGTATGATATGAATCTCCAAAGTAGGCACCATGAACTATTTTTACACTGAAACAACAAATGAGGTCGACCGGAAAGTGCAAGTTAGGTCGACCTAATCCTATATGAGGTCGACCCAATCCAAAATAAGGTCGACTTAATTCTAACTGAGATCGACCTGAAAGTACAAGTCACCCTGACATGCATGTCACCGTAGGCGCACCCTATTCATTTTTGTGTCCAAAAATGAATATCTCAATTGAATCTTTCTTTTATTCGTGTGGTTATGCTGCGACCCTTTTCTTCTGCATTTGCTTTCACTGTAGTCAAATATGGATTTTACCTAGGACTCTGCTAATTCGGCCATTGGGATTCATCAGCACAAAATGTAAAGATTGGTCATCATGCTTGTCGTCTTATCTGTGTGGTTATGGCGGCCGCCTTTTTTTCTTCCCTTTCACTTTTAGTATCGTGTCACATATGAACAAAGAAACAAAAAACTCATCACTAGTTTATTTTCTTCTAACCATAGGGAAAAAAGCAACCAAGTGTCCATTAGGCACGAGAGCTGGTATAGGAGGAGGAAATCCTTTGAACCTCATTTCGCTGCTTAGTTGTTGATCCTAGTCATTTTCCAGATTACAAAATTGTATCATACGGATGGTTTGACCAAAAAAAAAAAAAAACAAAAAAACCTTACTATTGGAATCTGAACGGGTAAGTGATAATTAGCGGTATGAAGTTATCAAATCACAGTGAACTAAAATTTCAGCATAAAATACCATACTGCTGAATTTTATTGTGTAACATTTGTGGGTATGGTTTTACAAAATTACAATACTTGCTTCCTAGCACTCAGCTTATAGGGGGCGCGGCAGTATGTGGCAGGAAAGCGAAATGCAGACAACATCGAAATGAGAAAGTTGATACCCCAACACTAACCTTTCGTTTAGTGCTTTTTTGAACCTTGATTAGGATTATGTTGGGATGAAACCGAACTCGAACGCTAGGCTAATGAGTATCTAAGAACGAAGATTTAATTTAGCAATTTTATCTTTAGTTTTCAACCTGAAGATCAATTTTCGGATCATTTAGGTAATATATCTAATAACAAATATAAAATTAGGGTAATGAACATCCAAAACCAAAAGTTGGGGTTCTTTTCGTTTGAGTATGTGGCAGGAAAGCGACTGGCTATTTTGTCTTTTTTGATAAGCTGACTTCTCGTCCAACTTCTATTGCTAGTTTGGCTTTCCAGTTTCCACCGGTGGAGTAATTTGTCTGCTTCTGGACAGGGTTTTTCCCAACTTCCAAATTTCCTCGCTACCCAACAAATTCATCTTTTTTCCCCCTCACCTTTATGGTCCATTTTCTACTTTCTCAAGTGACCAATCTCTTGTCTTTTGCGGGTTTTTCTTTATTTTCCAATCAAACAGTTTGGGCTCCCGCTCTTATGCGCCAGTTTCACCAACAGTATGAGGAGTGGGTAGACCTACTCGTTGACCAGGCGCCGATGGTGTCTTGCCCGGTAGTTCAGCCAGGGTCTCAGGTGGGTGATCCTCGATTGGTTTGCATGTGGGATGGGGCCACTAGGAGGGGAGTCACACTCGGCTGGTGGAATGGTTCTTTTCGATCCGGTGTGGACACTCCTTTCGGCCAAAGGGGTGCAGATTCCTCAAGTGGATGAGCGAATGGTGGTAGAGCTGCTTGTGCTTCGGGAGGCTATTATTTGGTGTTTGGAGTTTGGCTTGTCAGAAGTTCGGTTTGAGGGCGATGCGAAAGTCATTATTGACAAAATTAATCAAGCAGACACAAGCGACAACAGGTTGGGGGCAGTCCTGGAAGAGATATGTCAGTATTTCTGTGCCCATCCTGGGTTTAGTGTGCGGTTTATAGTTCAGGAGAACAATAGGGTAGCTCACTCAGTAGCTAGAAAAGCCCTCTTTTTGTATCCGGATGAAAATCGCTTCTTTGATTTCTGTGCCTGGTTGATTTCCATGATGTAAATATCTATTTGTTTGGATTAATATATCTTATCTTTTGGAGAATTTTTTTTTTATTATAGGCATGAAATGAATCATGAGGTCTCACCGCCAGCCAGCCCCTCGGCATGAGTATCGTTGTACTTTTAGAACGATACCATATCAGGCTATCAGCGATTAGATAGAGAAAACTTTCTACGAAATCTAAACAGGTAAGTGATTTTTAATGATAAGAAACGATTGAACCGTATTTAATCACAATTTCAATATAAAATACCTTACGGTTAAAGTTTTTTTGTGCAACAAGTGGTATGGTTTTACAATCTTTGAAATATTGCTCCAAAATCCAGGTCACTCGTCTAGGAATGACAATTTCAACCTGAACCGTCCTACCCGATCAATTTGACATGTTTTGGAGCGGGTAATACCCACGGTAGGCGGGGCAGGGCGGGACGGTATGGGTATTGTCCTCAAACTTACTCGTCCTGACCTGCCCCATTCGCGCGCACTGTTATTGTGTTGTAATTTATATGTTAAGTTTACAAAAATTACTTAATATTTTACATTTGTTACATCATATTTTAGCAATAACAAAGTTCCTGAAAACGACCATTACTTGACTTCGAAAGACAGCTAGGAGTTCAGTACTCTATCGATCGAGTGGGCAAAAGCGAAAGGGCAGACGTACTTTATTCTAATGGCGAGAAGGGGCGACGGGTCTTTCGATAAGTGGGAACGTTAGTGCTATAATATAGAATGCCATGCAGAAGGCTACTATTTCTATTTTCTACACGTATATATATATATATATATATATATAAAAGTCGACCAACTTGCAATTTGCAAAGGAAAAGTGGGAAAGTGAAAGGGAAGAAGTCGGCCGGCCGGCCGGCCAAACAATAAAAGAGACGAACCAACCAGAGCAAAGCCGTACAGATAACTGAAGGAATTGCGTGATTATTGTATGGCCGATGGCGGTAGGTGTCCATTTCAAAAAGTGCAAAAAATAAGAGAGGAAATTATATTTAGACTAATGAGAGAACCTAATCAAGCAATTATGGGAAAGGAGTCACTGCTTTTTTTCATGGGTTTGTGCTCTACAGCTTCAAGCTTATGTAATTTTGTCGATTGAAAAAACAAGTGCACTAAAAGATGATGAGAATGAAGTGTGCCTCTTTGGATAAAGCTAACTGGAAAAAAAAAAACTACAAAGCTTTTGGTCAATGGAGTTTAATTATCGCGATGATGAGCAATCATGTTTCGATGGTAACATCGGCGAATGTAGGACATAGTTGAGCACTGTACCACCTTTGAATATAAAATAATAAAAAATAACACTAGGCGACACTTGAATAGCACTGGATCAAATACCTTAAATCGAAATTTTTTACAAGTGCTATACTAGTTTTGGACCCAGAGGAGGGCTAAGCATGTTAGATGTTTGTCAGTTGCAAACATCTATGGAAAATCCTCCTCCTTAATGTAATATCATCTCTCTAAATCCATCTTGTCTTTGTTGATGACCTCCTTATATCTCATTTGTGTGGCTTTGTGTCAAGTGTGATCCTTGAAATATGATGTACGAAATATAATCTGCATAGACTTGAAATAGATTTGAAGGGTTTGGCCCTTGAAATCTGTAGATCTTGAAGAGCAATGCTCGGTCCGACCGATTGAACCGGCCGAGATATGACCCGATTTTAAACAACTATGGACTGGACATTAACCCACCCATCCCTATACTATGTGCAACTAGCTTAATTACTTAATTGGAGAGGAATCATTCCGCAATCTTCCAAACCAGAAAAAAAGAACATCTACTTTACAGACTTCAATCTGCTTCTGTGACATCATCCAAGCAATTCAATGAGCTTAATGACATACATACAGCCACTAATTATGAGTTTCAGTGCTGCAGTCTGTTGCTTTCACTTAGATACTCATCAACGAGAAAGGACAAAGTAAAGCTTCCATATTTGTTTGTCAAGTATAAACCATAGGACCATACGTGAACGGTTAGCGTTGCATGCTCAATAACTTATTCAAATGAGTGCAAAAAGTGATCAGAAGATGATGGGTTTCACCATCAATCAATAAGTAGTGGTGTCGGTTCGGTTAACCGAAAATCGAACTAGGATGGTTCCCCGAAACGGAACTCCCTACACCCCCAATTGAAAACGAAACCCCTACACCTCTCACCTAGTGTTTTCAATTTCGGTTTCTTGACGGCTTTTCGGTTTAAACCAAAATCGATAAGATACAAATCGGTTTGGGACCAAAAACCGGAAACTGATATCCCAGCACTAAGTTTATAACTATCACTACCCAATAAAAATATATATCCAACCAACCACTTGAATAACATTAACAACACAACGTGAATCCAAAAGTAGTATTAGTATATATCTAATACACAATCCAACTTTAATCATCTGGGGAAAAAGAAGTCAACTTCTCTGTACTATGGAGGGTCTCTAAAGCAGGTTCAGTTTATTCTGTTGACAGGGGGAGACTTGTAAGCACCGGCAGAAACTATCAAATCGTCTCCACCACAACGCGATCTTGACGATGAACGACGTGGGGATTTGATTCGAAGATCGTCGACATACGCGCTTACAAGGGTTGTCAGCATAACAGACCAATTCCATTACAAAAGCTGGAGTTGCATCAATGATGATGCGGATCAGGGCCTCCGGGACTCAGTCTCTTGGAAGCATAATAAGCAGCTCTGCTCTTGCTCTCACTTCCTCCAGCTGCTTCGTCGTTGTGACCCTGGCTCTCGCCAAATGCTCGAATCGCTCTGATCAAATTCATTCTCGCCGTGGATGCATCCAGGGGATGATGAAGTGCCCGGGACTCCAACGACAATGGAACCAGCGAAAGCAACGACAGAATCGTTACTAGGCACACGAAATTCCTGAATCCGGCCATTGTTTTTGTTATTTTGGCTCACCACGAATCGAGTTGAGCTTCCCAGACTTGGGTCCTGAATGTAGCATTATATAGTAGAGATGGAAAGGGGTAGGCGTTTTGACGTTTTCCTTTTGCCCCCATAAACAATCCGAAGTGGATGGAAATGGGCTTGTAAGGTCAGAATGGTTTTGGATGGCTCTTTAAGCATTTTGTTAATGTAATGGAGCAAAGGTCACCCTAAGCAATGGTGGAAAACCAATATGAGGTTAGATTAGTGAGAAGGATGATTAAGAAAGCAGCAAAGTGAGACTGTACGCTTCAAAAAGTAATTCCAGTGGCGGCCATCTGCCCTTGATCTTGAACACTGCCTAGGAGGTAGGAAATGAAGCTAATTCCTTATTCCTTTCACATTCTAATTGTAAGAACTAAACTCAAATTGTGGTTCTTGATGACCACCGGCAGAGCTGTATGCGTACTTGGAAGTCGAATCACCGACTCACATAGGTAACCTCGGTCGGGCATACATGTCAGTCTCTATCACAAAACAGACACTGTTTTTTCGATGAGAAAGGGAGGCAGCTCAGCCACAAAAAGGAAGAGAGAAAGGTAAGGCTATTTGACATTATCTTTGAGGAGGGTACTTCAATTGGTTGTTAAATGTAGGTGTTCTCTAGTGCTACTAAACTTTAGAGAGAAAAAAGATCCACTTTGCTAGTCGTTAGCATAATCCATGCTGTTGTTCGTCACCACTCACTACAATTTCAGGCCAAGAGAGAAATGGGAACTGGGGCTGGCAAATTTTGCTTCTCCCTCCATTGCTTTCTTTCTGCCAAAGGGATACTGTAATATAATCGAAACGATTTCCGGGACCTACCCAATCTCAATATTTAGACAACAGAAAGAGGGGGGAGAAAGCAAAACCCAATAGGCTAAAGAATTGAGACAGTAAGAGAGAGAGAGATTAGAACCCTGTTTGTTACTGCTAATTGTTTATACAATCTATCTGAAAACTATGCTCTTATACTTGACAGTAGTCTTCTTCGAAACTGAATTGACACAGCTACCGGCTTTCCTCTTCATGCATTTCAGCTTGCCCGCAGCGGAGGGAGCTAAAGGCGAAGGTGAAGGGATCCTCCTGGGACGGTCTAGGCCGAGTTGAGTAGACAGAGAGAAGAGATGAGAGATGTCTTCAAGCGGCCTTCTGACCGGGCGTTGCTGCTTGGCTTTACACAGTGGGGATCTGGAGAGCTGTGGGTTTGGTGGGAGGTTCTCCTTGTTGCTATCGCTCTCGCCCAGATAGCAAATCGCCATTGCAGCAGCTAGGAGAAATGAGGGTCGAATCGGGGAAAGGGGATCGAAGAGAGGGATCTGTAGCTGAAGGTGAGAATGGAGAGAAGGCAGCATTTCGTATATGTATAAGGGAGGGGGTGGCAGATTTGGAGGGGAGATTTTCAAGTTTTGAAGGTTCTTCGAATTTTGGGTAAGAGATTTGAGTTTCGTTCTTTCTTGGAGGGAAGAGGAATTTGTGTGTTTCGCTCATTTCATTCGAAGGTTTCTCTATTTTTTGGATTTGGGGTTTTAAGTTTCAATTGAGAGCGGAAAACCAGCGCGCCTAGCAGTTTCAGCTTGTTTGGTGGGGGCGGTAAGGAGGGAAAAGAAAGAGGATTCAAACAAAATTTAAGATGGCAAATGCCCGCACTTGATTTTGCGCTACTAACTTGGCTTCCCTCGTTTCAATTATTCAATTCGGTGGTCAGACCGTCGATCGCGGGTTGGGCTTTTTTCAACTTGGAGATGGCGTTATTGGGCTTTGACATCACCTTGATCTGTAGCCCACTGGATGAAAAAGCTTATTCCGTCCTGGTGGCAGATCAAGGTTGGAACAACAACCTAAAGCGGTTTGGTTAACCGAACCAAAATCAAGGAAACAAAAAAGACTATCTAGATGGTTTCCCCAACACCGAACCGAACTCATTAGGGACTTATCGGTTTTAAGCTATTAACAGGGTTGGTTTCGGTTAGAACATACCAAAACCCATGCACAATTTGTAGTAATTTCGATTAGAGCAAGGTTTGGGTTCGGTTTCTTATCAGCTTTCAATTTAAACTGAAACCGTTAAAATACAAACCGATGCGGGAACCAAAAGCACAAAAAGGATAAGATTCTTATAGGTTTGATTTCAATTTAGACCGAAACCAAAACCTGTTCAAAATCAAACTCATTGGCCATTAGGGGCCAAAAAATCCGCAACCGATAAGATTCTTATAGGTTCGGTTTCGGTTTAATCCAATAAAAGGAGCCCGATTTCCCAGCCCTAACGTAAACTCACCATGATACCAAACATAGGTATTCAAAAATACCTTCTTTTTGGCCTAAGGGGACAACATTATGATGATTTAGTCCTGTGGTTAATGATTCATGTCCAAATTCGGAAGTACTACAAGCAGTTCACTTTAGAGTGCGTTACTACGACTGCTCGGCCCTCGGTTAACGGCATTACTGGCTAATTGCAAGGCACAGTTGCGCAGGAAAAAGTGAAACACTTCAGGTTACTGTTGTACTTACCTCGAGGCCTTCAAGATCAGGTGTGAAGCTTTCAGATCACAAAAGAGAGGACTTCCATTAGCGTACCTGGAATTATTAGCAGCAGATGAAGGTGGTAAGCCTACTTAAAACTACAATGTCGCTCAAAGTATTGAGCACGATAAATGGAGAGATGGAGGTACCAGCTGTTGATTCTTAATGCTTGCCTCTAAAATTATTCTCCACCGGACTTCCCAGCATATCTCATAGCAATGCGAATGTTTTGAATCGTCAAGGAAATCAATTTGCGTTATCATGAGAAGAACATCATCGCAAATTAAATGGATGAAAAAGATTAGAAACTAAAGGATATCTTCTCGTCTACCTCTCGATGATTCAGTAGTAGTAGCTTATTGTTGTTCACAACTGATCGAACCATTAGCTCCTTTGCTTGCTCGTTCATTTTCTTCATCATGTTGCAAAGCTGCAGGGGGGGAACAACATATATTAAGATCGCGTTTGAGGAACTGAAAATATGTACAGTAGAGATTCCACAGTTTAGGACAATAATCTACTGCATCCTTATTAACTTACTTCATCAATCTTTCTGCCATATTCCGAAGCCATCCGAATTCGATCAATTTTAGGTTCTTCCAAGTTCACTTCCTGGGGAACTGGGAAAGCGTAGATAGGCTGATCGAGAGGCATGCTTCCGGCTTCCTTCCCTACTTCACTATCCGTATTGTAGACCTACCAGAAATATCAATTCTCTTGTAGGTTTAGATATCACGCAATCAAGCTTAAAGCAGTACATATTTCTGAGCATACACATCTTTGTTAGGGCATTATTCTACTGCATCCTTACTAACATACTTCATCAATCTTTCTGCCATATTCTGAAGCCATCTGAATTCGGTCAATTTTAGGTTCTTCCAAGTTCACTTCCTGAGGACCTGGGAATCCGGAGATAGGCTGACCGTGAGGCATGCTTCCGGATTCCTTCCCTACTTCACTATCCGTACTGTATACCTACCAGAAATATCAACTCTCTTGTAGGTTTAGATATCACGCAATCAAAGCTTAAAGCAGAACATATTTCTGAGCATACAGATATATGTTAGGGCATAAATATACCTGATCTCCAGCAATGCCTTCTGTCTGTTCATCTGACATTCTGCAGGGATGAGGAGGTTAAGTCAAGTTAGTACACCACCATCGCAGGAATCTCTAACCAACAACAGTAGAGGTACCTCATTTTATCCCATGATGGAGAGAGGCGTTTACGGGGGTTCAATGGCGCTAAATCTGAATTAAATGCCTGCACATGGAAGTTTGATTATCTTAACGAGATACTGTTGGAGCAGCAAGAAAATAAAGAGTAACTGGAAGACCAAAGAAAGAAGGGAACCTCTGTGTCTCTCTTCAATGATTTCTTCCTCTGCTCGTGGGTGACAGGATGAGTAATTTTCAATGATGCAGCATTTTGTTGTGCTTCTGTGATTTTGGACAAGCCTTTCAAGGTTTTGTTAGGCACATTTTGTTGATCTCTGTTTACTTCCATATTCCTGGATAGAATGATGAGCACCCATAAAATATACGCAGCAACCAAGATGTGCACAACAGAAATCTGTCTAGAGTATCATGCCTTGGAACTTTGAAGCTTGACAGATTAGGCAGCATCTGATTCTCAGATTTAAGTGCCTTAAGAGGTACGACCCTTGAACTCGGAACTGATCTCATAGCCGGTAAGGAGGACTTCATACTTTTCGGAATGTTGAACTTGGGCATCTTATCAACAGAGCTGGAAGCATTTCCCTCACCACTGCAAAGCAGAAAATCATCTGAGTTTCAAAGAAGCAAATTCCAAATCACAGCAGGTTTTAGTTCTAGAGTAAACAAGTCAAAAGTCTCACCTCGTATTATCGGGATCCTTTGAGTTGCTTACACTTCTGAGAATGACTGGTGCCCCTTTAGCTACCACTTTATCAGGAGGTATTGGAGTATCAGTTGGCACGTTAGCATCATGTATTGCATCATCCTTGCATGAACTGTTTCATTCATAAAAAACAAAATTACAGGAAGAAAAGGCTTGAACAGAGATACATCACTGCTTCAATTAATTTTTGAATTACTAACCTGCTGGTAGCTGTATTTTTAACATTCTTTCTGCCAAATAGTAAAGCAGGCGTTGCACTTTTTCTCAGCTCGGTAGGAAGTGGCTTCAGATAACCACCCGAGTTTCGTCCAGTTTGAACATCGCTGAATAGAATGTCTCTCTATGAGAAAAACAAGAACAACAAACCGAAAGGAAGCTGGAAAAAGCAGTAACAGTAAAAGCACCACTTACGGTTTCAGTAAAGCAGGTGGTGGTGCACTTTTTCTCAAATCAGAAGAAAGTAACCTCAGCTGACCACCCAAGTTTTTTCCAGTTTGAACATCACTAGAATTGAAGTTCTCTATGAGAAAACAAAACAACAACAAAAAAGAATCTGGGAAAAAGCAACAAACAGTAAAACAATACTTACAGTTTCCCGCTTCCGAGATGATTCAACTGTTTGCTAGCCAGTTCCGAACTCCCAAACGAGGAGATACGCAGACTAGATGAAGCAAGAGGAGGTCTAACATCACCAGATTTTCTAAAGAATTTGGATTGGACAAGTCTCGTGCCTTCTGCCTTTGTAATTGCATCATTATCAGTTACTGGTTCGCTGCATTAAGCACACGAAAAAGAATCAGTAAAGATTTAGGAAAAGGTTCAACAATCAGTTGAGAGTACCATCCACATCTCACACATTCAGTGTCCTCGCTGATGCTTCATAGGAGTTGATTTTGGAAATTTATGACCGATCAGACAATGAAGCGAAAAATATTAAAATTTGTTAGAATTCGTACTCTTCAGTAGGCAAATCTGTAGAGCTTGACTTCTGGTTGTCCTCGGAATCTGTACCAGTAGCCACTGGCTCAGTCTCTTTTGTACCCTCTGCAGTGCTCTCAGGAAAAATCTCTCTGTTCACACCTTTCTTGCCCTCCTGGCCATTAGTATTCAGATGATTTGATTTGCTAAGTTGTTTTTGGTTCTCGTCCATTGATCTTAAACCAATAAGAGGGTGCTCTGCATCTGACTTCACAGTCACTCTCGAATCCAAGCAATCAGCCTCCGGCGCTACATCTGATTGGGCATCCTGGATAGAATCGCTCCCACCAAGGGATTGTGATGCCGTGGACTGCAAAGCATGTTCAGCACATTGGTTTTTGTTTATGCCTTCATCTGGGGATGGGATACATTGATCCCTGGGAGTATATATATCTGAGGATGAGCCCTGCTCATTTGTTCCTTCAGTTCTAACACCAACTATTTCTTCTGATGAGCTTTCTGCTGCATGCTCAACGTAAGTTTCTACTTTACTATCATCTCCTCTGAGAGCGTTGTCAGTTCCTTTAGGGGCTACAGCAGTCTTGTCTGCCTGATTGATTATTTTCTCTGATGCTGTCGAGTCCTCTGTGTGGCTGCTTTCAGATCCATCAGCTACTCCAGCAATCAGGATTTTAGGGTCATGACGTTCACAGCCAGTCATACCAGCCCCGTGTTTGTCAGTGTCCTTTGTTGCGGGAGCTTTATCATCTCCTTTGAGTATGTCTCCATCAAGGTTGAATCTGTCGAACCTGAATTGTAATAAAGAAATGACAGGCGGATAAGAAATTGAAGGATAATTTATATCCTCCATCAACACATTCCTAGAGAATACGGTATCCATAAAAATCTAACAGAGATACTGTAAACATACCCGTCAAAATCAAAAGACATGTCAAATGCATCTAATTTTCCTTTCTTAGGTGCACTGGAGGATCCTCTATCCCCTTTGTCCTTCGGTTTTGAAGCATTATCGGGGCTTGAGAAATCAAGGTCTGGCATGTCCATCTTGAAGGATGGTAACTTGCCGAAATCTCCATCCAGATTAAAATCCATGTCCCTGGATAAACAACAATTGTATTTATACACACCCATGGCAAAAATGTGCTGTACCATTCACCAGTCTTAAGTGAAAGACAAGGTAACGGGCATATTTACTCTCAACTGACTTACTTTTGAGCAAGTGGCATAAATAATGGCCAAAATTCAGGTGGAATCAAGAAAGAGAGTGACATTCTAAGAAACGTATACCTACAATCAAGATTTGATCCCTAGCTAATCTTATATAGAAGGTTCCATTAATCATAAAACAACTTGAAGTGAAACCCTGAAACTGCATCAGAAAGGGAATGTACATAATAGGTTTTAAATCGATCTCCAGGCTTCAATTAGAAAGACATTAATAATATCTCATACTTGCCCTGAACTTACAAGTTCCCAAAGTTGAATTTCTTCTTTTTACCCCCCTTCGGAACCGTTTCAATGTTGAAATCCATACTGTCATCCACTGACATTGTCTTCCATGAGCCAAGGAAATCATCTCCAATTCCATCATCTGTTCAGCACATAGTTGAACATTAGAAGATGAACTTCCCAGTGTGTAAAATAAAAGCATAATCATCCATATAGACACTGCAGTAAGCTTTCGCGTCCAAATAACGAGAAAATTGAAATCTGCAGATTTCAATAATGAGAAAATATATCACAGAGCAGATTGCAGAAGTTTGCTATTCATATATGTTGCTATCTTAATCACTAGGACACAAATATGAAGATTCAATTAGTTTCTTCAACATAACTTCATGTGTGGTATCTTCCATGACCATCTCTTGATAATTCACAGAAAAAGACACCTTCAAGGGACTCCAGTAGCATGCAACCAAAATCAAAGCGCCAGTAAAACCTATTTCCTCCAGATAAGCAGCATATCGTCACAAACTTACCGAGAAAGGACTTTTTCTCTTTGCCGCCAGCTTCCTTCTTCTGTTCCGCCATCTGAAAAGAGAGATAACAGATTAGACGACTCTAGTCGGTGAATGCACGAGAAAGGGAGATCGAATCTACGAGTTTCGCATAGATCCAGAGGACGAACGACGCGGACTCGACGTCGAGATTAGAGAAATGTAAACAAGGAAATCGCACAGTTCGACGAAGAAACCTAAGTTGAACAGTCTACCGGAAGAAAATACGACAGAGAGAACGGAGCGACGAGATTCAGATAGATCCGACGAACGACAGAGACGGCGTCGAGATCAGAGAAAGGCAACGAAGGAAATCGCACTATTCGTCTTAGAAACCTAACCAGAACGGCGGCAAACTCAATTTCAGAGTTCTCAAGAGAGAAAGAGAAATCAACCTACCTTCGATTTACCAGCGCGATGCCTGATTCCTGAATCTACCACTAGCTCGACTGTGTTTGGTTTCAGAGAAAATGTCGCGTGAGTAGCGAGCAGAGGATTTTACTTGAACGGAAAATTTGGTGTCCGGCGCAATTCGAATCTGCCTCAAATATATAGCAGACGCATGCTCCGTTTTCAAGGGGTCTTCGAGAACTAAATTGTTCAAATTTTCAGAAAGAAGGACTCGTTTGTTAATTTTTGCATCATACAGGGTCTTAAAAGTAATTAACCATTTATTTTAGTTCTGCTTTCTCATTTTGGCAACAAGTAACAGAAAACGAGCCGCACAAGTAGCTCATGGTTCTTCTTTCTGCTATCCATCCACTTATCCTCTCAAAACCCAAGAAAAGCTGCAAACCTCCAAGAAATCCAAACCATCGCCCGCGAAATTGACAGAAGAAAGCAATCCCGTCTCGTCTACCCCAGTTGCCCATGGCGTCGGTTCTGGGGATTCCCTCCGCGGCAGTTTTGGCGTCGAGACCCTTCTGTTCTTCCACTTCCAAGCCTTCCTTTCCTTCGCTTTCCCTAATCACAGGTAAAGATTTCCCCATTCCAATGGAGCTCGAAACTTCGGACAATCGTCATTCCGTTCACTCGCTGTGAACTGAAATGGAATTGGGTTTTCAAGATCTTCAAAGGGAAGTGTGTTTACGTTGTTATGTTATGTGCAGGGCAAAGCTATTGGAGGAAGTACAATGGCGGGGTGGGAATCCGGGGAAAGAAAGGAAGGGCGCAGCTGCAGGTTGTCAATGTCGCCACTGATATCAATGCCGTGGATCAGGTATCTTGTTTATATTTCTCTCTGATGATTTTCTGTCAGTACGCATAGTTAGTGGTTCTAGTTGATCGAGTTGTGTATATTTTGAGTGTGATTGGAGATTTGGAGGTGCCCTTCGATTAGGGTTTCAGCAATTTAGTCTTGGAAGAGCAGAATGTACTACTAGTTGAAGCATTATGAGAAAGGGGAATCTACATAGGTGGATAGATTATCAATTGCTGGTCTTTCATTGAAACAAAATTTGTGAGTGTGAATAGGAAGGTCATCGTATTTTTCACCGATATTAGCACCTTTGATCAGTATGGCAATATTTTGTAATATGTTAATTGGAGATTTGGAGGTGCCCTTAAGTCAGATTTTCAGTAATTTAGAGTTGCAGGAAGCAGAATGTACTGATGAATACTGTGTTTTGAGGAAAGAAAATGTTCTTAGGAAGATACCAAGTTCTAGGAGTGCCATTTGCATGAATAATAAAAGCTGTGAATTATGATCTGCAGGCAAAGAGAGTTGTTGATAAGGACAGTCAGAGGCCAGTTTATCCATTTGCAGCCATAGTTGGACAGGACGAAATGAAGCTCTGCCTTCTCCTGAATGTGATTGATCCCAAGATTGGAGGTGTCATGATAATGGGAGATCGTGGAACTGGGAAGTCTACCACAGTTCGTTCGCTGGTTGATCTTCTACCCGAAATCCAGGTAGTCTCTGGCGATCCTTATAACTCCGACCCCCAAGATCCAGAGGCCATGGGTATGGAAGTCAGAGAAAGCATCAGTAAAGGAAAAGAACTGACCGTCGTCCTCACCAAAATCAACATGGTCGACTTGCCCTTGGGAGCTACAGAGGATAGGGTCTGTGGAACCATCGACATCGAGAAGGCTTTGACAGAGGGTGTCAAGGCATTTGAGCCAGGCCTTCTTGCCAAAGCCAACAGAGGGATTCTGTATGTGGATGAAGTGAATCTTCTGGACGATCATTTGGTCGATGTTCTTCTTGATTCAGCTGCCTCGGGATGGAATACAGTGGAGCGAGAGGGTATCTCGATCTCGCACCCTGCTCGGTTCATTTTGATCGGCTCTGGTAACCCTGAAGAAGGAGAACTGAGGCCGCAGCTGCTAGACCGATTTGGGATGCATGCCCAGGTTGGCACTGTGAGGGACGCGGAGCTGAGGGTTAAGATTGTGGAGGAGAGAGCACGGTTCGACAGAAACCCCAAGGAGTTTCGAGGTTCTTATTTGGCCGAGCAAGAGAAGCTTCAGCAGCAAATCGGGTCTGCTAGGGCGGGTCTTGGTGCTGTGCAGATAGATCACGACCTGAAAGTTAAGATCTCGAAGGTGTGTGCAGAGCTCAATGTGGATGGGTTGAGAGGAGATATCGTGACTAATAGAGCTGCTAAAGCTCTTGCTTCTCTGAAGGGCAAGGACAAGGTGTCTGCTGAAGATATTGCAACCGTGATTCCCAACTGCTTGAGACACCGTCTGAGAAAGGATCCATTGGAGTCGATCGACTCGGGCTTACTTGTGATTGAGAAGTTTTACGAGGTTTTTAGCTGAGGCTCTAGTACTTTGTCGGGACTTTTCAGATTGATTTGGAAGTTTTTTAGTTCTCATTTTGCTATTTCGATGGTGGGTTCTAATTGACTAGTTACTGAGATAAGGGACAATCGTATTCGTATTGAGTATTGACGTATTGTATGATAATATAGTGGCAACTTTAATATACAGTATAATTTGAATTATTTTATTGCTGTAGATTAAGAAACAAGTTGGTGGATTGAATTAGGGATTTGGTTCCGAATCATTTGAGTCTAAATCTCACATTTAAAAATTCAAGCAATTTACCAGGGTAAACTAATGCAGGCCATAGAGATAGGTGAGCAAGTTGAGAGAAGGGAGAGTAGGGTTTTGAGAGATTCTTTTCATAATATTTCCTTGATTAATTCTAATTTAAAACACAAAATACATATAAATAGAAAATAATTAATAATAAACTAATAATATTCGATTACGGCCTGGCCGCCCAACCCTAATAATAAAATCACTAATACGAAATAACAATATTTCTAACCCTTGGAGTGGAGCAACCGCTTGACATTTGTAGTGGACTAATACTTATCTCAAGGGAGTTTCAATCCAACCACTCAAACAAACTTCCGAAGAAGATTGGAAGTCATCCATGGCATGATTTTCAGAGTCAAACGTTTGATATTCACGAGTATCCAACGAATAAAATATCACGCTCTGCTGCTTCGTGGACACTCTAGGAAAGTAGATCTTGTTCCCCATTCCGGCAACTTCTTCCACGCGGGAGAAACACGATGTCCTGCTGACAAACAACATGTGCGATCCCAAACCCTCCTCTTCCAACCAACCTTTACGTTCTTGATCGAATTTGTAAACTCAAACAAACTCGCCAAAGTCCCCCACCAATACCGCTAGGATTTCGCCTCCACACTCCACTAGATACTCCAATTCACAGTCATCACAAGTATCTTCAATCTGCTCACCAGCTATGTTCAGTAGCTTCCAATCGTACACATCCCACGTCCACGCAAACTCGCCCCCATCGCCCCGACCGTAGCTGAAAACACCCAGCCTCCTCGCCTTATCCAAGAAGTAGAACTTATCGTCGAGAGAAACCGGAGTGTTGTGGTAGCTCGGTTGGAACTCGTGCTCTTCGGGCGGTCGAAGAAAGAAATGCCAGCGCTCGTCTTCCAATCTCATGAAACTGAAGACTACCTCCTTTAGTAAATCTTCCCACATTGCAATTACACAACAGTCCGGAGAAGTAGGCGGAGCTGAGATCCCGAAGCTCGAAGGGGAACAAGGATAGGGTACCATCTCAGGAACAGTGCGAGCTTCCTTCGTAAAAGGGTTGTAGAACGTAACGTGAAGCCTCACTGGTACATGCGGATCCAATTCCGGGTTCGGTATCCGCTTCAACATCGTCATGACCAACCAGCACTTCGTTGAGAACGCAACATCTGCGCCTGAAAGAGATTCGTCGACCTGCTTCTCGTGTGTGTGGCCTTACACCAAGTCCTGGAAATTGAGGTCCCCCTTGTACTGCTTGAAGTAGAAGAACCACGGATACAGTGGTGGCGGGAGAGGTATGGCTGATTTAAGCTTCCTGCAACAAGTTCGGAAGCTTCTACAGTCGATCAATTTCTTTGCTATGTTGGTGAAAATCTCCCGAGGAAGCTTCCATATCAATGCCTCCTCCTCCTCCTCCACTTCCTCATTCTCCTTCTCCTTCTTCTTCTCCTTCTCCACCCTCTTTGTTTCATTATGTACTTCAACTTGTACTCTCTCTGGGTCTATTTCACTAGTCTCAACACCAGCCAAGCTGCAGTTCAGTAAAAAAAAAAGGCAATAACAAATCGTTGCTATCCGAAATTAAACTGATATTGTACGAGCGATTTGGATACACGATTTTGTCAAACGATTAGAAGCATATTTACCTGAATCGAGGAGTAGTTCGGTGACCTGCTGGATAATTGATGAAAGCAACATCGAGTAGTGGTTCGTCGTCGTCGTGGTCATCGTCGCTTGATGAAGCATATTTCCACTGTAACGCCTGCCCTCTCTCGACGTCGAAAGCGAATAATTTCTGGTAATCATCACTCAGGAAGAAGTAGATGCAATTGGGTTTGATCCCGTTGTTGTTGTTGCAGGAGCAGGAGAATGAATAGCCGTCGGGGAATGAATAGCCGTTGGGACTAATGAAGACTGCTCGTCCATCCAATGTGTTAACTCGTACCCAACTCATGGACGACCGGTCCAATTTATGAACCAGCACCCAATCCAGCTCGCAATTGCTGTGTTTGCGATGGCAGAGGATGATCCAGAGCAGCTCCCCACCCGATTCGACCAGGTTCCAGTATCCCATTCTCTCGGTGTACCGCGGAATCAAATCCCGCGGATAGCTCTCGACTAGCAAGCTAGCTACGAGACTGTTGTTGTTGTTGTCGTCGTCGTCGTCGTCGGTGTTGTTCATTGTTATCTCGAGCAACTGGCTGTTCGCTGTGAGGGCGTACAAGCTCTGGTTGCAGATCACGAGACGGTACAACGCAGCGAACTCTTCGGAGAAAGTTTGCACGGACCATGTCTCGTCGCCCGGTTTGCAGTGCGCGAGTTGCGGGGTTTTGTTATTGGCGATGACGACTCTGCAGTTGGGGTTGCTTGGTGGACAAGTAAGCTCGCATCTCGTGAACGTGCCACCGGTCAAGTTGTTCAGTGCGGGGAGCTCGATTGTTTCGAGAGTGACGGGGTTCAGCAGGGAGAAGGATGTAGCCGTGTCGTCGATTTCCCTTCGGAGGATTAACCAGCCGTATTGTGAGTGGCCGATAATGTGACTGTCGACGAACTGCGGAATCCGACAACGGTGGATTTGCTTGGGATTCGAGGTCGAGTAGAAGACTTGGCTCTGGCCATGGAAAAGAACGAGCCAAGGTTCATCATCTCCGGTGGATGAGCGGCCTTCTTCTCCGATCATGATTCAATTTCTCTGTAAAAACTCAAAATGCTATGAAAGAAAGCTACGGTATAGAGGTGTGTATTTATAAGAAGTTAAACCATCCGTCCCTCAGGCGAAAAAGGGAAAAAACAAGAATCCTTGTTTTGTTCTTCTTTCCTTTTTCCTTGCGGAAACTGGATTGCAGCGGGCCGGTAATGAGCCATGGAGAAGAAATTTAATATTGGGCTCGGCGAAGCAGTAATTTGCTATACACGGGAGCCCAATAACATTATAGGAAGTTGGGCCCCGAACTGCCCACATCTCTACAACAAAGCCCGTCCACTCTCTTTCAAAAATAACCCTCCACAAAAACAAAACAAAAAAATGTAAAAAAATTCAAGACACGTGTACGGTGCAATCTCTCCTCCGCTCCCCATGTCTCCTCCCTCTCTTGACTCCAACCGAACCCATCTTCTCCATCGCCACCGCGAACCACTCAAAGAACCTCTCCTTATCCTTCCCCAGCAACCGAACCACCGGTCCGGTCCGCGGGTCCAGAGCCAAACCCTGGTCCGAAGCCAGCAACCCCAATTTCCCTTCCAGGTTTCCGTAATAAGCATGGTCGAACAAAAACGGCGTCGTAACGTCGAACGGCGCCACCACGCCGGCTCCGCCGCCGAATTGCGGGCACGACATCCGCAGCGCCTTCAGCAGCCTCGGGTCCATTTCCGGGTCGGGTCTCTTCGTCCCCTTGTAGTTGTACAGCCGGCCGACGAATTGCTTGCAGTGGGCGAACCCAATTGTGTGGGCACCTGAGAGGACCACCATGTCTTGCAGCGACAGCCCTTTGGAGGCGAAGAGGTTGAGAAGCTCGTCGACGGTGGAATTCGCGCGTGGGATGTTGTTTGTCACCGTTGTTGATTTCGAAAATTTTCCGTCCCATCTTCCCTTCCTCACTTGGTAGTACGGCCCACCTGCCTGAAAACCCAATTACAATCAGTCGCCGGAATTGAAAGATGAAATTGTTCGGGAAAAGTTGGGGGAGCAGAGGATTATACTAAATGGACGAAGTCTCTGGCGGCAATGGCAAGAATGTCGGAGCAAGAGACGGCGCCGGGGCATTTGCTTTCGACGAGGGCCTTGGCCTTGTGAACGGTGTCGAATCCCTCTGCCCTCAAGTCCTTGTTATCCTCTGCTTCCTTCTCTGTCAATTCTCTGCTTCCGGGCTTTGTGGATATCAGTATCGAAGCATCGCAACCCTGGATTACAATGCCCCAGGTTGTTTTTTCGTTGAAAGCAAATAAGTTTCACAAAATTGGGAGAAATGGAAAAGAACCCATTTTGCGGGAGGTTGTTTTTTTTATGATTTTACCTCGACGAAGCAGTCATGGAAGAAGAGGCGGATGGTGGCGGGGCCGGAGACAGGGGACTCCTTGAACTGCTGTGAAGTGACGGAGGCGACGAGCTGGTCAAGGTTTGGACACGACTTGGCGTAGTAATTGACGGAGAGCTGGCGCGGCGGCCGGCGAGCGGGGGTGGGATTATTGGCCGACGAGGGAATGATGAGAAGGGAAATGCAGAGGAGCGAAATGGAGACGGAATGGAGACGAGAATGTGCAAGGATTTGCATTGTGTCTTTGTTTTGGATATGGGTAATGTACATTGATTGATTGGTCTTTGGCAGCAGAGGACAAAGGAAAGATTGGGGAATGTATAATGAGACCCAAGAAGAAGAAGAAAATGAACACTCTGGCTATCTACTCTGAGTGGAGGATTATGTCGACCATAGAGAACAGAGAGATAGCCTTTTCTAGTCTTCTAGCATATCATGCAGCTATGTTGGTTGGTGGAAAAGAAAGCTGATGGGTTGTATGAGAAGAGGAGAATCAAAATCAAGCTCCCGTGAAAAGCCCAAATCTTTGAGGATAAAACCCCCCTTCTGTCTCTTCTTATTCTCGCGACTAGAGGAGGGGAATATGTTTGCCGTGGTGGGGGATCATACTGAATTAGCGTAAGATTCGATTGAGAGTGACGATTTGAGTAATCTGATTTGATCTAACATCAATTGTTCTTTTCCTTGGGGTCCATAGAAGGTTTGATGGTGAGCTGATACCAAAATGAAGCGAGCAAAAACAGAGGCAGACAAAAACAGGGGAAACGACTAATTAGAAATGTAGATGATGATGATGATGATGATGGGCTAAAATGCCTAATAACGAGATAATGATCATTTTATGGTTGTTCCACTTGAAGGAATGGGAACAAGAAAGACTAGGCAATTATGGAGTCAATCATGTTCACGGGCGGATTGGGAAATGGAATCCAGTTTAATCATTCATCGTTAACTACCAAATTTTGTCGTTAATCCATATGACAAACCCTAAACAACTTATGTTGACAGCCAATCCACTTTTAATTGAAAGAAAAAAATGGGGGAATTACAACGTTTTAGAGTAAGTTACATATTAGATCTAAAATATTAATTCAGTTGTCTCGAAGAAAAGTATATATTTTAGATCAAACGATCTAATCCGTTTAAGTATTGAGCATTCTAGATATTTGAAAGATCGTGAGAAAGAGTTTTGACTAAAACTTGATAGTCTTATTGAATTATAATTTTGACTTTATATTCTAGTGCTAATTTGAGATATTTCAAAAGAGCTTTCGCTACCGCTTTAAGTGGATAGAAGTAATGAAAGCATGAGAGACACTAGCAGAAGCATGGTGGGTGAGGATGATTTGTCATTTGGGAATTGGTTCAAAACTCTCCTTCTGCCATTGCCAAACCAGAGACAGACAAAGCCACAAAGGTCCTTTTAATGGACACCACGTGCATTCCCTTCTTCCTTCTCCTCCAAATGACCTAAACCGCAAAAAGAAATGGGGGGAATATGGAAGAGATTCTGAACCTTTTGTTGGTTTGCCTAATGTACAGAAAACCTCAGCATCAGAAACTTGTTTGTTTCTGGTTATCAGATATACGCTGCAATAATATAGTGAAATGTGTGGTCTTATCACCATTTCTTTTACTATTAAAGGGTCTTGTTGGTTAGTAGAGTTCAAAATGTTGGTGTTAGTGAATGGTTATTGATATGATATTATAGTCTTTCTGTCATTGAGAGATCCTCTGTTTGAATTCTGATGATCTTATTTGTTGTGTTAATCACATAATATTTCAGATCTGTGCATTATTCAAATTCATATATAAGTCGGCTTTTCGTTTGTAGGATCAACCTGGTTCTTAACAATTGGGACTTGGCTGGAAAACTTAGAACTAGTTCATCAATTGGTTTGCAGCAAAACACACCAGCAAAGAGGAACATGGAGCTAGTATAAGGTCACATATGCCTAATGGTAAGCCTAACCTAATGAATAAATTAGTGGTGAACTTCACAGTTAGGTAGCTAAACCTTTACCAGTTACCATAGAATCAGCCCACAGAAATCTTCAACGACAAAAGGTTCCAGTTTTTCAGTTGGTGCAAGAAAAGAGTGGAGAAAGGTTTGCCATTTATGTGAGTGGAGTAAAAGCTGCATTGGGACCATCCTTTTTAGTTATTGCTCTTCACTTGTTCTGGTCTGCAAGCTTTTAATGTTCACAGCATTTGATAGATTGGGTGCCACTGCCACCACATAATTTATGAAACGAAAATTGCTGTTGTTTTCTCAGTTTTAGAGACCACTGGGAGAGTGATGGATGGTGGCTGGGTTCTGGAAACGATTAGTTTTTAAGTCAACCTTGGACTCTGCAATCCAATATGGGAGACTGCAGAATTTCGTTTGTTTTTGGTTGCTACAATTTGATGGAATGGTCTCTTCTCTATAATCGTCAACTAGATTAAAACCCGGCTTGTTGGCCGGATAAATTTATCAATGATATAAAAAATTATAGAAATTATTCAAAGAAAGATATGTTTTTATTTACATACATGGAGGATTCCAAATATTTGGTTATTGGAAAAATAAAAAAGAGCATGTATCATAAATTTTTGTGAGATGTTAACCAATTCAACTAATGCAATTACCCAAAGTTAAAAAAATATCATGCAAGGGAACCGCTCCTAAATTGTTCAAATGAAATAACATGTTGATTAAAAATGGATGCAAATTTTATTTTGGATTTCACGATTGCTCGCCATTAACATTATCATCGTCACCAACAACAACGCATTCTTCTCTATTCATGGCACCTCTATTTTCACAATTAGCAATATCTTCCTTGTTCTCTTGCATTTGGACATTCTCTTCCTTCTTCTCCTAAATATCATTGAAGGTAGAATTTAAAGCTAAAATTTTTGCAAATATGAAATATAATTTTACTCGAGTAGATATTACCTCTTTAAAGACTCTTCTTGTCCTACATATAATCGGAAGCAAGAACTTAGTGGTAATATATTTACAAATGTGAAACACCATTTTGTCTCAACAAAAAAAAAACTTCCTAAGACTTTTTTCAAACTATTTTAGTTTTTACCATATGTTACATGCATAGATGAATGGTTCTCTAATTAATAACTTCAAATTTTAAGTTTAATTTGAATGGGGTCAAAACAATTTTTATATTTTCGGTTGGGGTATGCCTATGATGATTTGGTCAAACTCCAAATTAAATTTATTCGGAATCTAATGAAAATTTTTGATCGATCCGTATAGTTATGATATGTGATATGGTTTGTGTCCCTTATTTATAACTATTAGTTGCATTCCTCTTTAGGTTGACCGCTTTAATGTAACATTTTTATACAAATAGAAATTTGTAGCCCTGTACTTTATATATGACCGATATAGGTCTATTAGAGTATCAAATGGCCGACTTTGTGATTGTTCAACTCGATAAATGTTATGTGAAGGTGAAGGTTATAAAAAAAATGTGATGTGAAGGTTAACATGTATAACTTAGATGTTGCCTTTTTGTTAGCCAACGGAATATATATATATATATATATATATATATATTTAATCTACTCCATATATACGTTTTTTTTTACAATTACTCTATATAAGTTTCACTTAGAGTTTAGCTAGGGTGACTATAGCATTAACAAATTACGTTAATATTTTTCTTCTTATCAGCAATAAATAATAAATACATAAAAATAAAATTGTATAACTTTAAACTAAAAATAGAAAGAGGATTATGCAAAAAACAAAAGAGCCCAACCTCAGTAGGCTTCCTTCTGGCCTCGGTGGAATATCATAGAAGTAGAAAAGGTAGAAAGACGTTTATAGCCTTCCGTGAGATGCGCTTAGAGCTGCAATGTATCTTTTAACCCATTCTTCATGCGGAATCTCTTTAAATGAATGGGTAGACTTTTGATCTTCTAGAATTGTGAACTTCATAGACAACTCTCATGTGAACTTTACTTTTGTTAGTTTAATTTATTGTGTATTGTTGTTACTGAGCTTTATATTTTGCTGGAAAAACATAATGTCAAACTCTAATTTTATATGTGAAAGACATAAAATTGATCATTGAAGTCACTTATCATACAACCAAATATAGTCGTATTTGGGCTACAAAAATCAGTTATAACTTGTAAGTGTAACGACATGTATTTGGATGAGTTGGTACAAAGTGTAATGAAATAAGGAAAATTTTCAAGCTGTAGACTAATTTCAAAAGCATTTTATTAGAAATTATAATTTTATAAATATGAAATGTGATATTGGGCTACCAACATCAATTATAAGTCCACAAAATTTCTTTGTTTATTTGAATTATACATCTCAGGACTCGGACTCTGTGTTCATTTATTTTTAAAAGTGAGAGTAAGAATATATTTTGATGAGTTAATAAAAAGTGCAATGAAACAATAAATTTTTTCAAACATTGTCATATTGGGCTAACAACATCAGTTATAAGTCTTCGTTCCAAATATTGTTGTATTGGGCTACAAAAATCATTTATAACTTGTAAGTGTAATGAAAAGTATTTGGATGAGTTGATACAAAGTGTAATGAAATAAGGAAAATTTTCAAGCTATAGACTAATTTCAAAAGCATTTTATTAGAATTATAATTTTATAAATATGAAATGTGATATTGGGATACCAACATCAATTATAAATCCACGAAATTTCTTCGTTTATTTATATTATACATCTCAGGACTCATAGTCTATGATCATTTATTTTAAAAAGTGAGGGTAAGAACATATTTTGATGAGTTAATAAAAAGTGTAATGAAACAAGAAAAAAATTTCAAACATTGTAATATTGGGCTACCAACATCAGTTATAAGTCCACGGAATTTCTTCGTTTACTTAATAGTCTATGATCATTTATTTATATTATATATCTCAGGAATTAGAGTCTATGATCATTTATTTTTAAAAGTGAGAGTAAGAACATATTTTGGTGAGTTAATAAAAAGTGTAATGAAACAATAAATTTTTTCAAACATTGTCATATTGGGCTACCAACATCAGTTATAACTTATAAGTCTTCGTTCCAAATATTGTTGTATTGGGCTACAAAAACCATTTATAACTTGTAAGTGTAATGAAATGTATTTGGATGAGTTGATACAAAGTGTAATGAAATAAGGAAAATTTTCAAGCTATAGACTAATTTCAAAAGCATTTTATTAGAAATTATAATTTTATAAATATGAAATGTAATATTGGGCTACCAACATAAATTATAAGTTCACGAAATTTCTTCGTTTATTTATATTATACATCTCAGGACTCAGAGTCTATGATAATTTATTTTAAAAAGTGAGGGTAAGAACATATTTTGATGAGTTAATAAAAAGTGTAATGAAACAAGAAAATTTTTCAAATATTGTCATATTGGGCTACCAACATCAGTTATAAGTCATACGAAAAACATAGCGTCAAACTCTAATTTTATATGTGAAAAGACATAAAATTGATCATTGAAGTCACTTATCCAGGCAACCAAATATTGTCGTATTGGGCTACAAAAATCAGTTATAACTTGTAAGTGTAATGAAATGTATTTGGATGAGTTGATACAAAGTGTAATGAAAAAAGGAAATTTTGTAAGCTGTAGAATAATTTCAAAAGCATTTTATTAGAAATTATAATTTTATAAATATGAAATGTGATATTGGGCTACCAACATCAATTATAAGTCCACTAAATTTCTTCGTTTATTTATATTATACATCTCAAGACTCAGAGTCTACGATCATTTATTTTTAAAAGTGAGAGTAAGAACATATTTTGATGAGTTAATAAAAAGTGTAATGAAACAAGAAAATTTTTCAAACATCGTCATATTGGGCTACCAACATCAGTTATAAGTCCACGAAATTTCTTCGTTTACTTAAATTATACATCTCATGGTCTATCATCATTTATTTAGAAAAGTGAACTTGAGAATATATTTTGATGAATTGATAATAAGTGTAATGAAATAAGGTAAATTTTCAAGCTATACACTAATTTACAATGCATTTTCTTAGAAATTATATAATTTTATAAATGTAATTTCTTCGTTTACTTAAATTATACATATCATGGTCTATCATCATTTATTTGGAAAAGTGAGATTAAGAATATATTTTGATGAGTTGATAATAAGTGTAATGAAATAAGGAAAATTTTTGCACGAGTGAGGATGATTAGTTGGCAGCGATGGGCTCATGTCTGGGCGGCGTTGAATACTGATGGATCGGTGATTGGAGTGCAGGGTGTGACAGCAACGTGCGGGATTGTACGAGATAGCAATGGCAGATTTTTCAGGGCGTTCGCGGCTAACTTGGGAGGAGGATCAATCACCCATGCTAAGCTGGCAGGAATAGTGTACGAGTTTCAGGTGGCTTCGGATGCAGGGCTTCGACAGGTTATTTTGTAGACCGACTCGAGAACGTCGATCCATTTGTTGCAGTCGGAGTCAGCTACAAGTCCGCATGGAGCAATGATTGATGCAGAGAGACGAATCCTCCAGCAGGATTGGGAGGTACAAATCACCCATGTTTACCAGGAGAGCAATTATGTTGCTGACCACTTGGCCTCTGTTGGTCAGTCATTACCCTTTGAAGTTAATATTTTTGAGGCACCTAGCCCCATGTTTAGTTATTGGATGTATTTTGATAACGTTGGAGTTCAAACTCCTCGTCTTATTAATGATTAAGGGTTAGAGCGCCCCTCTGCGCTCTGTTTCTCACAAAAAAAAAAAGGAAAATTTTCAAGCTATAGACTAATTTAAAATGCATTTTATTAGAAATTATATAATTTTATAAATGTAAAAGATATGGTCTCGGCGGGGCTCGAACCCGCGACTTTCGGCTCATAAGACCAACGCTCTAACCAACTGAGCTACGAGACCAACGAGAATTCAAAAGCTTAATTATTGATTTTGTTTTTTTTTTATAGTTTTCTTATTTTTTTAACTCAATATAAAGATAATTATGCATGGCAAGTATACAATATTTTTATCTACTAGTTTAAGGTTCGGCCTGTTGGCAAGAAGAACCTAATTTGACAAGTGAAAGGTTAATAATTTAGATTTTGTGTGATGATTTACAACAAGAAAAATATATAAAGCGATAATCACCTTTGTAACACATAAAATAATTAAAGAATATCGCATTGAGTTAAAATGAATAATTTTAGGTTTGGCTTTCTATTCAATATAGTTTGTCCGCTATTGCATATATTAAGAGGAAGCTTGAACATTTGCTCCAATGTCTTTTTGTTGTAAAGAAAATTGATCGATTGGTTAGCCTAGTCAATACAGTATAATATGAGCAAATCAATTCACTAAAACCAAACTCACTACAATATTTCAAAGAATCAACCAAATCCGAGATCCATCCGTCTTTCCATAATTTCTCACACCAGAACCAACCTCAATCCAACTTTTCACATACTACCTCGGTCCTAAGTATTTTGAATGAAGTTTTGCATGAGCGTGATTTACGATGTGATAAGAGATGATTTGTGGCAAAATGAATTCATTACGTTCACTGAATTTTAACCAGGGGCGAAGCTACACTCAAGCTAGGGTGCCCCCTCGGGATTGGTTCCGACCCTTAGGATTGTAAGGATATTTAGTACAAATTTTATACGTAGAACTTGTTCCGTAAATTCTATTGTGTAATAGTCATGTGGTCTAGTGTTAGACAAGCATGACTTGTTTTTTAAAGCACATGGGTTCGATCCACCTTGGCTACATACATTTTGTTTAATTATTTTCGGACCCCCGATCTCGAAATCTTGGCTCCGCCCCTGATTTTAACTAAAAAGTTTGACAAAATTTTGAAATCAAACTTGTATTCACCATTTCAAAGGTAAAACTTTATTTGGGTCACCACATTTTTTTCTTATTAACCACAATAGCAAAGGGTTACATAAGTATAGTGCACTAATTCCCAAAGCACAACAATGGAAAAAATAGGTATAACTGATCAAACATTGTCTTCGACAATAGAAGTAGCAAAATAGTTATTCTGGTAGTTCATCGAGAAGAGACAAAACCATTGGGCGATGCGAGTGCAGAGGAATCGAGCGAGATAATTTAGACCAGACCATAACTACTTGATTGAAATCCATTCTATTCGCCATGGATTCATATCGGAGTTGAAATCTTCTTATTGCCCAACTTAAATCCCCAAGAATAAAAGTGCAATGCCAAGAGATACCAGAAGATTGATTTTCAAATGCGCCCTTGTACTGGGAAGTGAAAGGGGGCAAACAATTGCACGATGGATGAATTTTCCGAGGAAGATAGAAAGAGATAAGAACAAAGATAAAAAAACACAAAATTTAAATTGAAAAATGCAAGGACACAACAGGTAATAAAAGAAATAGTTTCTTCCATGTTAGCCAATTACCAATTTACATTTAGCGAAAATTAAGGAGAGAGCATGAATTTTAAAATTGATAAAATTACATAAAACTCTATTATGAAAACTGCAGTATTAATCACCATAAAAATACATACAGTAGACTTAGTGGGTTGTTAATCATGATGGAAAAGTCCTCCACTTTCCAGAGTTCAACTTCGTGTATGTTTTGTGATAAAAAAAGATACAACAAATTTATTTAGTGTAATTGGTTATGATTGTTGTCCTTATTTGAAGAGACCTGGGTTCAAATTGTGATATTGATATTTTTATATTAATTAATTATAAAGACAAAAATGTCCTTACTGCTTTCACTATCGTTGCATAAAATTTGAAATGAAGAAAAGTACACAAAATTCTTCCATATATTAATGGAGGATAGATACATCAACCATATCCGAGACCCATCCGTCTTCCCATAATTTCTCACACCAGAACCAACCTTAATCCAACTTTTCACATACTACCTCCATCCAGGGGCGGAGCTACAAGGTTGGAAGGGGTGTCATGGCACACCCTTGATTTAGGGGAACACTTGCAAATCTTAGTTGAGTAAATATTACTCATAATGAAATTTGAACCCAAATCTAGTATCAATTGTTAAATTTTTACAATTCAATCACAATCAATTATATAAATTAATTCTACCTACGAATTTCTATATTAATATAGTCTAGTTTATTAAAATGAATAAGAGGATGCAAATTATTAGAGGAAATCATTGAACCTTTCATGATAACGATAGTCGGAAGAGAAAATTGGTTCTCATCAATATATTTGCTTGTGAAACTTGGTTTAGTTTGCTACTACCTTTTGTCAATATAGATGTTGATATTATCAACAACAAAAAAATACATATCGATATAAAGTTTTCTGTAATGAAACGATTGACCAGCCTTCGACTTAATTGAAAAATTTGTGAATGATTATTTGTTGGGATAATATTAAGAGCAAATCTTCATAGTTTGGACAATTATGTAGTTTTAAAATAATTTTATTATATCAAACAAGCGATCGCATCATGAGTTATTGTTCAAAAATTATTTTCATGCACACCCTTGAATGAAATCCTGGCTACGCCACTGCCTCCATCCTAGGTATTTTTCATGAAGTTTTGCATGAGCGTTGATATGATCCCAAATGGCCAACTCGACATGTTTTTATTACTTGCCGAAGAAGCTATCAAAGTTGGGAAGAAGAAGGGCAGAATTTGGTTAAGTGTTGGAACAGTGTCAAGGTACATACTTTGGAGGCATGGTTCTCGCAATTGACTTGGTGGAAATTCAGTTTTAAGGGGTTGTTTTTCAGATCAAGTTACCATCTTTCCAATGGTATGCTTTATGGTTCCAGAAGATGTCATTAAGGTTGTTTTCAAAGGCCTCAAAGTTGCTACCTCAAAACTGAAAAACTGCCAGAAAATGACCAAGGCAGAAAACTGTTTTGTGAAGCCTGCTTTGGAGCTTAATTCGAGGAGTATGGATCTTATTCAAGTCCAAAGGCTTGCACAAAATGAAACTAGGTATGTTTATCTACCAAGGGAAGGAATGAGATGAAATATTGGAGTTCTGGAAGGCCTCGAACAAAAGGCGCGAAGTTAGTACGAAATAACAGAATTTCCGCCTTTGTAAAACAGGATCTTCTTTCCTTATTCAACTATGATTGTTAGATTTGATTCCTTTTCGAGTTAGATTGTGTTTAGACTTCCTTTTTAGTTGTTAGACGTAGCTTAGGTTTATTTAAAGCTTCTTTTACGTTGTAAACTCAGACTTTGTTGAATAGAAATCGAAACCTTTGGGTTTTTGCAAGTTTGCGTACTTGTGTGAGCTTTGGTGGATTCCAAGCTCGTTGAGCTCTAGTTTCGATCAAGAACGCGTTGATCGTGGCCGGGCATCTATCATTATACCAATCGAGCCTTTCCCCCAGGTGTGGAATTACACTTTTGGTTCCGTTTTATCCAAGTTCGTATTAAGAACGCTTCGTTCTTGATTCGAGCTCAATCGATTCTTCGATTGAGTCGTTAGCTGCGTGACTTTGATCACATACATCCCCAGGGACGTATTAAGCGTGATTTACGTTGTGATAAGAGATGATCTGTGGCAAAATGAGTTCATTACGTTCCCTGAATTTTGACTAAAAATTTTGACAAAATTTTGAAATCAAACTTGTATTCACCATTTCAAAGGTAAAACTTTATTTGGGTCACCACATTTTTTTCTTCTTATTAACCACAATAGCAAATGGTTACATAAGCATAGTGCACTAATTCCCAAAGTACAGCAATGGAAAAAAACAGAGAACAGTGCTGCTAGATCACGTTGCTGCAGGTAAATTCAGTCCTTAAATTGTAACATCCATGAAGTTGTAGAACTCAAATCTCAAGTAACAAAGCTTGTTGTGGAATTCAGCGCCGGCGCGGTGGTAACATCCATGAAGAACAATCTTTCTCGCCATCCTGAGACACTGCCCGCAGGCCTCTGGTTCATCCGGCCACCGGCAGAAGGCAGCGCCGTAGACGTGAGGATCGTCGGCAGGGTATTGGAACTTCGTCGGCAGGGGATTGGAAGCCGCCGTGTTCTGAACCAGATTCTGAAGCACTGCCGTAATTCCTGCCTTGAGGTCGCGGTCGCCCTTGAAGTACATGTCGGGGCTGCAGGACAAAGTGTGGAGATTGTTGGCGACGGTGAATCCCGGCAGGAGAAACCACAGCAGCGGCAACACCGACCACCGCAGCATCAGCGAGTTCCTACTTTTCTCCATATCTCTCGAGCAAAGCAGTGAAGACCGCGCTTTAAAACTTAAAAGTTTACTCTATTATATTTCTAAGTTATCAAAACGTTAGTCAAAATCTCTACGCCTTAAAAGTTTAATACTTGCTTTCGCAATTGAACTCGATCGTTACTGAACGTGAGTATATATAGCTCAGCCACTGTCTTGTCTCTTGCGGTGTCGCTGAAGGAAAGAGTGAGAACTTAGAACTGATATAGAGTTCCTGAAACTCAAATCTCTGGCAGGAGATTCGTGTTGGCCGGCTTCTGATTTTTGTTTGAAGAATCTGTAGAAGCAAATCAACCCTATCAGTTTCCTGAATCTTTGGGTTTAAGTGTTTGTTTGTTTCTATTGGAAGATGGGATCTGGCGTCGGCATTTCTCTTCTCTCTTTCATTCTCATCCGTCTCCTACTCCCCTGCGATAGTGAATCTTCGTTTAGATGAAGAATTGTAATTTAGGGTGGTTTGGAAGTTGCGATTGTTTTGTTGAGATTGCCATTATGTATGTATAGTAAACAATGCATCGTTTCTTTTTATTTGTTTTAGCAGAAACAATACATGGATTGTTTCTATTATCTGACAGAAACTATCACTCATTTTGAGTGATTGTTATATCTCAACTTTTAGTTGTGATTGTTGAGATAGTTGAGTTGAGATTGTTTTGTCTCAGCTTTTAGCTGATGCGACATACAATCACACATACCAAACGTTGTATTCTACAATGCATCAAATTCGACAATACATGTATAATATTATACATGCATTCTCAACAAATACATCTATTTAACAATCACAACTTCCAAACGACCATTTAATCTAATTGTCACATTTTCAGACAATTGGACTAAATGAATCCTTTTGTCAACTAGAAAAATTTAGATGAATTAATTTGCATGGGGTCGTTTAGAAGAATCAATTCCAAAAATGAGTTAATTAGGTCAATTACCTCGTTTTATAAAACGAGTCAATTATAATTACCTACCACATCCCCAAACAATTGGAATTAACTCAAAAGTCAAAATGGATCAATTTGAAATTTCTTGGGCCAAATTGATCAATCCAAATTTTCTTCCGACAAACAATTCAATTTGGGCCAATTGTCTCAAAACGAGATAATTGAGTCCAATGAAGCCGTTTTGAGTCCATTTCAATTCTCTTGGGTAGAGGTAGGTGATTCGAATTGAGTCGTTTTAATTGTTTGGTTTCATAAATTCAGACGATTAACCAAATTGGCTAATTTTTTAATTCATCCATCCAAACATGAAACAACCCTTGATTTTTCAGTAAATAAATATTTTTCTTAATTTACCAAAATATCACCATCCATTTCCCTTACTCCCTATTCCCCTACCTTTCCCAGTTCCACAGCCTCCTGCCGAGCTCGAGACCCACGAATTGCATTTTCCGCCATTAAAGAGTAACATCAGCAAAGTTAGACAGAGTCGAAGGGAAGCTGTTGTTGTTCTCGTTATCGTGAATTAATTCGCAGACTGACGTTCCCGCAGGGAGTCCCTTAATCTGCCGCGATAAAGATCTGAATCGAGCTTCTAAGGCCCAGCGGAGTATCAAAGTCGTTGAAGCTCCGCGGCGCGAAGACTCGTCTTTTTCGTCGCTTCTCCGCGAGACGATAAACCCATCGAAGGCCTACCACAAGTAGTCGACGGTGGAGTGGAACTCACGATTGTAGTCAGATCTTGAGCACTCGCTTAAACAAGCTCCCGACAGTCGTTGCAGTCCAGCTGTTCGACAAAAGTTCCCAAAGAGTTCAGTCTTTTCGAAGAGCCAGATTGATACACCATGCGACGGTTATTTGCAAGGATATTGAGAAGCTCTTCATCTTCAACTACGTTCTTCCGCCGACCGAATTGCACTCTGGCCACCCGATCGGTGAATTCGAGTAATCGAAATCTCAAAGAAGAAGGACAAGTCATCCCGGGGAAGTTCACCAAATGGGCGTCACTAGGGTTCGCGAGGGCTTCAAGTTTTGCCTCTGGGTTCACTCCGTTGGAGCCAAAGCCGCTGGAATCGATCATGGATGTTGAACGGGCCAAGCATAAGTCACCCGAGGAACTCGCTTCTGCCTGGGACGATGTAATGTGACTCTTATTTCATTTTATGGTTTTGATGCGCTTAGTTTGGTTCAAGCTTCTTTACCTGGAAAATTGAGTTAATTTTCTAGCGCTTAGTTTGGCTCAAGCTTCTTTGGAAAATTGAATTAATTTTCTAGTCTGATCAATAGAGCTGGTTCAATTTTGATGTATACCAATGAGGATATGTCGAAGAAGAACTTAGAGAATTGGGTTTTCTGTACAAGGGAGTTTAAACGGGAAATGTAGATCAGTGAAGGGCTAGCACCGGCTCATTTAAGTCGTATTGTATATTCAACAATGACTTGCTGTGAAGAATGAATCTTTTTTTTTATCCTTGATGTTCTAGCATCTCTTTTGTTCATGCAAAAGAAAGCATCTTGATGTGGACTTGTGATCTCCTTTTCACTTTTTCTATTGGCATAATATGACAGTATCACCTGGGGAGAGGTCACATTGGAGCATCCATGAAGGCCAAGCTTTACAATTTGCTAGTCCAAAGAGCAGCAGACTGGTAATTGCCGTTGAACCAATTCTTTAGTCATTTTGTAGTAGAATCTAAGTCCTTTCTTCACTATCTGACTTGTTGCTTTGATGATCGCAGCAAGTATTTTGTCATCCCATTGTGGAAGGGATCTGGCTATACTACAATGTTTGCACAAGGTTAGCTTCCTCAGAACTTTCTTTGGTTGCTTTTCTTGCAGAATGGTTAGAGAAAATCATTTGCAATGTATGGTAGTTTTTTGGTCGTTTTTGTTGGGTGTTAAGAAGATGATCCAGTTAGTGTCGTTACTCTGGTAGCTCTGATGGATGTATACTTGAGCTTACCTCCTGTAGCCTTCGGATGAATAATATGATCTCAATGGAACGATTACCCAGGCAGTACAACCAATTAGAAGTGAATCGGAGAAGGTGTCAGCGGAAGCAATTGTTAGAAGCAGAAGCGTGTGCAATAGTATTTTTGGAACTAGTGATTGATTCTGGTGAAATGATTCGATAGTTCTTTTCTAGAATGCTTGAAAACTACCAAAATAAACGAGTTGTTTGAAATAACTAGAATGACCACGCAAACACTCGGAGTTTGTAAAAGAGAAATGGGTAGAATTGGAAATGTTCAAAAAGATCTAGTACAGTAGGTTTCACATCAGTTTCAAATTAGATTTTAACAGCAGAACCCAGAAGTTGGAAGAGTGCATTTGATCGAGAAACTTGGCTATTGGATAATTTGGAGGAACTACCAGTGTTAACTACAGCTGTTTTAGCTGCTAACATGTTTGTGCAATACCTTTTCGTGCAGTGCAAACGCCATACATCATCTTCACGGGTCTTGAAGATTACAAGGCGAGGGGAACTCAGGCGGCTCCATACTTTACAGTCTCCTTCTACACCGACTTTGCTGATAGCAAGGACTTGGTTCTCGTACGAGGAGATATCGTGTTCACCAGCAAACTCAGTGACGAAGAGGCACAATGGCTTTTAGAGACGGCTCAGTCTTTCTATCTTAATGACACGAGGTACAAGCTCGTAGAACGATTCAACAGACAGACTCGCGATTTCGAGTTCAAGGATGTTCTCCAGGCACTGAACATGCCCATCCTGTGAAGACAGCAAAGAAAATTGGTGCACAGCAGAAACGCAGAAAATAGTGAAACCAGGGGTGCCTGATTGAGATTGACAGGCTCCTTCCTGAACTACAGATCCAACGCTGTTATGGTATCACGGATTCTGTCCATGGCATGAGCAGTTGTAGGTCTCTCTTTCCATCCTGCTACATACTTCACATAGAGATAATCATCTTTCTTCTTCTTTTGTTTGATGTAATAATCTTAGCACCGAGCTTAGAGGCTCAACCCGGCTTAAGTTTCTCATTTTGATGAGAGGGGACTTGAAGCTGAGATTGCATTGTGGTTGGAAGTTTGTTATTTTAAGTTGTCTTTCAAATAATTTACAACTAGTCAACTACATCATTCTGTTTTTTCCTCTTCTACTATTTTGTTCCTAATTTTTTTTTACCTCACTTAGGAAACATTATTAAAAATGATATATAGTTAATATTTTCATTCACAAATTGACATTGTCATGCACTGTGGTCCGGACGATATGATATGACCTTGACAAATTGGGAAGAGAAACAACAATTTTGCCTCTCCTTTTATTTCATAATTCTTGTTAAAATGAAGTTATTAAGGGTATTTAGTTATACGACATGAACAAAAATATTTTTATTGCTCATATCATGGTTTGATTTCGATTAACAATTTTTGAAACAAAACTCCACAGTAGGACATGTTCTGGCTAAGATAGGTTGGCGTATCCTTAGTGAACCTCAGTCGCTAATTGCCCAGATTTATAAAGTCAAGTACTTCCCTCAAGGATCCTTTCTGACTGCGGCTGCTAGGTCTCGTCCCTCTTGGGGGTGGCAGAGTATCCTTCATGGACATCAGTTATTGGAGATGGGTTTAAGATGGCAAGTTGGCAATGGCAAGTCGATATCCCTTCTTCACTCGAACTGGATCCCTCAGTTCCAACTAGATCCCCCTTGTTATAATCCGCGTGTTTTGCTTGAAGGGGGTAATCCTTTGGTGGCCGAGGTTATTTGTCAGGGGGAAGGAAGGTGGTCTGATGAGAAGCTCCGTCAGTGGTTTGACCCGCACACCTGTAAGGCTATCAAAGCTATTCCGCTTCCGAGGTGGGAGGTGCCTGATAAAATTATCTGGCATTTTACGTCTGACGGGGTTTTCTCGGTAAAGTCGGCTTATCATTTGGCTGTAGATTTGGATAGGAGGAGGGGTGGGTGGCGATCCTCGGTTAGCTGGATGGATAAACCAAGTTGGATAAGAGTGTGGGAGGCGAAGATACCTCCGAAGTTGAAGGTTTTTGTATGGCAAATCCTTAATCGGGCTCTGCCAACTATGGAGGCGCTTATTGAGAAGAAGGTTCGGGTACTTCCCCGGTGTCCAGTTTGTTGGGATGGCCCGGAAACTATGGAACATCTGTTCATGTACTGTCCAGTTGCGCGAGCTCTCTGGGACTACTCAGGGTTGGAATACCTAGGGGAGGGTTTGCCTCGACACACTTTTCCTTTGTTTCTCAGGCGTTTGTTGGGTCTGATTTCTCAACCGTCCGTGATTATGGCTGTTGTTGCCATCCTTTGGAGGATCTGGTGTTCTCGGAATTGGGTTGTTTTTGAGGGCAAACAATTCGGGATTCCCGCACTCATGCGGCAGTTTCACCAACAGTATGAGGAATGGGTGTCTCTCCCAGTGGAGCAGGTTCCGACTATGAGTCTGGTTTTAGTGTGCGGTTTGTAGGTCGAGAGAACAATAGGGTAGCTCACTTGGTAGCTAGAAAAGCCCTTTCATTATATCCGACTATGAGTCGCTTCTTTGATTTCCAGTCCTGGCTGGTTTCCAGGGTGTAATTGTCTTTGATTGATCAATACAAGATATCTTTTGAAAAAAAAATATTTCTGAAGTACAACAATAATTTTTATGTGACAAATAGTAGATGAACATACTAATAAAAATATTATAGTAAAAAAAACATATTTTGCCTATAAAAACAAGTATGCAAGCACCAAAAATGTCATTAGTCCAATTGCGATCTCTTGATATGTAATTTTCTTCCCGAGGGATACGACGCCGTTGGAGTCAGGGATGGCGATCAAAGAAACTTCACTAATCACTAGCCTCTGACTTTGTTTTCCAGCTCACTTCAGCTTCCTTCTCCCCTTGCCTGCCTCACTCGTCCCTTCTTCGCTCGAAGAGCGCAAAACCCAGCAAAACCCCTGCACGACGAACCCTTCCCCAATTCGAAATTCCACCTCTGATTCAGTGTCAAGCTTTGAACCATCGCATCCGAATCCTTGTGTTCTTCCTCCTTCAAATTGTTCGAGTTCCCTGTTCTCTCGCTCCTTCCTTCCCATTTTCAGCAACTGGTTTCGGAGAGCCGCCGCCCATTCCGTGTTTTTGCCAGAATGACCGACCTCAACGACGACTCCATTCACATCGAGAAGCTCTACGAGTTCGGCGAGCGCCTCAACGAGGCTAAAGACAAGTCTCAGGTTCGCCATCCCTAACTTCACTCCTCCATCTCCCGCTCCCTCTGCAGCTCAGAGTTTCTAGGGTTTGTCCTATTTCCCCCCCTCTTTCCACTTGCTGATGGTGATGAAGGTTTTGGTGGGTTCTGGTGCGGATTCTGTTTTTTCTCTCGCAGAATGTCGCGGATTACCAAGGGATTATTGATGCTTCCAAGACTAGTTTGAAGGCGAAGCAGCTGGCGGCACAGCTCATCCCGCGCTTCTTCAAGTTCTTCCCTGAACTCTCTAACCATGCTGTTGAAGCTCATCTGGATTTGGTTGAGGAGGAAGACCTTCGGGTGTGTACGCTTTTTTCCTTGGAAAAAAAAAATGTTCATTGGTCTAGGCTCTGCTGATATGTGGAGTTGTGCAATTTGTGCTCATTTGATGTTAATGGATGCAAGCTTTGCTTACATGGTATCTGGAGAATGTAATTCCTTATTCAGACCATGCTTTTGTTGTTAGTTTGTGTATGAAAATGTGCAGAATCAAATTGAGGATTTCTCTGCTTATTGCTTGCTGAATGCTCGTTGTCTATATAGGTGAGGGTACAATCAATTAGGGGTCTGCCACTTTTCTGCAAGACCCCTGACTATCTATCCAAGATTGTGGACATTCTTGTTCAACTACTTACGGCAGGTAGATAAGATTTTATTACTGTCATTTTGAAGTTTTGGGTTCGCTGCCCTTAGGATAGGATGCTAAATTTATTTGATGGTTTCCAGAGGAAGTTGTAGAGAGGGATGCCGTGCACCAGGCCCTCATGTCCTTGTTGAGACAGGATGTTAAATGTAAGTAGTTACACTTTGTATTCACATTTGCTGCTGCATATAAAAAGGGTTTTGGGCTGGGGATGATGTGCTGTGAAGTTGGAAATTTAACAATGGTTGACTAACCCCACATAGGAGTAGGACACTGTATATAATCTCTGCTCAAGCATGCCATTGTCTCACGGTTATAGGACTCTCTTGTCCTGCAGCTTGCCTTACTGACTTATTCAAACACATTTGCACCATTGACGAACAAAGCGCAGAGGACACTTTCCGTGAGAAAGTTCTCAGCTTCATAAGAGACAAGGTAAGAATCATTTGGTTGTTGTTTGAGTTGGCTATTGTTATTGTTAGGTGATACCAAACTAACTGGTAGTTTTCAGGTTTTCCCACTCAAAGCTGAACTCTTGAGGCCTCAAGAGGAGATGGAACGACATATAACTGATTTGATTAAAAAGGTAGCGTACGTTTCCGTAATGTTTGATGGCTTGGAATTAATGGTTCTTTTCTCCCCTCTTTTTGGTGGAAATTGTACTTATTTTTAACGATGTGTAAGTGTAACTTTTGTAGAGTTTGCAAGATGTAACTGGTGCTGAATTCAGGATGTTTATGGATTTCTTGAAGAGTTTGAACATGTTTGGGGATAAAGCTCCTCCTGAGCGCACAAAAGAACTTGTTGAAATCATTGAAGGGCAGGCTGATCTAGATACACAGTTCAATGTGAGTGCTTATTGTCTTTGCTATTTCTTTGTAGATTTTATCATGAACAGTTGTGGAATATGACAGCATACGGTTCGAAGAACCGAAGTGCACTAGTAGCACTGTCAATAGGTTCTGTAGCCCACTATTAAGTGACAAGCTTGGTCAGGTTTATATGTCAAAAGTTATCACTTGCTGGTACTTTTGATTCTTTGTTTATTATTCTTATTACGCACTCTTGGCTCAGAAGCTCAATTGATTCTGAGCATTCTGTTACCACCTACATGAATGGGTACCTTATGTCTCTGCTTACATTCCTGAACGAACTTGAAATATGCCTATAAGCAGAATCTACAAAAAATCTTGAATGAACTTAGTTTGCTTATCGTTCTCTAGAAGCTTAGGTGGCTAGCGGGATCTTGAGACTCATGGACATATTTTTAGCACTGCAGTTGTTGATGTTGTTAAATGCTGTGTATGTCTGATAATATTTGACATGTTGCTCCATGCATGAGTTGATAGGTTGCCATCCCACTTCTAGTAGTCCAATGTTTGGGTATTTGGTTTGTTTTTTATTTGATGTTGTTCTTATGTCTTAACACGAATTGATTGGAATATGATGCAGGTTGAAGATGGAGATCATATCGATAGATTAATTGCATGCCTTTACATGGCAGTTCCATTCTTTTTGGTACGGACTTCTACTTTTTAGCTTCAAGTTTGGCAGAAAGGCTAATTCCACCATTATCAAAAAGTTTGGCAGAAAGGCTAAATATTTTATATCAATATGGTCTGACCTCTGTAATTTTAACTACAGAGAGGAGCATCCAGTTCCAAATTTCTTAACTATCTGAACAAGCACATAATACCCGTGTTCGATAAGGTATTACACGTGCTTTCTATTCGACATGTATGTAGAATGTAACATAATTTTTAGCTAGTGAAAGTAATAAGTTGGTCCTTTCTTCCCTTCAATTATTGAGATATAATCTGTTAAGGGAGTCCCTATCTGGTTTTGAGTTGATAATGTGAACTCCTGTGATGATCTTGTATGATGCAACTTGAGGTAACCTGAAATCTAGGGACATAATTGCATTCTGTCAGCATATTTAAGATAATTCGCAACAAGCTAGTGAATCTCCTTTTGAAAAGTACTATTACCTAGTAAATGTGTTAAGTTGGTGCTTGTTTGTGTTTTTCCTTATTATTATTTTTATTAGTGAGATCAGAGGTATACTTTATCGAGGAAGTCCTCGGGGTTTAAATTGATGATTTTTTGACATTCGAGATAAAAAATTTATTCTGTTGAATCTCAACGTGGAACTTGAGCTAGGCTGTCTCGTATGCTTTATTCAACTACACAACTTTTGTTCAGCCTTCCTGAAAACTGTTTCTGATTTCGGGTTTCACATCAACGATTTCTTTCTTTGTTGCTATACTGTTTGGACACTTACCTTGCCTTCTTTGGCGTCTCTGTAGCCGGTGGAACTTATGTCTATTAAGTTGAAGTCATCCAGCATAAGAAGAGTACTAACAAAGGCTTTCTTTTCTTTCCATTGTCAGCTTCCTGAAGAACGAAAGCTTGATGTACTTAAAGTGCTTGCAGAAAGCTCTCCGTACACCACTCCTCAAGATTCTCGCCAGATTCTTCCTTCTGTTGTTCAACTCTTGAAGGTGTGCATTATCTTTCACGTTCGATTAAGTAGACCCTTCTTTTCTCCTCTTCAAGAAAGAAACTTTGTCTGCTAATCTTGTTTAATTTCCTTGTGTCTTTTCAATCTTCTCAGAAGTACATGCCACGAAAGAAGACAGGAGAAGAAACAAACTTTACATATGTCGAGTGCTTATTATATGCTTTTCACCATTTGGCAAACAAGGTTGATTTACTATCCTTTTACCCTTCGTCGTTTTTCTTTATGTACTATCACTTTATGCTAATTTTATCGTTTCAACGTGAAGGCTCCGAATGCCACAAATAGCCTATGCGGCTACAAGATAGTAACAGGCCAGCCCTCAGATAGACTTGGCGAGGACTTTTCTGAGCTCTACAAGGATTTCAGTGAGAGGTAGATCAATTCGTACACAAGCTCATTCCTATTTAATTTGCATTCTAATTCAGGGAATATATTTTTTTTTTCTTTCCATTCCGTCTGAATGAAGCATCTCTGATTATTCTGAAAGCAGTAGAGTGTAACTAGTAAAATTTTCTAGCTGGTTCTCATCGTGCGTTGGATCAAACTGAATCAACCCACAGACCATCTAAAATTTTATAATTTTCTTCTGGTTATATGTTGTTGCTAGCACCATTGAAATTTGGGTCCATGATTCCCACTTAAATAAGGAGCTGTGCAGCTGCTGTAAAGTGAGATTTTTATGTAATATGGGCAGTATATTACTAAAGTTCCAATTTTGTTATTAGAAAACAGAGATGCAATCTTAAAAAATTGTCCAAAAACAAGATCTGATCTCAAAGAATGAGCAGCTTCATACTGACTAGCCTCTTTTTTCAAGTATAGTAGGACTAATGTAGACTGCAATCAATTGTTATTTTCATATTTACAGGCTGATTAGTGTGGAGGAGCTTACTAGGGGTACATCAAAAAAATTGACTCAGGGAATGGTAGAGCATAATAAAGCTATGTCCGCAGCTAAGTCAGAGGAAGCCAAGGATGCAATTGTAAGTTAAAATTGTGTGGGAACATGATGATAATGCAGTTGTCAATTTCAGTAATCTCGTGGTAATCTGCATCTTATGATGATGTTATTTGTCCATTTCTTATATATGCAGAAAATTCAGAAGCAGAAGGCAACAACTGGATTGAGAACCTGCAATAACATTTTGGCGATGTCAAAGGTGAGAGCCAGAATGGTACCACTGGCCTTAGCCGATTTTGCCTCATTATACTCGTACCCTAATCAGAATTGTGACATCTTCGCAGCCTTTGCATGCAAAAACTCCTTCATTCATCGGAGATAAGAGCATCAACCTTTCTTGGAAAGAAGCAATAAAACCTTCAGTACCCTCCAACACCGCTGCAACTGGGTACTTAAAACTTAACTGTCTAGTGCTCTTACCTTTGAATGAGAAACAAGCTTTGATCTTTGCCTTGGGCATCTTTCTGAGTTAGACAAACATTTCTTTCTGCAGAGGCAAACGACCTTCAACAGCTCCTAATGGATCAGGGAACCTAGCAAAGAAGGGGCGTGGTGGTGGAGGCGGCGGCACGCATAACCAACTCGTGAATCGGGCTTTCGAAGGCATCGGTAGAGGCAATACACGCGGCAGAGGCAGGGGTAGGGGCTGGGGTGGCCGTGGAAGAGGCAGAGGAGGTTTTTGGTAGACATGCCGAATGAGAAGTCACACACGTAGGGAGAGAGTGGAGCGGGCGAAACTACATACAAACATGGTAAAGTTGGTTCGACTACGAGTCATTTCAGAACTCGAAAGAGGACAGTTGGAAAAGCGTTTTAGCAGAACCGAGTGGTAGTCCTCCACAGATCTCACCCTCTCGACGTGTCGCCTCCGATCTTAATTCTTGTGGAGGCTGTTCGTTGTGGATTGAAGTTTGGACAAAAACCACCTCCAAGTTCTAACCAGTTAGACTTAGTCGAATCTGCGTTGTTGATTTGTAGTTTGTGATCTCACACGGATGGCTGAAACAGAGGATAACTATTTTAGATTGTTGTATTCAGTTAGATAATGGTAAACTACGCGGTTAACCTGATGGATGTGGTTTGTATTGAGTTTTTGTTTGCTTTTTTTATGTTTCTACTCGAGATTAATTTGTACTTCATGCAAAACCGAGCTTAGAATTTGTCAGGTTCAACCGTTTCATAGGGTAGTTTTATGGTCTAATGTTAGTACGATATGATTTCACAAACCTCGTGTGAAACGAGAAAGCAAGGAAGAGAAGCAAGCTATATATCTAATCTCACTAATTAGGTTTAGCTCATCTACAAAGTTGTCTCCACAATCATGATTAACGTTCACCAAACCTCCCTCTCTCTCTCTCTGCATTACCTACATTTCAGTTACCCTGAATCCCTGATGCTTGCAGAAAACATTACACACTCCCTAGCTTCTCTCTCTTAATCACTGCAACAATTTGCTGCACACAATCCGTGGTACAATTCAACATGTCCTACCGAAACCACCTGAAACAAAAGGACAGTTTCCTCTGTCCGCCACCAGAATCCTGTCGGAATTTCAACCTCTGTCTTCCCCTGCTGTCCGTGGAGCCAAACCCAACTAATTCACCCTCTTCTCTACTCTAGAGACTCTGCAACTTACCCCACACCATTGCTCATCACAGCTTCAAGCTGAGATCAAGACCCTCATCTCCTCTTGTCATTTCCCTTCCACTCACGAAACTCAACTCTGTCTCGGCTTGATCCATCTCCTGCTGCCCTCCTTCATCTTCGGGAACTATAAAGCTGTAGAAAGGTAATTTGTTCGCTGGACGGTCCATGGTTTTCTTCATTTCCTGATCCACACCAATCGAAATTCGGTCCATAATTGATTTTGACAAAGATTCTCAATTTTTGGAAATTAGCCTGAAATTCTGTTTACCTGACATGGCGTCGGAGGATTGATGTTCAAGTGCTGTTGTTTAGAAATGCGAGTTGTTGTTGGACAGCCTAGTAAGACGAAACCGCCCTGTCCTTCTGCAAAAGCTGGATCTTTACTGTTACTGTTCCCACTCCATCTTCTCGAACTCTGCTCGTCGTTGGGATAAGAAGAACTCTGTCCTCTGCAAAGAAACAGAGCAACAATCGGCCAAAAGGGTACCCATTAATGGCTGAAAATCCTTTAAAACTGAACAGTTTCAAGATTTTCGAGGAGGACAGACCTGTAATTTGCGTTGTAGTGGCTACCCAGTGAAAATGTCGAGACTGATTCGGTCACTTGAGGTAAATAGGAAGGAACTTGGTAGCGGAACACTGGGATTTGAGGTATATCCATGGTGTACGGACACGATCTCTTTGTCCCAACCATCTTCACATAAACCCAAAACGAAAACAAAAAACAGAGGAAATTCGTTAGAGAAGGCGGTCTGTTCAAAATGTGGGGGAAAAGATTTGAACTTTCGAAGAGAAAAGAAGACCCAGAAACCTTGAAACTCACGCTAGGTGTATCTTCCTCTGGCCATGAAACAGGGGACCGGCGATACAATGCTGTTTGGTTTGAAGGGGGCTCTGCTGCTGAAGAATTCTGTGGGAACAAATTCATCTGCAAATTTGTCACACGAAAACTTCAGAAGAATCATGGAAAGATCTCCAAACAAAGGCGAAAACTTTCCTTCTGTTTTACCATGGCGGGGCAGGAGGAATGTTGCTGGCTCCTTTGAAAGAAAACAGGGGAAGGAACCGCTTGCTGGTCAGAGGATCCATTACTCCCCAAAAGTGGAGAGAAAGGGAACCGAAATTCCGATTTGCTGCAATTTCCAGCATCGTGGCTACTCTCGCCGGGATTCCAGCTCGTGGGTTGTGGTAGAAAGCTGTAAAGTTGCGACCTTGGAGGAAAAGCAGGGGTTTTAGAGGCAGAGCTTGACAGAGGAGGAGGAGGAGGAGAAGACGGAAGTGAAGAACACGCCGCCGCCGCCGGAGGTGGCGACGGCGGATGAGGTGGTGGAGGAACCACCGCCACGTCACTGGTGGTGGTGGCCTTTTTATGGTCTCCTTGTTCTCGCAGGATCTTCTCCAGCTCAGCCACGCCGGGGCCTCGCTTCGGCACTCTCTGTTTCTTGGACGGCGCCGTCTTCTTCGTCAACCAACAGCTACTAGCACTTGGACTCTCTCCGTCGCCGGCGCCGCCGTTGCCGGCGGTAGTACACATTGAACTTTTACTCTGTTTTCCTTTTCTCAAGCTGCTCCCGAGTGGGGAAAATCTACCATTTAAATAAGCAGAGAGAAAACTCAGATGAAGTTGGAAGAATCGATGTGAATCAAGATCGATCCCCCACGAATCTAAAAAAAACAAGCAACGAAGAAAATGGGGGGAAAATCTAATTTTCTTTTTAATTGGCGAGATATTGTGAGGTTGGAAAGGGATGGAAAGATCATCTCAATCGATCTCCCCTGTTTTAAGGCTCCATTGAAGATCGTTTTCTAGGAGGACAATGTGGCAGAGAGGGAGAGAGAAGAGGCAAAAATGAAAAGAAAAAAAAAACAGAGTAATCAAAAATCGAGAGAATGTGTATCTATTTGGCGACTTGATAGTTGATACTTAAGCTTATTATTATTTCTAAATTATTATTAGGTGGATACTCTTTGACATTCTCAATCTAATCACAAAAAAGATTCTCTGATCGTTAGCAGCATGTAAATATTTTGTTTGAGTTTATCTACTCTGTTCTTATTTTTTTTTTTTAATTAAATTGATATGTAGTACTAAAATAGGGTAGTATGTAAGATGATCAAGATTCAAAATGACTTAATTTTTAAACCAATGTGGTCAATGACTTTTGCTGTGTTTGTGGAAGGTCGCCATGATATAATACCGTTCGGATCGCGTAGTAAGAATCATAGATTGTTGGAGGAAAAACTTGGAATTTACTAGATCGTAAGATTTAGCGGTGTCATCTGGTACAAATGCTAATCAAGCAAATTAACCAAATTGATAAACCAATTACATTCCAATCTAAGGGTATTTATACCAAAATAATTACAAGTGTGAACATGAGCTCATCTAATTAAAATAGGTACAAAAAATACCAATTATGTTATGATAAAATAACTATCTCTATATAGGTCATACACAAAAAGTGGACTATAAAACTCTTTCAGAACCAACAACATGCTCGTGCATATAATGCTCACTGTCATCGATAAACAACATCGAGACACTTTAAATACCATTCCTTCAAATTAATTAAATTCTTCGCAACTAAGAATACCGATAATTATTCGAATGATTCCATCGAAGGAAGTCTAATTTCAAGAACAACATGTGTTTCAACTTGCTAACAAGAGAAAACACACAAACCTATATATGTTTAGTTACTGTATTTATATCCATTCACCATACCATATTTATATCTATATATATTCATGATTTTCTTCATATTTTTCAAGTTTGATGGTCCTCACCAAAAAGATTTGTGCAGTGATATTTTTCAATTTCATTTTTTTCCTTTTTGTATATTTATATTATTTTTTCTAGTACCAGAAACAACCTATGAAGTGTACTAACAATAGGCCCATCTCAAAAATCTTGGGAAATCTTTGCCATATATAAAACAGAACCAGAACAGCCAGTTTTAGCAATCCCAATTTACTACTAAAAAACGTCAGCCATTGTCAGAGAGGAGGAACTGTCTGGTTCAGCTCCCCTTGTTTTGGCAGCCATGCAATATATGTACAACCCTTCTCTTATTATTTTGCTCTTTGGTCCCTCCCTTTACTTCTCTTTATGAATTAGTACATCATTGGTTGTATTATTGTATTTGTATCCCAATCTGATTTGATCATTATGATATGTTTTATACTAATATGATTTGGATTACGGTACAAACTACGTGGCCATAAAAACCTATAAACTTCGCATCTTGTCATTGCTGATACAAATAATACCACCTCATGATAATGATCATATTATGGTAGTATGATTCGAAATAGGATTATGAAGCACGTGATTTTATAGGAGTTCTGAATTTTGTATTCTGTTCCCCCCACCCTCAATATAACATAGGGTCGTTTGGTTTTGGTGATATTTAAATCAATGTGTGGTAAATGCATGTATTGTAATATACATGCAATTTAGGAAAATGATGTAATGTACACTAGGGGTCGTTTGGATGGATCAATTGTAAAACGAGACAATTTGACCAATTGTTTCATTTTACAAAACGAGTCATTTAAAACGAGTCAATTCAGATTACCTGCCCCCACCCCAGACAATTGTAATTGGCTCAAAATGAGTCAATTCAGAATTCCCCAGTCCAAATTGCTTCATCCAAATTTTCTGCTGCCAAACGGATCAATGTAGCACAATTGACTCAAAACGAGACAATTGTGTCAGATTGATCCATTAGAATTCCTCATCCAAACGACCCCGACATTGTTTGGTTTTGGTGATAGTTTTTTAGTATTCAACATGTTATATTACTTTTTGTGAGAAAGATCAATTTTGGCCTTGCTTTTATGAGACCATATATATATATAATTAGAGATATACTTGGAACAAAAAGGGAACCAAACAATCTCCTCAAAACAATCTCAACAATCTCAAGTTTTAGTATAGATAGTAATATCACTCATTTTGAGTGATAGTTTCTATCACATCAAGCAAACAATGCATTGTTTATGCAGGAAATTCAAAAAAATAATGCATTGTGGACAATACATGCATTGTAACTATCTCAATCAAACAATCACCAAACCAAATGACCCATAACTATATATGAATGAGAGCAATTTGGAAGCCATATTGTTTCAATAACGTGTTGGTGAAAAACTTATACATATATTTTCATGTTTGACTATATAACAACGAATACAAAATCTCCATACAGAAAACGTATACCCATCTCTCTATACGAAATTCATGAAAAATATCTCAATTCAACGCTGGTCGAGAGCTTAAAAAAAACTCTCGTTTTTTGTTCCCCGACCTATAAACCATTCTTCCCATCACGAATCACTTCTCATAATATAGCATAACACATGTAAACATCTATGAATGTAGAAAGTTACTAACATGACAATTGTATTATGTACCATGTGATTCCCAATCCACAAGTGTGATTCTTGTTTTCCCCTCTTTCGTGTTGGCATATACATTTTTTGGGGTGCTACTCTTTTGATGCTAGGATACTCAAAATATTGCACCAATCACATGGGGGAAAGAGTACTATAGGTGATGATGAGTCACAAATCTTGACTCATTATGAGCGAAGAGATCTCCAATGACCCATCTCAAGAGTTAGTACCCTATTTCTCCCTCTCTTCCTTTTTTCCAAATGCCAACTTGGAGAATATATATATATGGCAGGATCTCTGAAAGTTAAGAATGTCCAAAAATGAGCTTCAACGATTGTCATCTAACAGGCTTTGGGAAAGGGAATGTGTATATATACAAAACAAACAAACAAGAAGGAATTGCTTTCTTTGTCTATCTATACAGAAAACCATGTGATGGTACATGTAGAATGATATCAAAGCTCTCTCTGGCGTGTGAGCAAATGAAGAGAGAGAGAGGGTCTCTTTCTATTAGGGGTGATGGTTAGGTTTCGGTTTTTCGATTTTATGGGTTTATCGGTTTCTCTTAACGGGTAAAAACTGTTAAACTCGTCACGTTTTTTGTTTCGGTTAAAATTGAAAACCGTTTATAGACCGTTAAGTTTTAACAGAATCGAATATTCATTTTCAGTTTTCTTGCTTATTCTAATAGAAACTGAATCCATTAAGGACTTACCAATTTTTTGCTAACGGAAAACAAATAATCTCTTAACGATTTCGATTTTGTGCAATTGACTAATTCATATAATAATCTTTTATTCGATTAACCAAACCAAAGCGAACCAAATCGCCTCCCCTGCTTTCAATATAGATGTACTAACTAGCTTGTAAAGAGAAAAGCATTGAGGACAGGTTGTAACAAACTTGATGGAGGCTGGGGGGTCACATAACCAATTTTAGGTATGCTCACTGTCAGGACAGCAATAAGAGAGTTAGAGAGAGAGGCCTCGAGGGGAAACCCTAATAAAAGGACACAAACAGAAAAAGAAGAAGAAGAATTTGCAGCAAAACGACACAAAATTCTGCTGGGGGTGTGATAGACCAGTTGAATGATTAAAGAATAGAATTGGATTTCTATAAGGGTATATATAGTTATATACACAACACAAGTTGATGTCCCAAGTTAATTTGAGGACAAGATGTCCCAAAGAAGAAAAATGTTGTAGGAGTGTTAGGTTTATATTGTACACATAGTTGGAAATCGATACTGTATCGGTATACCAATACCAAATATTGAAATCCTGAATACTGAATTATACCTGAAAGTCAATCCCAATCCCAATCCTAAATAATTTCGACATCCCAATCCCTTAATATTCTGGTATCCCAATCGATACTTTGGTATCTCAATCGGTATTATCGAATACGAAATTAATTACATTTGAAATAAATAATTAAATATATGAATTAGATTTAATTGTTTAATTTAGGGCAAAGAGACTAAGCAAATAGCCTTGAGTTTGCCTAGAGCTAGGATATGGATAAGGAGAATGAAGGAGAGGTGATATCTCAAGTTCTTGTCATTGGTAATCTTTAATTTGACGAATTGAAAACTGAGAGTCGACTAATACTAGTGTTTGCTTTTTGGTGTTATGAAAATAACAAGTTATTAGGTGCGAGATGAGAGTGACTTAAATTGAAAAGTCAAAATTGAGTTGGATGGGGACTTTTGAGTTGTGAAACAAAGATGGAATGATCTAGGTATAATTAAATGACACTCTTGGTGGTTGAGGGTTGTGTAGTAGTGAATGAGAGAGTCTAGTTGAGAGAATAAAATACACAATAGCTAATATTTCGGTATTGATCGGTATTTCGGCATATACCGATCCCAATCCCGTAATCCCTAATACCAAATTACAATTGAAATTCAATCCCAATCTCAATCCCAAGAAATAATACGCGTATTCGGTAATACCAAATATAGACAAATTCGATACGGTGTTCGGTATATCCCAAATACCGGTACCAAACTTCCAGTCCTACATATGAAGTAGTATTATTGTATCGGACTTAATTGTCCTGAATTTTTTGTTTGCTGAAAACTGGAGATGGTTAGGAGAGTTGGAGTCTAAATTTTGGACTTCTGTTGAAGTTGAAGAGTTTATCTCTTAGGATCGGGTAAAATAGAGTCTAATAAGTCATTATTTAATAAAACTATAATTCTTTGACATTTAATGAAAATAAATCTTAGCCATTCAAGATATAGAATTTCCCGTGAGAACAATATTTGATATCCCTGCATTTAAAAGACTTGAAATTTCTAAACCTAAAATTCTATATATACATACTAAAGTCAACAACAGCAACAAAAAGTTTCTTTTAAATCAATGGATTCTACAAATCCATCATCCAAATTCTATTCTCCAAACAACCCCTAACAATGACTATTAGTATATTGAAACTCTCTAATCAGTATCCTTCTTTCCATTGATATCACTCAGAAATAAATAAAAAAATCATTCTTTCTATTTTTCTAAGCCATCATTTGCTTATTGAATTTGGGTCATAAATTTGAGACTCAAATCTCAATCATCAAGGATTTACTCAAATTAATTGTTTGTTTGTCCAAAACAGTAGTGTCAAAACAATGGACCCATCGATTTATGTTTTTATTTATCTCAAACCCGTGGACCCGACTAATTTGGAAACCCTACATAAATGGGTAGGATTTAAAAAATGTGTCAATTCCTTAATGTTTAATGATTATTTTTCCCCAATTTTTTCTCCATTCCAACATTTTTTTTATGAATAAGGTATTTTATTCATCAAGAAAGGATGGCATTGTGCCACCCTAACTAGAAAACCACTAATTCCATACAAAGCACACCCCTAGCCTCTGAAAACAAACTGAAAAAAAAAAAAAAAGAACCTGCTACAAGCCTTTACAACAATACCCAGTCCCTTCAAACTGAAACTCTATCTAACAACCTATCAGAGACAAACACAGCAGAGGTTGGAACACAATTTATAAGGATCCTTAAGTGATCCTGAATCTTCTTCACCAGTTGTTCTTCCGTAATGAGTCTGTTGTCATAAAGCCTGCGACAATACTCTCTCCAAAGCTCACTCACCAACATCATCCATACCATCCTGCCATAACTGGCTGAATTAGTGTCTGTCTTATACCTTGTCGTTGCCAGATGCAACGAGTCATTCCAGTTGTTACACAACGAGTCATTCCAGTTGTTACACAACAGTGAGGAAGATCCTGGGATCACCTGCATAACGTTCCTGGAATAGATGCAATCAAAAAATAAGTGATCCCTAGACTCAGGGATACTTCGACATAAAGGGCAGAGATTTATGATCCCATCATTCCACTTTTGAATCTTGTCCAGAGTTGATATTCGATCCTAGATTATCAACCAAACTATGAGCTTGTCCCTTGGGCTACAGAGAGACTTCCAGACCAGCTTGCACCAAGAAACCTGGGGCTGTTTCACTCATATTGTTTCCCAAACCTTAGTTACAGAATATCTTTCCATGAGAGAGCCATTCCAGAAGACTCCATTGTTACGTGCCTGGAGATGCCCCTCAGCGAGCACTCTAGGCTTTAGTACTTTCCTCCATGCCCATAAGCAATTTATGGTGGGAGGAATGCACCAAATGGAAGTGTAAGATAGTTGATACTGTCTTACCCAGCTTGCCCATAGTGATGAAGAGTTTGAAATTATTGCCCATAGGTGCCTTACAGGATGTATTCCAACTTCTGAGGTCTTTGAATCCTAATCCTCCCTCAGTTTTAGGTAGGGCTACGCTGTCCCATCTGATTTTTGCCTTCTTTCCTTCCTCCTTTGAATTCCATAAGAAATGAGAACAAGCCTTCTCAATCTGTTTAATCACCTTTACTGGAAGTTGGATTATATACATCCAATACTGAGTTATGCATCCATTCCAACTTTTAGGGATAATGAAATAATCATTTTTTAAAATAAAAAACAAGTAAAAAAACTATTATAAAATTCAACAAACAAACAACATTAATTTCAAATCCATAACAACTCGAATTCGTTGCCAATATTTTTTCATTTTTAATACCAAGAATTTAGTAAAAAATGTTTATTTCTTAAATATGTTGTTGTCTTTTCCATCCCCTTGTGGGACTTCCTTTCCGCGCCTCTCACGCACATGCTTGCCTATGCTTCTTCCTCATGTCAGATCTTTATATCTGTTCATTTGAGATGATTTTGATGGTGTCAGAGGAGGTTGAGGTCCCCTTAACATGCATTCTCCTTTATATTTTCTGCTCCTCCTCCTTGCTTCATCTCTTTGGTCAGGTGTTTCAGAGAAGATATGAGAGTCTTATTGCGGTCATCCCATGGTTGCAGTCTCATGAAGCTCAAAAGCGAGAATCACACCATTTGGGCTCCTGATCTTTTTTACTCCATAGGCTTGTGCTTTCGTTGTGGAAGTAGTGTCTCTCTCACCGGGTGGTCATAGGGTTTCAGTGGTTCCAGGCGTGGTTGGATTCAACTCATGGTCGGCTATTCAACTGCTTTCCCGTCGGCGGTGGTTGGAGACCTCTTTTGTGCGGCTGTCGCTAGTCTTCTTTTGGAAGTTGGATTAGGTTCACGGTTTATTTTTCAAGCTTGCTCTTGTGTTGGGCATAAATTTGGTTTGTTTTGGTAGGCCTTAGTCCAAGTGTGGTGGTTCTTCCATGTGGTCTAGGCCCAAAATCTGTACACTTTGGATTTATTTAATGGGGATTTTTCCAAAAGTAGCACTGTTTTAAAAAAAAATCCTAAAAATAGCACCAAACTCCGAAAAATTACAAAAATAGCACTCTTTCTGCAAAACCGCCACCCGTACCAGCGGTTTAGGCGAAAACCGCCACCCGGGGCGCGTTTTTCGATGAAAACTGCACCGGTAGGGGGCGATTTTACAGACCGCACCCCCACCAAATGAATTTGAAACAAATCCAAATATCAAATGTAATTAATATTCAAACACATAATTTGACATTTAGAAATCCAAATAACAAATACCAAATATGAATCATTTTATCCAAACACATAATTTGACATTTAGAATTGCATTAATTACTAGTATGGGCTTTTGCCCCATACTTCTCATTTAACAGATGTGACGTAAACCAATTTTCTGGCTGCTGAGTTGAGCTTCCTAGTCCAGAATGACTAGGCCCATGATATGAGCCACAACAGACGATGAAGGCCCAACACGTGTATACACGCCCAAATATGTTACCGTCTTTGTGTTTTCCATGATGATTATTGGCTCTGATAATGGGATTTAAGTTATTTAACGCAATGATGATTGATGAGTATTATTATCTTTAAATCACTATATAACTGGTTTTCTTCTTCACTTAGTCGTCTTCAGTAATTTCGTGATTTTTCGATCTCTTTGTGCTACTCATGTAGTAACAGAATTAGTATCACATTCGCGAATTTACATAAATAGTTAACCGGAAAAAAAATGGAAATCATAGTTTTACGACAATATTATCATGAAGGTTCGGGCAAGCTACGGTGCTAATCCTATAGGGGGTTAGCACCGTACTAACTAATATTTAAATGGTTTAATTTTATTTTTTATTAAATGGCTATAATTAAAGAAAGGGTATAATAGGAAATAAGAAGAAAATTAAAAATATTAAATTAATATGATTTACGGAAAGTGGGATTGGGTTTTTGGGATTTAGTGGGAGCAATTATTTTTTATTACGGTTTTGGATATTGGGCGGATTTAGTGGGATTGGGTTTTTGGGATTTTAATGGGAGCAGTTACAAGTTTTTCTCAACAATGTCTCTCTCTCCCTTCTTTCCATCACGTCTCTCTGTCTTTGCATAATAAAACACTACATTCTTTGAAAAATACTAGTGACTCTTTTCTTCAGGTATGTAGTAGTAATTTGGTGTATAGTATTGATTTATTAGTAGTGATTTTGATAGATTTTTAATAGAATCAATATTACTATACATGTTGTTGTAGTCAATCATAATAAATCACTAATAATTCTAGCAAACATAATAATAAAGCACTACTAATACAAATTCATCAAAACTGCTACAGCATATCCTTAAATGCGAGATCCATAAATTCAATGTTATAGAATCATTGCTACTACCATCATATCTATAAAATCAATATTATAAAATCACTATACTACTATTACAAAACCACTACTATCGAGAATCCTCCACTGTCTACATCTTTCATCAAATGTAATCTCTTCTCTTGCACTCCTTATCATTTCATGAGTCCACAGCTGCGAACAAAAACAAAAGAAACACTACATGATTTTCATCAGTACAAAAAACACTACATATGCATAAGAACAAACAGGGGATACTTCTGGAATGGAAATGGCAGACAAGGGGAAAACACTACTCCTTCGTTTAGGAAGGCTAAAGAAGCAATACTAAACCAACACGAAAACACTACTAATCAGAATAGGAATCGCTACCAGCCTACAACCCTGACTCATTTCGCGGTAAGGTGTAACCTAACATGAATCACTACCAACGAAACAATTTTAACCACGCGCGAAAACACTACGAACTACCCTTTCGGACTATTCACTTTCTCATCTACCAACTGAACATCATCGAAAAAATAAATAAGTGCATCCCACTCCGATCAGATGCCAAAATAGAGCTCGGATCTAGAAACCTATAAGCAACCTCCCTAAAAGACAGATCTTGATCGAGGGAAAAAAATCAAAGCCGGGGCGCGGGGCATGCAATTGCGCCGATGATAGAATGGAAAGACGATTGATAAGGTTTAACTACTACCTGAGGCGGCGGCTTGACCGAAGACGAGAACGGCGGAAAGTGGGATCGTCGAAGGCGCTGACGACCGCGACGAGGTCGGAGGAGTAGAGGGAGGTGATGAGGTCAGAGGAGCAGAGGGCGACAACGAGGTGGGAGAATTGGAGGGCGATGACGACGTGGGAGGAGCGGAGGCCCGCGCCGAGGGCAGTGCAGGCGAAACAATCTCGACGAAGTCCGCTGGCGATGGAGGCTTCAACAACGGGAAGGACTGCGAGGCCTCTCCGACTTCCCTAGGTCAATAACTCTGACGGCTATAGAGGAAATTGAATGGGGAAAAATCTCATTAAAAGCAAAAAAAATCTCCCCCGGCTGATATCACGGCCCGACGTTAGCTAATTAATCTAACTTACAAAAATGCCCCTAAGCCATATTCCCTCTTACCAGCCGAAATAAAAAAAGAGATGTCATCTGATGGGTTAGCACGGTGCTAACATAGTAGTGGGTTAGCACCCCATCCGACTCCTGAAGGTTCACATGTGCGAGTTTTGAGTCATTGCAACAATTAAGGAGGAGGCTTTTGTAATGTAAGAGATATCTGTCTTTACGGCGGCAAACGAGACAAGTTGAGTCGAGTTTTTGCTTATAACTTGAACTCGGTTTGTTTATAAATTTTTCAGCTCGAACTCGAATTTTGATAATTCAGCTCGACCTCGACCTCTGCTCAATTAAAAATAATTGAACTCGAGCTCGACTTGGTAGAGTTCGGTAAATGTTATTAACACAACTTGTCAAGCTGAGTACAAGCTCGACTCAATATGAGCTTGATTTGAAATCATTCATGCTGAAAAATGTGCAAACATAAGAGTTTAAATGATAAATAGAACACTAGAAACTATAAGTAACAACTAACTTTCATACACATCCGTATTAACAAGATAATATTCATGTTCAAAAGAGTAATTAATAATTCCAAAAGCTCTAAACAAGCCAGCGCGCGAGTTTAGCTCAACAAGTCACTAAGTCAAGCTAGTCACAAGCTTATCAAGCCGAGCATGGTCTAGCCCTAGCTTGACTCGTTTACTAACGAGACGGCTTGTTAAAATAACAAGCCAAGTGTCGAACGAGTTTTCTTCGATTCGGACGCCGAGTTGCTAGCGAGCGGCTTGACTCATTTGCAGCCCTATCTGTCATAATCCATTTCACTGCTGCTATTTCCGTCGGCAATGGCGCGCGCTACACTACACATATGACAGTCAGGTCCTCGTTTTATAATACAGGGTCGAAGTAGCAGTGGCGGAGCCTCGCATGGGAGGCGGTTACCTCTCCTTAACTCTTAACTCTCAAAATCATGTAAAAAAATTAGGGTAATGTCTATTTTTTTATCAAAATCTTTTTCGGATTCTTTTTTATTAGCCAAATCTAGCGAAATACAAAGAATTAGCCAAATGTCAACTTTCAGTTAGCAATTTTGTTAGTAATATTCATTTGACAACATGATACTGACTTGGAAGAGACATGAAAGTCAACATTCCAAAATTTTAGTATTTTAACTAAGAAAAGAGTTACAAATTTATTAACGATAACGTAAAAATAGATAATATTTTGATGTATTACGAAGGATTTGACTAATGAATAAGATTTTAATAGGTTTGGATAATATAAAAAAAAATTAAATTTTTTTGGATAAAAAGTAGGCATTACTCAAAAATTACATTTGTCAAAAAAAAAAAAAACTCAAAAATTACATGTAAATTTTTAAAATTTTGGGAAATATAGTAGGCGGTAAAATTTTAGATCCTCCTTTGACATTTTTTTGCTGGTCGGCTGGCTGGTGGATCCCTTTCCCCCTTCCTTCCAATGATATGATATACATATAGTCACATAGCTAATGTCGACGGCTGCAGCTGCAAAGCATAAAAACTGTCTTTCTCCAATAAAATCTTAGTAGTCCTGATACTGCGATATTGTTTAATCAAGAAGACGAATTTCAATGAATACAAAGACATTATTAAATGAATTATACATACTAAGAGATCCAAGTCTTAGATCATATTGTACATATATATATACATATATATATATAAGCAGCTACGTACCTACCAGTGCTCAACATCCATACACACATATCCAACTTAGCTTATCTTCAAGAAGACATATATAGCCATGGCGATGATGATTCCCAGCATCACTAAGTTGGCCATCTTGCTTCCCTTCATATCATGTGTCTTTCTCATCCCAAGTACTGTTATTTCACTGCCATCTCTTTTTCACTTCTTTCTTCCTTCATTCTTTGTTCGCTTTTGATATTTACTGTAATATTCATGATTTGCCTGACCTCACGCAAACATGCACGCAGGCCTTCTTCCTTCAAGCGAATCGGCCAGAACGATTGCTCCAACAATGGCTCCACCAAATTCTAGCAGCACAAACGATCAGATCGATCTCAGGTATATGTGATATCAAAGTCTTCGGTGACCGAGAGATCTTCCGTTCGAATTCCAATGACAATCTTGTTTGTTCTGTAAAGCACACGTGGTGTCCGGACATGTATGTGCAAATTAACTTCAAGCCTATATATATAAGTGTCTTTGGTTTGAGGAGAGTGTTAGTAAATGATATAGTATGATTTTTAATTGAACCTCTCCCAACAACTCGAGTTATTGGTATCAACTAATTCTTGAAAGTATGAAACTCAATCCCTGCAACTAGCTAGCTATCTAGCTAGCCAACCCATGTTAGTAAATGGTACATGATACATAATTGACATAGAATTAGAGCATTATGTTATCAAAATGTCTTTTGTTCGAATCCCTGGTGACCACATTTGTTAAGCACATGGTATTATGATGTCTGTGTAAACTTCGAGCCCTTGTCCTTCTGAGTTGGGTTTTGGTTTGAAGAGGGTGTGTTACTAAGTGGTATATATATGACCTCGTATGAGTTGATTTTGTGTTCGAATCCCTGACGACCACATTTGTTATAAGTACATGTGGTGTATTATGATGTTTGTGCAAACTTCAAGCAAGGCCTTTTTAATTGAATTTCATAAACCTATTTTGATGATATTCAAACGTTGTGTAAATTTCAAACTCATGTAAGTTGATTTTCGTCTCTCTGTCGGGTGCAGCTGGAACCGCCATCCGCACCGACCTAGCAGTAACAGAGGAACGCCTGACATCGCCGGCCGACGACCTCATGCAACTTCCGGCAATAATGCTTCCGTTCAGCAGGATGAGTCCTGTGTTGATATTTGCTACAATTTGCAGTGCTCTCGGCAATACACGTGTCGGCCCGGATACTACTTGGCTTGCGACTGTACTTTATCTTTATGCCTGTGCTATATCGATCCTTGATATATAGAGTCATTTTCCCTGCTTTCCTGAGATGATCTCCAATAGCAGTCTGCGAGCAAGCTTGTGGGAGAAGCTAGGTTTAGTAAAACTGAAATCTCTATATAATTACCAGCTTTTCAATTGTAATACGTGTCTCATTGATTATATAATTACCAGCTATATAATCTCAACTTATATGAGAATCTCTATAAAT